AAAATGACCACCATTCCTCTAGGTCTGGCTGAATGGGACACAACTAGGATAGTGCTCAGAGGACATTTGTAGCTTCTAGTTAGACCAACCAAAGTGAGCACATGGAAATACCAGGACTGAGCCTCTCACTCAAAGGATAGAAAAAAACATCAAGAAAAACAGAGAAGAAATGAATGGACAAAAGCAAAAGTTAATGGCTACTGAACAGAAATAAGTTCTTGAAAAATCAAAAAATCAATAAAAGTAAAGGCGAAAACACGAATGCACGTGCTGGGCCTTTGCTGAGGGATTTTCTGGTTTCTGTAGTGGGAACTTCAGGGGCGTCTCAATCAGAATATCCACCAGTTTTTCAGGTGTCCCACTGCTGGTGCATCAAAGTGAGTGTCTAGTGGGGCTGGGACGCTGGTCAGGTTCACCTCTACCTTGGATTTGTCTGGCTCTAATGGGGGTGGGGGCTGTGGTTGTTATTCCCGGGCTTCATGTCTCTTGGTTTGGCTGGCACTAATGGCACTAATTTGGCCTGTTATCGCTCTCCCTGGCCAGGGTGGTCTAAGCTGCCCGCTCTCTGTACGTACAGGGCGACGGGAAGGGAATAGGGATTCCTGGGCCGATCATGCCACAATGGCAGGTTTCCGACGTGGGGGACGGGTTGGCTGGCCAGGAGAACACACAGCTTCTCAGTGCACCAGCAAAGGCCCGCACCTCGAAACAAAGGCTCACCCCTTCGTCTCCCCGGAGAACCTCCTTGCTGGGCTTGCAGACCAGCGGTCCTCTCTCCTCACGCCTCCTGCCGCGCAGTGAACTACAGAGCAAAGGGAGAGAAGCATGAAAGCAGCCGGAGGGGGAAACCAAACCAAACCATTGCACTCAAAGGAGCAATGACTGACTTCTCAACAAGAACAGGGGGTGGAATACAGTTCAGGTCTTTCATTTGCTGACAGGAAGTGTCTGCCAACATTGAATTCCATGCCAGCCACAAGTCCATTAAGAATGATGGAAAAGAATGGCATTTTCAGATAAACAGGCGGAAAGACTTCAGCAACACGAGATCCATGGAAGAGAAATTCTAATGGGCGTTTTCCAGGCAGAAGAACATGGTCCGGATGGAAGATCATGGGACAGGAAGGAGGGAAGAGGAATGGAAACAGCACATGGGGGTAAGGGTGGGGGGAAGAGGGCAGTGGAATAAATGCTGACTGCTCAGAACAGCAGTGGCTGTTTCCATGCCCTATGCCGTGTGTGTGTGTGTGTGTGTGTGTGTGTGTGTGTGTGCGCGCGTCCAGTTCATTGTGCTTCTTGGCTTCGCTTCATGCTTCCTTCTTCCTCTAGCCCAGGCCTCGCCCCCACAGATTCCATCTGGTCTTGCATTCAGGGCAGACGACAGGGCCCTGTGTGAGAGGTGATGCCAGGCTGCTTTATACATCCAGGCACCTGCCTTTCCTCCTGGGCAGGTGTGTTGCTAGGCACTTATTCTTAGCTCCTCACCAAAACCTATTCTTTTATGTTTTTTCCTGAATAGCACACATTCCTTGCTGAGACTTGAATACTGCAAAAAAGCATATGGATTAAGATATAAATCACTGTGTTGTGCTGTGCGCACTCTGCCCTCTAATTGCCCTGCCCACCGAGAGTCACTGTGACTAACCTGGTGACCAGGTCTCTTTTATGCATGTGTATGTTGCTTTTTTTTTTTAAATTTAAAAATGTTTTTATTGAATTTTAGAGAAGAAGGGAGAGAAACATCGATGTGACAGAGAAACACTGATTGGCTGCCTCCTGCATGCCCCCTACTACGGATTGAACCCACAACCCAGGCATGCGCCCCAACTTTCTGGTGCATGGGATGATGCTCAACTGACTGAGCCACACTGGCCAGGGAGTGTGTGCGCTTCCCTTTGTTTACAAAGAGAGGTAGGAGTATGTGCACCTGTGCAATTGTGAATGTATTGTCGACCCTTTTCCGTGCCTTTTGTGCTTTCTGAAAATGTCTGGTTTTCCGTCCTATGGCTCTATCCTGACTCATTTAGCCCATCCTGCCCAGTTTCTGTGTTGTTCCCTTGCTTTGTCCCAGGTGCTGCTGAAGGTAGTGATGGTCCTCACACATCCACGATCACCTTCCTGGATAAATTTGCTGGTCAGGGCCTGTGCTATTGTGAAGATTTTGGAGACATGCCAGATTGCCCACCCAGCTGTGTTAGTTAATCTTTGTTGCGTTTGGACTATACCCGTGGTCGGCAAACATGTGGCTCTTGGGCCCCTTGAGGGTGGCTCTTCCACAAAATGCCACGGCCTGGGCGAGTCTATTTTGAAGAAGTGACATTAGAAGAAGTTTTAAGTTTAAAAAATGTGGCTCTCAAAAGAAATTTCAATCATTATACTGTTGATATTTGGCTCTGTCGACTAATGAATTTGCCGACCACTGGAGTATACCAAGCTTTTCTCTGAACTTAAAAAACCTGCCTTCTTGACAGTCCCTTTCTGTAAGGCTTCCTTATAAGATTTCTTGTCAGGATTATAGTAATTTCTAGGCAGATAACTCTCTCTCCTCCACGGCTGAAGCAGTCACGATCTGTTGTGGTAATATTAGGTCTCAATGACCTATGTCTCTGAAATGATTAGAATTTAGTTCAGGAGCATATAAACAGAATAATCCAAAACAACAGTGGATTAAACAAAATGGAGCTCTAGTTGGTTTGGCTCAGTGAATAGAGTGACAGCCTGTGGACTGAAGGGTCCCAGGTTAGATTTCGATCAAGGGCATGTGCCCAGGTTGCAGGCTTGATCCCCAGTGTGGGGCATGCAGGTGGCAGCCGGTCAATATTTCTCTCTCATCATTAATGTTTCTCTCTCACCCTCTCCCTTCCTCTCTGAAATCAATAAAAAAGAAATAAAACACACCAAAAAACACAGAAACACAAAATAGAATTCTCTCTCCCAGATTCTCATGAGATGGGCAGGCCAGGCTGGCAGGGCATCACCCAGTCCCATGGGCCCTCGCTCCTTCCAGGCTGCTGTCCCAGGTGTGGTGTCCTCGTGACCCAAAGCAAGCGCCCAGGTGCCAACAGTACACCCCGTTTCAGGCAGCAGGAGCCTCGAACACGTGTCCATCCTGCTTCCATCTCGGCGCCAGGACTCCTTTAGGCACGTGGCTGCGACCTGCGCAAAGCAAGAGTGGGCAGCGCTGTTTTAACCGGTGGACAGTGCCCAATAAAAACGGGTCCCTCAGAATTCACACGGAGTCCTCTGGCGCTTCCAAAGGTGACTATTTGGAGATGGGGACTTGGAAGAGGAAGAATGAGGCCATCTGGGGGGGTCCTGACCTGAGCTGCCTGGTGTCCTTATGAGCAGAGGGGTGGGATTCAGACAGGAAGACCCTGTGAGGGCACAGGGAGGAGGCTGCCCTCTTCACGCCTAGGAGAGGCCCGGGGGACGGCCTTGTCCAACCTTGGTCTTGGGCTGCCAGCCTCCAGGATGGAGAAGACGGTTCCTGTTGTTGGGCCCTAGGCTGTGGCGCCTTGTAGAGCAGCCCTGGCCGCCAGCTCATGGCCTCTGCTGGGCAGGCAGCCCGTGCGACCCTCACTGAGGGCCAAAGTGCTGTGGCCAGGAATGGACCAGCTTCTCCGGGTCCTCCACTCCCGCGCCCACAGCCTGTGGTCAGTACCGCACCTCCACCTGGAGGCTCCTGGGCCGGCGGGCTCCGTTCTGCCATGGGGCCTCTCCGGTGGGGCAGCTTGCTTCATGCACCTGTGAGCCAGGAGGGTGCCGGACAGCAAGATGGGAGCCTCGAGCTCTTGTGGCCAGTCCCAGGGGAGCCCTCTCCAGGAGGGGCGGAGGGGCGAGGCCTCTGTCAACAGCAGGGAAGGACTGTGGGGCACTGCCGTCCCCTATGGAAAGGTTTCCTGGGTTTCAGTTCTCCCACCGGACCGGGGCGGGCCAGCTGAGCCCTGAGGAGGGTGAAGGCAAGGCTCCTGCCCAGGACAGGCCCTGCCCGGAGCGGGCGCCGGAGGCTCCTCCTGTGCACACTGCCTCCCCAGCTCGGTTCTCCAGGAGGACGGCGAACAGGTTCGGGCGGGTGGCCGCACTGGCTGAGGTGCTGAGGCCCAGGAGCCAGGCCCCATTGGGCCGGCACAGGCAGGAGGCGCCCACCGTGCAGTGCGGGGCAGGAGTCCTCTTCCTCCGGGCGCTCGGGGTGGGCAGTCATTCCCGCGGAGCGCTGGGCAGCAGGCATTGCCAGGCAGGTTTCCGCCCTCAGGGCCCACCCAGGCCCTTCCTCTCCGCTGCAGACTCCGGGCGCCGCCCGCGGGAGCCGGCCCCGGGCTCCCTGTCCTCTGTGGGGGCCACGCTGGGCTCCCTCCCGCCAGAAGGACCAACTCCTCCGGTCTCCGCACCTACCACACGGGCAGGGTGCACCCACCTGTGCTCCTGCAGGAAAAGCCCGACCCTCAGCCTCTCTGCGACCCCAGGCGTCTGTAGGGGGCTCGATCCGCGGGGCGCCCGACCTGCCCCGCCCCTCACCGCCTGGCCGCGCCCCTCGCCGCCCTACCGCGCCATCGCCACCCGCCCCACCCTCGCCACCAGGCCCCGCCCTCGCCACGCCCCTTACCGCCAGGCCCCGCCCTCACCGCCACGCCCACTTCGCAGCGTTCGCGCTCCTCCCCACGCCCCGCCCTCCCCGCCAGGCCCCGCCTCCAGGGACGCTGCTACCTCAGTGGCTGCTCCAGCTCCTGAAGGCTAGCGGATGGGCGGGGCGCGGGCCGGCCATTGGCAGAGGCCATCGCCTCTAGCTGTCAATCCCGGCGACCCGGCCTGGCCCCGCCCCGACGGCGGAGCGTCGTCGGACGCAGGGCCGCGGGGGCTGCCGGGACTGGTCCAAGATGGCCGAGCGCCTCGGTTCCGTTCCTGCCAGCGGCCGCGAACCCCATTCATTGCCGCGCTGCTGAGCGGCGCCGCCAGCCGGCCCGAGGGCTCCGGTCGCTGTCCCCGCGGGGCGGGAGGTCGCCATGGCGACCCTGGAGAAGCTGATGAAGGCCTTCGAATCCCTCAAGTCCTTCCAGCAGCAACAGCAGCAGCAGCCGCCGCCGCCGCCTCCGCCGCCGCCACAGGCTCAGCCGCCCCCGCCGCAGCCGCAGCCGCAGCCGCAGCCGCCGCCCCCGCCACCCCCGCCGCCGCCGCCCGGCCCGGCCGTGGCCGAGGAGCCGCTGCACCGTCCGTGAGTGCGGGCCCCCGGCCGCTCCACGCCTGTCCCTGTAGCCCGGGCCGCAGCGACGGGGCCTCCGCGGAGGGCGCCTGCCCCTCCCGCCGCGGGACCGGCCCGGCCCCTCCCGGCCCCACGCGCGGGTCTCCGTCCGTCCGCGGGCGGGCACAGCCTCACCCCGGACGGCGCCGCGGCGGGCCCGGCCTCAGCCCCGCCGTCCCTTCGGTGCGAAGTGAGGGGAGGAACTTGCTGCTCCGCGTTTGCGGGAAACCGGGCGTGTTGTGAGAGAACTTGGCAGGGCCGAGGCCGCGTCCCGTGCGGCTCCCTCCGGGCCACTTCCCTGCCCTCCCCCCGGGAGCGGAGGAGCGCGGGGGGCGCCGGGCGGGTGCGGGTGAGATGACATCATGCCTGCGGCGGGGGGGGCGGCCGCGGCCCTAGAAACAGCCCTGGACGGAGGCCGCGCGCCCACCTTCCGCCGGGCGTTTGGGCAGCGGCGAGAGAGCCCGCTGTCTGGCTCAGGCTTGGTCTGCACGCAGTGGAAGGAGTTGCGGTTGTCCAGGAAGGGGTGACCCACTTCGATGGTTATTATTAACAAGTGGGAAGTAATAACCCCGGCGTGGTGTGGGGGAGCGCTGGCTGCAGCTCCTCGCCCGTGCGCTCTGGGGATGAGCGGGATGCCGGCTCACCGGTGCTTAGCCCGGCGGCTGGACGCGGTGTCTGCAGACCTCGGACGGCTCCCGGGCGGGCTTCACCGCCCACATCCCGGTCCGGCTTGGGTACTGGGGTCTCCCAGGCTTGTGCCTGCGAGAATTTTTGAAACAGAAAGAAAGAGGCCGTCAGAGCACCGTCTAGCAGACCCCTCGGGCTCCCCCTTTCTCCCCAGTCCTTGTGCGGAGAGGTTGGGGCGCCCGGAGCGGCCCGCCTCCCCGCTGCGGCCGCCGCTTTCTGACCCGCGGTGTGCAAGGTGGGAGCCTCTTGAAGAAGCGCACTCTGCTCAGACTGGCTCTCTTTTGCCGCGTTTCCTTGTTCTTTGTATTTCCGAAATGATCCTGGCTGTGTTCTGAGAGTTTAATGAGAAAATGTGGATTTGCAGAGTAACGTGGGGCTTCTCTGTTGGAATAAAATTTAGAAATCAATTGTTGTTCTAAGAGGTGGAAAACCTGTCTGGCTACTTAGAGAAAAGTTTATAAAACAACTTTATTCCTAATATAAATTATTACCACAAGTGGTTTATAGCTACCACCCATTCCCGAGTGACGGCACTGCCTCTCCAGGAGGTACAGCCAGCTCACTCAGGGCCTGGCTCCTGTGTAAACAGGGGGCACCAGGGTTTTGGGTGGGAAGCAAGATCTCACTGCTGCCCCCGGTGGCTGGGCCAGACGTTGTCAACCTTAAAATATGCCCTGTGTTCTTGTGCTGATTTGACGGAGCCTGCTGAATTCGCTTTATCTTCAAAACGTGGGTATAAAGTGATTTCCTTCTAAAGTTGGCTTGACAAATTAGACTCTGTTTCACTCGTTTATGTTAAGGTGATGTGACTGACTCACTTAAAAATGATAATCCATTGTGTTTGCATAAGCAGTACATGCATGTGATGGCGGTTCCAAAGGTAACAATTAAAAAGCTCGCTCCCACTCCTTTCTCCCAAGTGCCTGACTGTCCCCAGAGGCAAGCACATCACACTTCCTCCTGCGGCTCCTCCAGATGTGACCTGAGCATATGAGAGGCTAGATTTTAAGTTACTTAAAAACAAAAGTATTTCAACATAGTAACCTTTAAAGGTTCTTAGCATGCTCTGAAACAAACTGCATTAGGCTTAACTACAGTCTTTTTAACTAAAATGCACAAACACCACATTATGTATTTTGCTGTTGAGAACGCAGGTATTCATAAATTTTGAGTAACAAACTCATTGATGACAAGTTTGGATCTTGGCATTTCTTGTTCCGATGCTTCAGGTGAAAAACTCGCTCCCCAAAGTGAGGGTTGGCAAAGCAGCTTAGAAAGTGCCAGTTCTGTTTTCGTGGCTGTTTTAATGTTACGTTTGGGTAAGTAGCACCTGAAGAGCAATGCTCCCAGAGCCAGGCAGTGTGCGAGCTGGCGGGTCACAGCCACGCGTGGGCTTCGCTGGGGGGACCTGAGTGCCTGCTCTTGGCTGGCTCCTGCGTGGGATGAGGGTCCGAGTGGGACCGGCATGCAGGGCTTGCGGAGCTTGGGAGGCTGCTGACATTTGCTTTTGACACTTTCTCCTTCAGGCTCCCACCTGCTTTCCCCTGACTTTAATTGTCTCCTCACCAGAAACACTTCCTGAGCTCTGCACTCAGGGAGCTTCCTGTTTCTGGGGCACAGGGAGTGGACCAGAGATGACAGATCTGCAGGAGGAGGAGTGGCAGAGCAGGCCAGGGGACCGGGCAGCGTCGGGGTAGTAAGATGTTGACATTTTAGGTCAGGTGTCCACAGAGGAGGTGGCTTTGAGTAAATAACTGAAGCGGTCCAGGAAGTAGCCGTGAGGGGTGGGGTGGACGGGCATTCTAGGCCGGGAAACAGGCCCAAGGAGGAATGGCACAGAGGTCAGCTTGGCTGATCGAATGATTGAATTAGTGAGGGAAGCTCCTTTAAAGTATTTTTAAAATTGATTTTAGAGAGGGAGAGCGAGAAACAATGGTGAGAATCATTGATTGGCACCCTCCTGCAGGCCCCACACTGGGGATTGAGCCTGCAACCCAGGCCTGTGCCCTGATCGGGAATCAAACCTGACCTGGTTCATAGGTGGACGCTCAGTCCCTGAGCTGCACCTGCTGAGCAGACAGGGGAACTCTGGGTGGGAAGGAGTGAGGCCAGAGAGGTAGGAGAAGGCCCACCCCATTCAATAACACTCCCCCTGCCCCCCGTAGTGGGAATAAGGCACTGATGTTTATTCTCAGCGGATAGAAAGTCATCAGAGCCTTTGGTCCGAGGACTAGCTGGACTCTCCTTCCACTTCACGGTGAACACTGGCTGACAACAGGTGAGGGGCGCAGGCGGCCGGGCTGGTAGGGAGCCTGCAGCGTCGGGGGGGAGAGGGGGGGTCTGCCAGGGCGTTCGCAGAGGCAACGTGGCTGACTGAGAAGGGGCTGGTTTCCAGGCAGGGCCCTGGGACCTGTTCGCCTCCGTCTACTGAGCATCATTTAGTTTGGCTGTCGTTAGCCGTCATTAGGGTTACATTCAGTGCACACAGCAAATCCCTCCTGCAGTAGCTTACACGGGTAAGAGTGTATTGTCTTTTGAGGAAGATTAGAGACCCAGACTCTGTGAAGCCCTTGTCCTCATTCTTTCTCATTTCTTAGTTATTTGTGTTATCCAATTGTAACCGTTCTTTAATTAGTCTGTGTACTAGACTCTTGTCAGATACTAGAGGCCCAGTGCACAAGATTAGTGCACTGGTGGGGGGTGGCGTTGCTCAGCTCGGCCTGCTCTCCCATTCCAGGACCAGGACCCCTCACCCGCCTGGTGGCTCAGGCCCAATCCCTCTCACATCCAGGGCTCTCACAGTCTGGGACCACTCGCTCCTTACTGGCTGCCTGCCGCTTGGTTTGCCAGCTGTGAACCCAGCTTATGACTGACTGGCATTCCACTTATGGGAGGGCACTGACCACCAGGGCAGCTTCTGCATTGAGCATCTGCCCCCTAGTGGTCAGTGCACATCATAGCGACCAGTCCTTTTGCTGTTCTGTGGCTCTGCTGTTCAGTTGATTTGCATATTATACTTTTATTAGGTAGGATAAGATACGATTTGTAAAAATGTTCTTTCTGTGGGCTTTCTCTTTATTTTCTTTATAGTGTCCTTTGAAGCAAAATGTTTTTAATTTTTTAAAAAATTAACTTTTTTTATTTCCCCTGGCCCCATTGAAAAGTTTTTAATTTGGATGAGTTCACCCAGTGTTCTGTCTTGTCTGTGGCTGCTGCACATTAGTTGTTATATCTAAAAAATGTGGCCTGATTGAAGGTCACAGTTTGTTACTCGCAGTGAAGCGAGTGGGGGTCGTGTTGCTGGTGGAGGGTCTGGCCTCAGTTTGTGGGACCGTATTGACTGCTGCATCACACTGCGCACTCACTTCTGAAGGGCTCTTGGAGGTGCAGAGGCAAAGGTCTAGCATCGTCCTGGCTCCACCTGTGTCCTCCACCTTACGGGCCCCACCCCAGTGACCCCCGGACGGCAAGGGAGCCACTTGGCACCGTGGATAATAGGTCTGCCTTGTCCAGGCGGAAGGACACCTGAGACGACATAAGGACTGTTTCACCGTGTTAAGTGGGATAAGCTCTGATCCTAGACCGGGACAAGAGGGGCCTCAGGGCAGCCGCTCGGTGTCAGGGGGAGCTTAGAGAAGCACAGTGTGCCCGCTCTCGGACCTCCTGCGTCAGAGTCCGCCTCGTACCGGCTCCTGTGGGCAGCCCGTGTGCAGGAGAGCTGCGGAAGCTCTGTGGGGGAGCGGGCCTCCGTGGGTGCGGGCAGTGCGGTGGCACATGGGCAGGGAGGCTTGCTCAGGGGGCCGGGGGCCGCCGGGGCGTGTAGCTCCTGTCCTAGGCCCTGGAGCGCTGTGCGGCTGCAGACAGGTTGTGGCACCGACGGTGAGCTGGGCATTACGAGCCTCAGCTACTGGGGGGACTTTAGTGGGGAGCCGACTAGATGAGCTACTGTGTGCCAGGCCCTGCTCTGGGCCCTGGGTTCCAGTGGCGGATGGGACCGATGAGATAAACACAGTGGAGAGAGCTAATGGAGGAAGGGAGAGGGCTGTGCGGGTTTTTAGGGTCGCAGTGCTGAGGGGACAGACACGGGGCCAGAGGAGACAGTGAGCGTCCCCTTGGGGAGCAGGAGTGCGCCCCGAGGAGTGAGTAGCCAGTGCCCAGGCAGAAGGAAGGGCAGGCGCAGGCGATGAGGCTGAGGCCGGGTCAGCAAGGGTCAGCCGCGGGGCCTGACGCCGGCAGAGGTGGACATGGAGAGGTCACTGATGACCCCATGCCTCCGAGTCCCGTAGCCATTGCGGTGGGCGCCCAGCTGCCTGCCCTGAGTGCGCCAGTCTCTGTGTTCCCGCCGCAGCCTCCTGGGCATTGCCCTGGAGAACGGAGGGCCCGGAAGCTGGGCCCGGCTCCGAACAGCTTTACTCCTAAGACTGGAAACTGGCGCGCTGTCCGGCAACAGGTGACTGATCTGCTGAGCAGTGAGGGGGCAGCCCGGCCGCTGCGCTCAGAGAAGCACGGACAGCCACCCCGACACCGCGCGCTGTGATCCTGTTTGCAAACCGTTTTAGAAATGACACTGTTTCAGGCCTGGAGGCCAGATGCGTGGTGCAGGCTTAGGGATGTGGTGGCTGGGGGTGCGAGCGGGAGGGAGAGGGGCCGGCAGCTCCTGGCTCCTGTGGAGTGGGGGAGCCGGAGTCTGGCCTGGGGACAGGGATGGGAAGGAAGCAGCCGTGGGGAGAGCGGGGGGTGGGGAGGGGGTCAGATCCGGGATCTCTGCGGAGGAAGAGCCGTGGATTTGCAGGCAGAGTGAAATGGGAGATTGTGATTATTCTAAGTCACCATTTCCGAGTGCGCAGTTGAGTGACGGTGCTGAGTTCACGGGGCTCTGCAGCCGCCACCGCTCTCACTGCCCTGTCCACCTGTCCCCGCCGCTCATCTGGTCTCTGGTTGGCCCCCTTGGGACGCGGCTTACGACGGGCCACACAGCCCGGCCTGGGTGGCCGCGGCCTCCTCCAGGCGTGTGTCCCGCAGACTGTTCACCGCTCAGTGGGCGGCGGAGGGGTCTGCCTTAGGTTGAAGGCCAAGCTGAAGTGACTGCTTTGCCTGCAGTGGGAGCAGCCAGGACTGTGCGTCCGGCACTCACCCCACAGCCAGGCCCCGCCCGGAGCGAGGCTGCCCTTCCCGCAGGTTCACTTCCCCTCGGTGCGGAGTGAGGCAGCCGGACGTATTGTTTCTTCAGCCTAACCCCATCCCACGGTTTGTTTGTTGGGCAGAAGCAGGTAGGGAACAGGTGTGCCAAGCAGGGACATAGGATGCACAGGCGCTGAGCTTTAAGATGCTCGACCACACGAGTGAGTTCCTTCTGGGCCATTCCCGGAGCTTCGGGGATGTGGACCAGGAGGGAGGTCGGAGGGGCCTTGTTCCCGGTCGGAAGGCCTCACCACGTTCTGTCTCTGGCGGTCGGTTTGCTTCACTGGCTTAAGTTCTGGCACGTGGACCAGGGCACCAGGCCTTCATGGACCAGGGCGGGCCTTGAGAGCGTGCAGTATTGCTTCTTGCTAACGATCTTTTTTGGTTTGCCACACGTGAGGAGAGAGATGGCGTTCTTAGGAAAACCCATGTGTATCTGTCGCTTCTGAGAAGATGGAGAGGTGCCCACGGGCCGGCCAGCTCGCCGTCAGGCAGGGGGACACTGTGAGGCGTGGCTTTTCCTCCTTCAGGACGCTGCTGACTGCTGATGTGCACGTGGGCAGCCTGACTCATTGTCCCTACACGTGGGCTGTCATGAGGAGTCCAGGAGCGTTTTATGCGTCGTACACACTTGAATTTTGCACTCCTTCCCTGCCTATGGCGGACTGAGCCCGTCAGCAGGGCGGGCTCTTCCTGGATGCAGGTGAGCTCAGCGTGTTCTCCAGGCTGTGCTCTGGCAGCCACGCCAGCTGGTCAGGTCAGCCACCTGGGACACCTGGCTTCCGCCTCACTTTTGCTGAGCCTCTCCCGTGCCAGCTGGGAAAGCTGGGCTTGGAGGTGGACGCACCACAGGATGGAGGTTCTGCTTAGATTCTGACTTGCTGAATACCCAGGTCTGAATTTCTTTTCTGACCTCCATCAGAATAGTGCCTGTCAGCCTTGTTCTCGGTACAGCCCCTGAGGAATCGCTTCAGACCCAGGTAGGAGACTGCACGTGGAGGGCCACTCCCCTCCAGCCTGGAGCTGGAGTGTGGATTCAGCTCATTGAAGGCCGGGGGCAGATTTTCACTTTGGAAATTGAGGAGTAATGGATGTGTTTGCTTTCTAAAATGCTTAAATTCATCACTGCTCTTTTACTTTCTTGATGGCTGCCTTAAACTAGGGAAACTAAGTGTTAGGAACCCTAGTCATTCAGTGTACGCCGGATGTTCAAGGCCACTCTGAGCATGGGAATCCTAAGCAGGGTGTTCAAGGCTCATTTTCTATTCGCAGGTGCAAAAGCAAGGACGCGGCAATCTTGCACTGTGCGGCATGCTCCTCTGTACCCCAGGAGACTGAGGCCCCTGTTTGGCAGGAAGACTTGTCTGAGTTAGCGTAAAGTGTGTTATGAGCAGCTGGTGTGCGGCTGCTTCCTATGCTCCTGTGTTGGTGGCTGCTTTGTGGGGAGGATGTATTACTCACCAGCTGAGGGGAGGCTGTTCTGCTGGGATGGCCTGTGTTTGCTACAGTATTAGCAAGGACTGCTTTGTCTAAGGCCCTTTAGGAGCAGTGGCTACTTGGGCTGCAATAGTGACTCTCTGAGACGCCTACTACTTCTTACGTCTTCTCTGTCCGAGACCCCGCGTCCAAGGGACTCGCCCAGCTGGCAGCATAGTGGCCAACGGATGAGTACTCCCACGGTTAGTGCAGCGGGCAGGGCCAAGGAGGAGCTGACTCTCCACCAGCTGCTGTGAGACTGGATTGGTGGTTTAAAGGAGAGAGCATTTTCAGTCTCACAGCACTTTTCTTCTTTCTCTTTAAAACTGTGGCGTAGTTCCACGTGGGGAACCGGGCCCTTCTTGGTGTGCAGTTCTGTGCAGTTTGCACATGCATAAAGCCATTAGCCACGCCTACAGTTGAAAACCGGAACCACCCTGCCACCCACGCCCATGCCTTTTGCTGTCAGCTGCTGCTTGCCCCCTGGACACTGGTCACTCTGGTTCCTGTGGTTTGTCCTCCCAGACGTCGTGTGCTGGTGAGTGGACGCATCCAGCGGAGCCGTGAGCCTGGTGCACTGAGATTCGCCCCGTGTGGGAGCGGCGCCTCTCCCTGCCAAGCAGCACAGCGCCGCCCCCTGGCCAGAGCTTGGTTTTCCACCTGCCGGGCGAAGGGCATTGGGTTGCTTCTATCATGGAGCTTTTAAAAAAAGAATATCTTTATGGATTTAATAGATAGTGAGGGGGGCTGGAAAGGGAGAGAGAAACATCAATGATAGGAGAGAATCATCCATCGGCTGCCTCCTGCAGACCCCACACTGAGGATCGAGCCCGCAACCCCGGCCTGTGTCCTGACCGGGGATCGAACGGGTGACCTCCTGGTTCATAGGTCGATGCCCAACCACTGAGCCATGCCAGCCCGGCCAGTCATAGGGCTTCTGAGGTGGGTGGTTCATGAGGACGGGGGAGCCTCAGCTTCTGCTCAGTTAGGGCCTGGCTTCCCTCCCGTTGCGCTGCAGCTTCTTGAAGCTCCATCTGAGCGAGCGGCAGCTGCGAGGAGCCAAGGGGAGAGACTCGGGCCAGACAGCGCCCCGCATGCCGCCTCCCTTCCTGCTTCTGGGAACCGAGTGGGGTCTGTCTAGCCGCAGGGAGGCAAGGCCACGGACTTCTGAGCGGAGGCACGGTCAGCAGGAGGGACGCGTTCTGCCAGTGGCAGCACTCCGCTCCCGCTGGCTGGTGTCAGTCCCGCCCGCACCAGGTGGGGACCGCGCTCCCCCCCGCGGTCCGGGAGCCCCCTCGCTCGCCCTGGACCAGGCCCTGCTCTTCTCGCCGGACCCTGGCTGTCCTTCCCGGCCTGGCTGCCCCTCGCTCGCCCTGGACCAGGCCCTGCTCTTCTCACCGGACCTTGGCTGTCCTTTTCTGGAGGGCTTCCCTGGCCGCAGCGCACGTTTTGGGGCCTGAGGGCTGCCTTAGTCACAGGGGCTTGTAGGTTAGGCGCCCCTCCCCCTTACGTATAGCATCTCAGAGACCCAGTGGTGTTCTGGTTGTTTCTGTTAGTGTGCTCCTTCTTTCCTGGCTGTGCTCCCCGAGCTACCTCTTCGGCGGCTCCTCCTCCTGGCCCCGGGCAGCCGCGGACACCTCTCGCCTGGCGCCCGCACCTCCTCTCCTGGCTGAGAGTCTGCGAGACGGCTGTTTCAGCGGTTCGGGGCGGTAGACGCGGTCCGCCTTGTCTATAATTCATGCCCGGGACCAAGTTTCTCCGCTAACTTGGGGAAAGCAGGGTGTGTTATAGCGTCACCTGGCGTTGCTACGGAGCAGCACCAGTAAGGAAGCCCGGGGGGAGCCCCTCTGCGCCTCCCGACCCTGACCCTGACCTGACCCCGACCCTGACCCCGACCCCGACCCTGACCCCGACCCTGACCCCGGCGGCTCTCTGCCCCAGCGCGGAGCAGTGGTTCCTCGGAGTTGCCCCAGAGCTTCCTGAGCGGCGGTGCCGGCCGAGGAGGGGAGCGCTAAGCCAGCACAGCCTCACTCCCCCTCCCTCTCTTCCAGAAAGAAGGAGCTCGCGGCCACCAAGAAGGACCGGGTGAGCCACTGCCTGACCATCTGCGAGAACATCGTGGCGCAGTCGCTCAGGTAACTGGAGAAGAGCCGGGCGGGTTTCATCGCAACTCCCTGCCTCAGCCTTACGGCGCCCGTCCCGGACTTCTGCTCCAGACTCTGATGAGCAGCACCTGCTCCTTTTTGTGGTTAATCCTCACCCGAGAATACTTTTGCATTTATTTATTTTTATTGATTTCAGAGCGGGAGGGAGAGGGAAGAGAGAGAAACCTCAGTGGAATGTGGCTCTGTGGGCTGAGGCTCCCTGTCCCTGGAGGGCACTGGTTCAGTTCCCGGTCAGGCACACACCTGGACTGAGGGTCCCACCCCAGGCTGGGCACCCATGCAGGACAGCCATTGATGTTTCTCCTAAGATGTCTCCCCCTCTCCCTCCCTCTCGCCCCCTCTCCCCTCCCCTTCCCTCTCCCCCTCTCCCCTCTCCCTCCCTCTCTCGCCCCCTTCCCTAAGCATGTTCTGGGGGAGGATTAGAGAGCCTGGGCACAGAGCAGACTGTCTGGGTTCAAGTGTTCCAAGCCGTGTCATTTGTGTGTTTTTGTAATCTTCACCCGAGGGCATTTTCCTCATGGACTTTTGTTTGGGAGAGGGGGGGAGAGGGAAAGACTGAGAGAAACATCGAGGCGAGAGAAACATATCAATTGGTTGCCTCTCGCAGGAGCTCTGACCAGGGCCCGGGCCCGGGAGGAGCCTGCAATCGAGGTCCGTGCCCTTGACCGGGTTCCCTTCCTTTGGTCCACAGGCTGGTGCTCTGTCCACTGAGCCAAACCGGCTAGCCAAGCTCAAGCAGTGTCTTTTTTAAAAATTGAGTTAAAATACACAAAAAGCAGTCTTTCAAAAACATTTAAATTAAAACTTTAAAAAAATGAGATTTGTCTTGCAAAGACAACCTCCTTTTTTGTAAATAAACTTTAAGATTTTAGAATAGTTTTAAGTTCCCGGAAGAACGACGGAGCTGCAGAGTTTCCAGTGCCCACACCTGGCTCCCAGCGTAGCCTCTGGCGTCACTGGTCCGTGTCTCCCAGTCAGATCCACACCACAGACATCGGCCCTCGTTCCATGCCCCAGCGTCCCGGACAGGACGCCCGACGCCACGTGACGTGTAATTGCCGTGGCTTCTCAGGCTCCTCTTGGCTGTGACATTCTCTCCTCCTTCACTTAGAAATTCTCCAGAATTCCAGAAACTGCTGGGCATCGCCATGGAACTGTTCCTGCTGTGCAGTGACGACGCGGAGTCGGACGTGAGGATGGTGGCTGACGAGTGCCTCAACAAGGTCATCAAGGTGAGGGCCGGGCCCAGCCCTGCGGGTTTTATTAACCCGGGCATCGTAAATGCACTCATAAATAAACAAGGCCCTGACGGCCCTGTTCGGAGCTGCAGCAGGTGGGCGGGTCTGCCTGCTGTCTGCTGCGGCTGGCTGCCCTGCGGACGGCCTGGCCTCCCTCGGTGTGGGCCGGCGGGTGCTGATGGCAACTCCTGGGTGCGCTGCTGGGGCGTATCCCAGAGAGAACACAAGGCCCTGGAATCCTTTGAGGTCTCTAGCTCCCTTCCTTTGCTCCTCTCTGCCCCCCTGGGGTCTGGCAGGCAGCACTGCTTGCAGGTCAAGCTGTGACTTGACAGCAGGTTACTGGGCAGAGAGGGGTCCCAGGACAGCAGGTGAGCCAGAAAGCGGAAGCCGGGAGATAGAGAGAGAGAAGGGGACACCGGTCTTCTCCCGGGATTGCTTCCTGATGTGGAGTTTGAGTCTGCTGCCGCCTGTTCTGCTTCCTGCTGCCACGGCCCAGCGCCTTCTTCCCTCATTCTCAGTCACTGGTCCTGTGCTGCCTCCGGCCCTGCTCCGCGTCCTGGTCCCCAGCCCACCCAGGGGGGTCCTTTAGCCTCCGGGAGGTCGTGAGTGTGCAGACTGAGACGCCGTCCCCCCGTGGACTCGCTGGCAGAGTCGTTGGCACTTTCTCCAGAGCCATCGCTCACGTTGGGTCCGCAGCAGGTGCCCGCTCCCTTCTCCACGGGTCCTTGCCACGGGCCGTGCTGGGGAGCCGGGCGCAGTTCGCCCTTTGTGTATGTAGGAAAGTGCTCTGGGGACCCGGTCGGCCTGGCCGCGTGCTCTGCCCTCAGTCCCGTCAGTCCCGTGTGAGATGGCCTGGCAGAAGCCACTCGGTGCCCAGTGCAGACCCCGGGCCCCGAGGGTGGTCGCTGCTGGGGTAGAGGCTTCCTGGTGGGGGGTGGGGGGTGAACCTGGAGGCTCGGCCTCTCACACCGTGGGGCCAGCCTCTGGTGCCAGGAGCTGCGCCGTGTGCCGCCCAGCAGGGGGTGCTGAGGTCAGTCCCAGGGCTCCGTGCTCTGTGTGGGAGGAGGAGGGGCTCTGGCACAGTTCGGATGCGGTCAGAGGAGTGCTTAGTCCAGACCAGAAGCCTGTGCCCAGGGAGGCCTGCCTGGGAGCTGGGGCCAGGACCAGAGCGAGAGCCGGGCGTCTGGGAGGAGGCGGGCCTGGGGGGGGCCTGTGGCTCCCAGCTGGCTGTGGGCTCAGCGGGTCCCTAGGCCACAGGCTGGGCGCATCTGGACACAAAGGGAGGGCCAAACTTTCAGGAGGATGCGGGGTCAGCACTCTCGGGAGCGGGCGTGTGTGCCACGGCAGACCGAGGCTCTGACCTGCAGGTGCGCCGCCCCAGCCCCCTCCCCCCCCCTCAGGCCTTGCCATTAATGCTGATCACCTGGCACAGTGCACAAGATCTGCACTTGCTGCCTGGTCAGGGTTTCCGATCAGAGGTTTGAATGGATTGGAGCCACCTGCCATTAGGTGTGCCATTCTGTAGTGTTTGATGGTGATAACAGTTAAACTTGCTTCCGTTCTTAGTCTGTGAGTCCCTGTGTGTATGTGCTTTTTTCTCAGTGACTTTTTTCTCTAGTTGCTGTTAACATTTACTTTGGCCTGACTGCGGTGCAGGCTGCCTCCCGCTGCCTCAGCTGCGGCCTGAGGGGGCGGGGCCCGAGGGGGCGGAGCCCGAGGGGGCGGGGCCTGAGCAGGCGGGGCCTGAGCGGGGCGAGGCCTGAGCCCAGCTCCTTGTGTTGCAGGCGCTGATGGACTCGAACCTCCCGAGGCTGCAGCTGGAGCTCTACAAGGAGATCAAGAAGGTGCGCCGTGCTCCCGCTGCGGCCGCCTCGCTGCCTGGGCAGCTGGGGAGGTGCCGTCTCACCCACGAGAGAGGAGCTGTTTGGAGCAGCAGACATAGTTTTACTCTCCTCTGCTCGCACTGCTTATTAGATGAGTTGGGAATTTAAAAGGGTGACTTACCTTTTATGTTGTTACAGTTAAATTCACTAACCTTAACGTTTCTAAAGTAAAGATTCAAATGGCCCTGACTCTAAAAGTAGCAGTTAACCATGAAAACATGCCCTTGTTATGTGACGTCCTCCGTGACCCTGACGTGAACTCCTCTGTTAAACCCATGCAGAACGGCGCTCCCCGGAGCCTGCGCGCTGCGCTGTGGCGGTTCGCTGAGCTGGCGCACCTGGTGCGGCCTCAGAAGTGCAGGTGCGTTACTGCTCGGCGGCGGCGGCCTCTCGTCGTCCCGGTGGAGGCCGCTCCCTGAGTTCTCTCCCTCTCAGCTCACACGTCCCTTCCCGAGCTGGGCCTTGTGCTGTGATGGGCTGCCGTGTCCTGGTTCTCCTCACGGCTCCCTGCTCAGGAGCGTTCCTGCACACCCGCCGTGTGCTTGTTCATGTCCCCTCCCCCCGAGGCCCGTAGGAGGTGGGTGCCCTGACAGCAGGGTCTTCCCCTGCCCCGTGTGACAGCAGTGCCCACGCGCGTGAAAAGGGACTTACCAAGTGTTTGGGGGTCAAGTCCCACCCCAGTGCTCACAGTAGGAGTTAGGGGACTCTGTGCCTGTGTCTAGGACATGAGTTTCCAATATGGGCACTAAATTGTGGGCGTTAAACTGCGAATAGTTTTGACTAATGGAACAATTCTATTTTTAAAAAATATATATTTTATTGATTTTTTTTACAGAGAGGAAGAGAGAGGGATAGAGAGTTGGAAACATCAACGAGAGAGAATCATCGATCAGCTGCCTCTTGCACACTCCCTACTGGGGATCTGCCCGCAATGAAGGCACATGCCCTTGACCGGAATCAAGCCTGGGACCTTTCAATCCGCAGACCGACGCTCTATCCTCTGAGCCAAACCTGTTTTGGCTGGAACAGTTCTATCTTAAAAACAAAAGAAGGACCGTAGCTTTTAACTCCACCTTCGTCTCCCTAACTGGCAAACGTCCCTAGGAACGGGCGTGGCCCGGCCCTCACTGTGAATAGGAAGCAGTGACTGGTTCCAGTGGTTTGTGTTGAACAGAGATCCAGTACGAGGGAAATGTCTTTTTGTCTCACTGCTTGCTATAGTCTCCTCATAGCAGCCACAGCGACCGGAGATGTGATTTCTTCACTCGCACTGTGGCTCATCCCCCAGACTGTCCAGATCAATCCCGACTTCTCCCCAGCCCAGGGAGCCTGCCCCAGGGCCCCGTCACCCCAGACACTCTGCGGACTCATTGGCCTGATTCTACTTCTCCAAAAGCCAGAGTGTCTTCCTCGGATGGCTGGTTTGTTTACCCTGGGGTCCCTGCGGAAACAGTTTTCTCCTGAGGACTGTGGCCCAGGCTCCGGAGCTGGGCCTGGGTGCAGACGGCTTCTTGCCTGTTCCTGCACTAGAGGGCGCTGCCGAGTTCCCCACGGTTGGCAGGGTCCTGAGATCCTGGCTCGTCCAACCCGTGACTGCCCGGGTCCGTCAGTCCGTCCGTCCGTCGGCATGGCGGCAGCTTTCTCTAGAGCCAGGTCTTGCCTCTGAGGCCTGTTCAGCTTGAGCACTATCCCTTTCTGTAATGCTTCTTTTCCAAGAAAGCTTCATTCTCATCCCTTACCTCTGTTTCCCTCATCGTCTGTCTCAGTGTTTATTTAAGCGGCCTTCTCTCTGTACGCTGTTGTGTGTCGTCCCCCCCCCCCCCCCCCCCGCAAGTCTCCTCCTATGGCCATCTCTCCCCCACGCCTTCTTCCGCCTCCTAATGTGATGTTTCTTATATTACCTCTATTTTCTAATTTACAGTATGAGTGTTATAACTTACTATTTACTGCAAATAATTTTTAAAGTTTATTAAAAATTTAAAAAAAAATTACTTCAGAGAGGGAGGGAGGGAGGGAGGGAGAAAGAGAGAGAGAGAGAGAGAGAGAGAGAGAGAGAGAAACATCAATGATGAGAGAGAATCATGGATCGGCTGCCTCCTGCACATCACACACTGGGGATCGAGCCCATGACCTGGGCATGCGCCCTGACAGGGAATCGAACCGTGACCTCCTGGTTCATAGGTTGACGCTCTACCCCTGAGCCACACAGCTGGGCTGCATATAATTTTTAAAAGGGTTTTGGAGAGTCCTCTGGCTATGGGGGAGGTGAAGGGTGAGCGTCTGCCAACATTTGAACTTCATGTGCAGCTCACCCTCCTGTAGCTGAGGTTTGACCCTCTCCTCTGAGTTCTGTTTTGCTATAAAAACTGGTTTTTCTCCAACAGGCACCAGATGTATTAAAGTAGTCCTGGTAGAGTAATGCAGGTTCTTTCTCACCTGCAGGCCTTATTTGGTAAACCTCCTGCCTTGCCTGACTCGGATAAGCAAGAGACCCGAGGAGTCTGTTCAGGAGACCTTGGCTGCGGCGATACCCAAAATCATGGCTTCGCTTGGCAATTTTGCAAATGACAATGAAATCAAGGTATGATTCTTACCTCAGGTCACAAGCCTGTGAATGAGTCTGGGGAGTTGGGGCTTTGGGACAGTCATTTGAAAGTACTTATAATTTATTTATTTTTTATTTTTTGAAAATTTTTTATTTGTTTTTTTTTTTTAATTTATTGATTTTTTTACAGAGAGAAAGGGAGATAGAGAGCTAGAAATGTCGATGAGAGAGAAACATTGACCAGCTGCCTCTTGCACACCCCCTAACGGGGATGTGCCCTTGACGGGAATTGAACCCGGGACCCTTCAGTCCGCAGACTGACGCTCTACCACTGAGCCAAACCGGTTTCGGCTATTTTTTAGTTTTTATCTATTGATTTTAGAGAGAGAGGGAGGGAGGGAAAGGGGAACATCCATCTGTTGTCCCACCATTTATGCATTCATTGGTCGATCCTTGAATGTGCCCTGCCTGGGAAAGGAACGCCAACCTTGTGTACTGGGGCAACACTTCACCCACCCACCCAGCCGGGGCCTGTCTGCCCATAATTCCCATCAGACCTTCCGAGGCACGTGAGGGGCTGCCTCCTGCGGCTCCTTCTCTCTGCTCGGGTGGGCGAGGAGGTGAAGAGGGGCCGGTGTGTCCTCGCGAGCAGAGGGGCTTGGTGTGCGGGGAGGGGGGGAGGGGGCTCCACGCTTCCCGGAACCTCGTCTGGGTTGTTCTGGGCTCAGGAACAGCCTGCTTGTCCACGGCCAGGTCCATGGGCGCCTCTGAGGCCGGGCGAGGCTGTAGCTGCTCCACTCTTTGCTCTTTGGCCTCGTGGGGGGTCCGTTTCTTCACTGCGTTTGTGTGATCGGTGTCGTTCCCTGACCCGCCCTCAAACACCGTGGGCGGCCTCCCCAGAGCAGAAGCTCCCACTGTCCCGGCCGCTGCGGCGGAGCCTTGGGCGCTGCCCGGGTGCCCGGCGGGGCTTTGTTCAGCCGGAGCGCCCCGGGTTGTGATGACTCGGCTGCGAGCGTTGGGAGCGCATCAGGCTGTGGACGCACAGCGGGCCTCATGCGCCTCTCCTGGCCCTGGCCACAGGTCCTGCTGAAGGCTTTCATCGCCAACCTGAAGGCCCCCTCCCCCACCACGCGGCGCACGGCGGCGGGCTGCGTGGTGAGCGTGTGCCAGCACTCGCGGAGGACGCAGTACTTCTACAGCTGGCTGCTCAGCGTGCTCCTGGGTGAGGCACGGGCCTGGCGGTGCCCTGGGGGGTGGCAGGATGAGGGGGATGTCTCCGGCCTCGGCTAGAGGCAGACGGTGAGATCAGGCCGTCCCTGGGCCTGTGGCAGACCCTGGGCCCTGCTGACTGGGAAACGGGAGCTCGGCCGGGGCGGCTGCCAGCCCGCGGGGGTCGGGGTGAGGGCGGGAAAGGCTGCTCCTCTGCAGAAGCGTGGGCGCCCACGGCCAGCCAGCCAGCCGGGCAGGGGACAGGCCCGGGCGCACCCTCCGCCTTCCCGCCCAGCCCTCCTGCGGCCACACTTCGCAGCCGGCGTGGTGGCTCTGAGTGCAGGGAGGCCCTCCGGCCCTCCGGCCCGGTGTGACTGCACCGCCTCCCCCGCACACGTTCACTGAAGTCACACCGGCAAGTGCGGGCGCTGCAGACGTTGTAGGAAAGGACGCCGGCGCTCAGCCACGGTGCTGGGCCTCCCTGGGCAGCCCCGGCCCACGCCCGGGTGCGATGCACACACGTGCTTTCCCGGCGACGTCTGTGCCACCGCGGGCCTCCCGCAGCTCAAAAAGGGCTCTGCGGGGCCTCTGCAACAGAGCCCGGAGGCCTGCAGGAGCCGGATGCAGAGCTGTGCTGCCTTCCAGGGCTGCTGGTTCCCGTCGAGGGCGAGCACCCCTCCCTGCTGGTCCTCGGAGCGCTGCTCACGCTGCGGTACTTGGTGCCCTTGCTGCAGCAGCAGGTCCAGGACTCCAGCCTGAAAGGCAGCTTTGGGGTGACCCGGAAGGAAATGGAAGTCTCCCCCTCGACAGAGCAGCTGGTGCAGGTAGGAGCCCTGGGTCACTGGTGCAAGCACAGCCATGACTGGCAGCCTGCGAGTCAGCTCCGGGGAAGGGGAGCGGCACAGCCGGGGTTCTGAGCTCTGGCTCCGGAGCCGGACCCCCTGGCTCAGGTCCGAGGTCATGACCCCCAGCCCTGTGACCTCAGAGGGAGACGCAGGTAGCTCTGCTAAGTTACAGCGTGGCACACAGGCCCTCATAGCCCTGCCTGGCACAGCCTGTGACCCTGTGCCTAAACCAGACCGGGCACGTGTTTATCTGTGCTGTAAACATGGATCGAGCCCCCGCAGTCCTGTGTCTACACATGATAAATTCGGGTTTTGACTGAACTGCTGGGCAAAGCACGTGGTTTAAATAGTGACACGTTGTGACCCTTAACCATGTGAAGAGGTGATGTCGCTGACAGCACTCGGGAGGGCAGGCGGGTGGGGCCGTGGGCGCTGAGGCCTCGCTGCACAGGCAGTTTGTTCGCAGGCGGTAGATTCCCATGCCGCCCAGAGGCCGTGCCCATGGGCAGGCGTGGCGTGCCCACTCAGACCTCGGGCGGAGGGGCGGGTGGGTTGCCTGTGGACTGCAGTTTGCAGACCTGCGACCTGGAGTGATGGAGGCCCCAGAAGAACCAGAGCGAGCCATAGGGCCCCTCCCTGAGCTTTTAGTCTGTGCCCGCGTGCTCTCTGTCTTTCTGAAGCGGACGTTTTCCTTTTATGATGCTAAAGGGAAGGCTGCCCCACCAGCAGGTAGAAAGTGCAGTTAATTTTGAACTTGAGGCGAATGGCGAGTCGTCGTGTGGGTGAGCTGCGGGAGAGCACAGGCCACACTGCAGTCATTAGTTATCTGAAAGTCACACTGAACGGGTGCTCTGTAACCTCATCCTGCTCACGTCACGTCAGAAGCACCATGGGGTCTGACATGAGACCTTTACCAGCCTCGTCAGCTCTTTCTCGGTGGCACTCCGACCGAGGCCCTCGCCTCGGAAATGTGTCAGCCATGCCTCTGCCCACGGAGCGTGGTCGCCACCCTGGCAGCGGGAGGCGGAGCCCTTCCTCAGCTGCCCTGCCTCTGCGCACGCGCTCCGCTCCCTAAGGCAGCGGTCGGCAAACTCCTTAGTTCGCAGAGCCAAATACCAGCAGGACAACGATCGAAATTTCTTTTGGGAGACCCATTTAAAAAAAAAAAAGTATATATATTTTTTATTGATTTTTTTTTACAGAGAGGAAGGGAAAGGGATAGAGAGCTAGAAACGTCGATGAGAGAGAAACATCAACCAGCTGCCTCTTGCACACCCATCGGGGATGTGCCCGCAGCCAAGGTACATGCCCTTGACCGGAATCGAACCTGGGACCCTTCAGTCCGCAGACCGACGCTCTATCCACTGAGCCAAACCGGTTTCGGCGAGAGACCCATTTTTTAAACTTAAACTTATTCTAACGCCACTTCTTCAAAATAAGCTCGCCCCAGCAACGCTCAGGGGGCCAAAGAGCTGCATGTGCTTGCGAGCCGCGGTTTGCCGAGCACTGGCCTCAGGAACTGGTACCACAGTGAAAAGCCTCGGAGTTTAGGAGGCCGCCCGGAGGCTGCTGACCACACTGGTGGAAGCGACACCGTTTTAGGGGCAGAAAGGAAGGCACAGGTTCCGGCGTACGCCGTCGGAAACAGGAAGGGACGGCAGTGCCCCGGGGACCCCACGACGGCCGCCGTCTCCCCTCCAGGTGTACGAGCTGACCCTGCACTACGCGCAGCACCCGGACCACAACGTGGTGACCGGGGCGCTGGAGCTCCTGCAGCAGCTGCTCCGGACGCCGCCGCCCGCGCTGCTGCGCGCCCTGACCACGCCGGGCGGCCTGGCGCAGCTCAGCGCGCCCAGCACGGAGCCCGGCGGCCGCAGCCGCAGCGGGAGCATCGTGGAGCTCATCGGTGAGTGCTGAGCGGGCCCCCTGCAATGGGGCCCGGGCCACGGCAGTGATGACTGCAGGGAACTGATGGGTGGGAAGGAGGCGAAGGTGGTCGCTCTGAGCGCGGCTGCCTCCAGTGGCATCTGTCTGCCTGGGAGTGACATCCCAGGGCCTGTCGTCTGTCACTTGGCCAGAGATGGGACCCTGGTCCTTCAGAGCTTTTGTCTCTGCTGCCCTCTGGCTCCGTGCTGCCCTGCCCACTTCAGAAAAGCTCTCCTCGCCTGCCCGTCACTGCTCCTCCCACCGTGCTTGTCCTGGGAGGGCCCGCCCCTGATTTCCTGCAGCTGTGGCCCTGCCTGACGTGGAGACGCCCCTGGGAGCTGGGGTAGACGGAGCCTTGGGTTGCAGCTCCGGGGGGTTTCCATTTCTCCCGGCCTCTCGGTCTTTTGGCATGCGGTCCATTTAGTGCAGTGTGTGCGCATGTGTGTGCATGCGTGTGCGTGTGCGCGTGCCAGAAAATGGTCCTGTGCCTGTTCCCTGTCCTTGTCCTGAAGCACCTTTTCTCTGCGGGATGCACGCCTTACAAATAATCGCCGAAATCCTCATTCCCAACGGCGGTTCCTGACGAGGATTTATACTTGATTATTAGTTGACCAAACAATCTGAGATTTCTGATGGCTTTAATTTGGCTTTTTAAGTGCACTGTCTGTGCACTCTTGACATTTTAGGCCTGAGCTATATGTGTATTTGAGTGGTAATGTAACTTTCATGTCAAAATCAAAGCAGAGCACTGCCTTTTGGGAATATGTTCATATATTCTCTGGCTTTAAAGTTGAATCGAAACTATTTGAATTCCTTCTGAATTCCAACAGCTTGCTGCCTTACTTTCATCTGTCATTCTTTTGTGATTTTCAGCCGGAGGGGGTTCTTCATGCAGCCCTGTCCTTTCCAGAAAACAAAGAGGTGATTATTTCAGAAATCAGTCCGGGCGGCTGGTTTTCTGTTTCGTGATGCCCTGCCTGTGGGTGCATGCTGTGGGTCGGGCCTGGCAGGGCTTCCCCGCTGCCGTCAGAATTGCCGTCAGGACTCGCCGCCTTCGGGGCGGGGCTGGGCAGAGCTTCCTGTGAGGCCAGTTCCTATGCCGCCTGGGCCTCCCTGTGGCCTCGGCCTCAGCCTGCGGGTCCTGAGCTAAGGGTGCGGCTGCCTTCCGGGCAGACTCATTCCCCAGCGCCTGCCTTGTCTGCCGCTGCCAGTGCATTATGTTTGTGAGGTAGCCTTCTCCCCGCCTGCTTGTTCACTGTATCAGACAGGTGACTGGCTAATGAGTTGGTTTGGGCCCGGGGTATTCCAACCATATTTGGCTTTGTGCAGGCCAAAGTGTCCTGATACAATTGATTATTTTTTATTAGATCAAAGTGTTTCTAATGAAATCTGACAGTTTGGGTACATGTTATCACTTTGCAACAGCACTCATTTTCTTTTCCAGTCTAGATTTCTGTAGGAAGTAACTGCTGCCTTTTTTAATTTTGAAATCTTAAAAGACTAATTCATTTTTAAAAATTGAGGGGTAATTGGCAAACAACATGCTGATTTTTGTGTGTCATGAGTGTTGTGTGTGTCTGAGAGTCCGGCGCCCAGTGTGACTGGCGGTGAACGCCGCCTTTCCAGGAGCACGGCACGTCCTCGGGTTCGGACGGAGATTGCTCCTACGGCGACATAAGGCGATTTTCGCCGTTAGTCGGACCCACCTCCATAAGCACCTGTGTCCCTCACATGGAGCTGACACAGCAGTGATGACGTGACACAGCAAAGAGAACTAAAAGACAATTCCTGACCTTGTGGTAAATAAGTAACAAGAAACATAAAGCGCCTATGTACACACGTCGCAGTGACGGGACTTTCTTTATAAATAAACGGGAGATGGCCACGTAACCATGAGACAACGTCCCTGATCCTGCATGACCCGGGCACGGCCTGTGGACGCAGCTTGGCTGAGCCAGAGCATTTCCTAGACGGACCTGGAGGCTCCCATTGGGCCGCACAGTGTGGTCACTTAGGGGCTTTGAGGTCTGGGTGAGCACGAAGGTGGTTCGGGAGCCTGTGCTGCCGGCTGGTCTCGGTGCTCCCTGCTCCCGCGCTGATGGGAAGGAGCCCGTTGTCTCCCGCCAGGACCCGGGGAAGCCTCAGGCTCTTTGCTTTCCTGCGTCCTTTGTTTTACCTTGTTTTTCAGGCAGGGCTGTAGTGCCTAACGTCTTTGTTGTAGCCTCAGAATTCTCTTTTCCAATGAAACCTGCACTGTCCTGGGACAGATGGGCAGCCCCGTTCAGGGGCCCCTGAGCCGCCCTGCTGGCCCTGCAGGTGCAGCCTGGCCGGGCAAAGGACCCTGAGCAGGCGGCCAGCGCCTCGCTGTGCCGTCACCTCCACCATTTCCGTTGTGCTTCATTGGCCTTCCGTGTCCCATGAGTGCACGCTGGGGAGGTGGTCACCCTGTGCCCTGTGCTTCTCGTGGCCAGTGATGGGTCAGTTCCTGCCGTTTGATGACATTGGTGTGTGATGTAACCATGAGACTTAGGAGCCCAGTTACATCACGTTGAAACTTTTGTTTTCTTTTTATCTGACTATAGAGTCTGAAAACTGTAAACTGTAAAGTGTATTTTTTGAACTTTGCTAAAGATGAAATATTATTTCAGCCTCCTAGGTTGTACAGTGCTTGAGTTATGATTAACCTTAGAATCTAACAAATTAAAAGATAACAAAATAAATGGCCTCTAGGAATAGCGGTTTCATGTGTAATTCTGGCCGCCATTGAGATGCTGCAGAACATCCCTGGCGGACAGCGTGGTCCTGGCCATGGTGCGGTTTAGGTGAAGTAGCGATAAGTCACTGCCGGCTGAGTATTTGCACTTGTCCCCGTGCTCTGCAGCTCCGTCCGTCCGTCCATCCGTCCGTCCGAGAAGCTGGCTCTCCGCTTTCCTGCGGACTCGCTGGTGCTCTCCGTGCCCCAGGCGCCGGCTCTGTGCTCCGCCTCCAGGGCAGAGTGTCCTCCACAGTGACCAGCTGCACGTGCGGGGCTGCGGGAGTCCTCCCAGCTCACGGCGCTCCTCTCTCCTAGGGAAGGTGCTCCTCGGGGAAGCGGCGGCCTTGGAGGAGGACTCCGAGTCCCGGTCCGAGGGCAGCAGCCCGGCCTTCGCAGGTAGCTCTCGGGTGAGGGGGTGCCGTGGGGGCCACCCCCTCCTGTCCCGGGCCCCCTCCCCTGTTCCGGGCAGCGTGTAGCCAGCTGCTCAGGGAGAGTTCAGTGAGCCTCTGGTGTAGTGCTCACTTGGAAACGTGTGTTTCTTTGCATCACATGTTTGCTGTTTTCCTGCTTTAACTTAGGGCTATGCTCCTGAGCGTTGTCTTTCTGAGTAGGAAGTGGTGGGTGAGGGAACTGCCTGGTTGTGAGGGGGAAAAGGACTAAAATTGTCTACAGATGATTTAAGAAGAATTCTGCATTTGTTCACAGATATGAGTTTTTTATTCACCTCTTAAAAGATGAGTATTGACCAAGTTACTGATAATTGAGTTAAATGAGAATGGCTTGGGTTGTATAATTCTATTTGAAAGAATGCTTTTAGGTAACTTATTTGGGAAGGAAAATCTGAATCATCCCAATGGTGATTATGTGTTCATTTATTTTACAAAGTAGAAATCAGTGTTCTAATTACAAAAACAAAGTTAAAGTAACATTATGGCTGTGATAACTCGGCCACGTGCTCTCGGAGCCGGCGTCCAGGGGCGGCCGCTGTCACGGGGAGCTCTGTGGCACTCACGCAGGCTGTGGCTTCCTGGGGCCACAGCGTAACGGGAGCAGGTGCCCTCTGTGCCGCGGGGAAGGCACGGCGTGGGGCGGTGAGCAGGGTCAGAGGAGAAGGAATGGCCACCTCGGAGTGATGGCGAATTTACCTCCTTGCTTCTGAGCAGCTTGGCCGAGGGCTGTGCGGGCAGCTGTGAGCGTGGCTCTGCCCAGCTGGGGAGCAAGGAGCGCCCGCACTCCCCACACGGCCCAGTGGCTGTGGGATCCCGCACTCCCCTCCCCATAGGGCCCAGCGGCCGCAGCTGAGGCAGTGAACACTGGAGGGAACACTGCACATGTCACAGTGTCTGCTGCTGACCCCACCTCTTTAAACATATATAAAAACATTGATGAGAGAGAAATATGGATCAGCTGCCTCCTGCAGACTCCCTACTGGGGATGTGCCCGCAACCAAGGTACATGCCCCTGACTGGAATTGAACCTGGGACCCTTGAGTTCGCAGGCTGATGCTCTATCCACTGAGTCAAACCGGTCAGGGCTAAAACTTTATTTTTTAAAACATATATCTTTATTGGTTTCAGAGAGGAAGAGGAAGGAGAGAGAATAGAAACATCAATGATGAGAGAATCATTGATTGGCTGCCTGTTGCATGTCCCCTACTAGGAACCAAACCCAAAACCAGGCATGTGCCCTTGACCAGAATTAAACCTGGGACCCTTCAGTCCTCAGGCTGACGCTCTACCCATTTGGCCACACAGCCAGGGCAGACCCGACCTGTTTAATACGACGCGGTGACGTGGTGAAAGGGCAGTAACTGGGATGCGGTTGTGATCATGTTTAGAGGATGCACTGTTGTCCTGCTTTTGAAATACCCCAGTTCCTGTGTTCACTGTGTTTAAGGATGTTTGCTGTTTAAACAGTGACAGTGAACGTGAGGGTCTTTGCAAACATTTGATCCCAGCGGCGGTTTCCTGGCCCTTTGTCTTCAGCCTCAGGCAAGGGCGAGATCTCTGGGGAGCTGGCTGCCTCCCCCGGGGTCTCCACCCCGGGCTCCGCCAGCTCCACGGCTGACTCCACGGGCCACGACATCATCACAGAGCAGCCCCGGGCCCAGCACACGCTCCAGCCGGACTCCGTGGACCTGGCCGGCGGCGACCTGGCCGGCGCCGCCACCGACGGGGACGAGGAGGATATCTTAAGCCACAGCTCCAGCCAGGTCAGCGCCGGCCCGTCCGACCCGGCCATGGACCTGAACGAGGGCACCCAGGCCTCCTCCCCGCTCAGCGACAGCTCGCAGACCACCACCGAGGGGCCCGACTCCGCCGTGACCCCTTCCGACAGCTCCGAAATCGTGAGTGGGCAGGGCGCCTGGTGTCTGCGTGGGGCTCCCCTGGAGGCCCAGACCTGCACCCGCATCCCGTCCGACCCACCGGCGGTGCAGAGGCACCCGCTCCGCCCCGAGCCCTTCGCCTTGTGTGGAACGAGGGCAGAGTTAGATTAGGCGATGGTGTGGGCTCTGCTAAAAGCTCTCTCACATCCGTCTCCCTCCGTTCCTCCCTCCCTCCCTCCCTCCCTCCTTCCCTCCCTCCCTCCTTCTCTCCCTTTTTCCCTCCCTCCCTCCCTCCCTCCCTCTGCCGCCCTTCCCTTTCACCCTCTCTCTAAAAAAAAAATAAATAATAATAAATGGGGAAAAATCTCCTCAGGTAAAAATGTAACAAATAGGGATTTCCAGACTGAAGTTTCTGGAGTTGCAGGTCTGGTGGCGCGGTGGCCGTGCCCGGCAGCGTGGGCCGTGTGGCGCATTGGTCTGTGCCTGTGAGGGTGGCCTCTGTGCAGGACCCCGTCCCCGCGGGGCTCTGGCCTTCGCCCTTCGGAGTTAGGCTTGTCCTCGAGTCGGCAGGGCAGAGCCTCACGGCCCTTTGCACCGCCCAGGTGTTAGACGCCGACAGCCAGGACGCGGGGCTGCAGCTCGGGGCACCTCCGGGGGACGAGGGGGCGGCGGCGCCCGGGGGCCTTCCCGAGGACTGCACCGCCTCCACAGCCGCGTCCGCAGGTATGTGGCCCGGCGTTGCGGGCCTTGGCGCCGAGGAAGTCCGGTGTCTCCGGGTGTGGGTGAGGAGGGACGCCGAGGCCATCGCCCCGGCCACGCTGGCCCCGGGTGTGCGTGTGCGTGTGGTGTGCGCGGGCGCGGGCGGCCGCTGACCGGCGCTGTGTCGGGCAGCCCGGCAGCAGGCACACTTACTGAGAGGCGTGGGCCACCGCCGCCAGCGCTCGGACGGCAGCGTGGACTGGGCCGGGTCCAGAGAGGACGCTGCCGACCCAGGCGATCAGGACAAGGTGAGAGGCTCCGGCCAGGAGGGCGGCTCCGCTGTCTGTCACGTTCCCCAGCCCGCCCCCCCCCCCCCCAGCCTTCTGCCTCGCGCCCTCGGGCCGTCCGCTTCCGGGCAGCGCTTCTCGCTTCTGTCCCTTTGGCCGGTTGCTGGTCGGGAGGCCGGAACCTCAGACCTGCCCGCTCAGCGGCATCAGTGCATTCACGTTGTTGACCGCCATACGTCCGTCTCCCGGTGTCTCCTCTTCCCACATGGACACCGCAGCCCCAGCCTCCCCCTCAGCCCCAGCCTCCCCCTCAGCCCCAGCCTCTCCCTCAGCCCCAGCCTCCCCCCTCAGCCTCCCCCTCAGCCCCAACCTCCCCCTCAGCCCCAGCCTCCCCCTCAGCCCCAGCCTCCCCCTCAGCCCCAGCCTCCCCCTCAGCCCCAGCCTCCCCCCTCAGCCTCCCCCTCAGCCCCAGCCTCCCCCCTCAGCCTCCCTCCTCAGCCCTAGCCTCCTCCTCACCCCCCCTCAGCCCCAGCCTCCCCCTCAGCCCCAGCCTCCTCTTCAGCCCCAGCCTCCCCCTCAGCCCCAGCCTCCTCTTCAGCCCCAGCCTCCTCCTCAGCCCCAGCCTCCTCCTCAGCCCCAGCCTCCTCCTCAGCCTCCCCCTCAGCCCCAGCCTCCCCCTCAGCCTCAGCCTCCCCCCTCAGCCTCCCTCCTCAGCCCCAGCCTCCCTCCTCAGCCCCAGCCTCCCCCTCAGCCCCAGCCTCCCCCTCAGCCTCAGCCTCCCCCCTCAGCCTCCCTCCTCAGCCCCAGCCTTTCTCCTCGGCCTCCTCCTCAGCCCCAGCCTCTCTCCTCGGCCTCCTCCTCTGCGTGCACTCCCTGGATTGATTCCCCGGCCTCCCCGTGTGGGACCTGCAGTGTTGCCCTTTTGTGGAATCCCCTGACGCACTGAGCATCCGTCCTCGGCCCCCATGTGGTAGCAGGTGTGGATTCCTGCCTGTTACACGTGGCCTCACTCCGTCCTGTGTGCGGCCACATTTTGTTTCTCCCGTCCACAAGGCCACCGGCTCCGTGCGCCTTCGGGCCGTGGTGGATGGCGGGGCCGGGTCTCTTGGAGGCCCTGGTTTCGGGTCCTGGTGGGCGGCTGGTCAGTGTGATTCTGAGGAGCCGCCTGCCCCAGGGATTGTGAATGCCTGAGGGCGAGGAGTGGCTGCACTAGGCGCCCACAGCCTCCTCGTCACTCTAGGTCCCCAGCTCCTCCCGCTGCCCGCCGGCTGTCCCCTCGTCCCCCAGCTCCTCCCGCTGCCCGCCGCCCTGTCCCCTCGTCCCCCAGCTCCTCCCGCTGCCCGCCAGGCTGTCCCCTCGCCCCCCAGCTCCTCCCGCTGTGTGCTGCCCTGTCCCCTCGTCCCCCAGCTCCTCCCTGCTGCCCGCCGCCCTGTCCCCTCGTCCCCCAGCTCCTCCCGCTGCCCGCCAGGCTGTCCCCTCGTCCCCCAGCTCCTCCTGCTGCCCGCCGGGCTGTCCCCTCGTCCCCCAGCTCCTCCCTGCTGCCCGCCGCCCTGTCCCCTCGTCCCCCAGCTCCTCCCGCTGCCCGCCGGGCTGTCCCCTCGCCCCCCAGCTCCTCCCGCTGCCTGCCGCCCTGTCCCCTCGCCCCCCAGCTCCTCCCGCTGCCTGCCGCCCTGTCCCCTCGCCCCCCAGCTCCTCCCGCTGCCTGCCGCCCTGTCCCCTCATCCCCCAGCTCCTCCCGCTGCGTGCTGCCCTGTCCCCTCGTCCCCCAGCTCCTCCTGCTGCGTGCCGCCCTGTCCTCTCGTCCCCCAGCTCCTCCCGCTGCCTGCCAGGCTGTCCCCTCTCCCCCCAGCTCCTCCCGCTGCCCGCCGCCCTGTCCCCTCGCCCCCCAGCTCCTCCCGCTGCGTGCCGCCCTGTCCCCTCGCCCCCCAGCTCCTCCCGCTGCCCGCCGCCCTGTCCCCTCGCCCCCCAGCTCCTCCCGCTGCGTGCCGCCCTGTCCCCTCGCCCCCCAGCTCCTCCCGCTGCCCGCCGCCCTGTCCCCTCGCCCCCCAGCTCCTCCCGCTGCGCGCCCCTGCCCAGCCCCGGCCCTGATGGCGCTGGAAGCAGGTGGCACCCAGCAGAGCGGCCTGTGCCCGCACCGCCCAGGCGGGCCCCGCCGAGCCGCTGGGCCGTGTGTCCCCCTCAGACAAGCCGGGTCTGTTCCAGCCCCGCCGCCTCAGGGGCGACATCGGCCGGCCCGACGACGGCGACTCCGCGCCCCTCACCCACTGCGTCCGCCTCCTGGCCGCCTCGTTCCTGCTGACGGGGGAGAGGCATGGTGAGGGGCCGTGAGGCGGGGTGCGGGGTGTGGGGTGGGGGGGAGGCACGGGGAGGGGCCGTGAGGCGGGGTGTGGGGGGTGTGGGGGGGGAGAGGAACGGTGAGGGGGTTGGGGGTGTGGGGGGGAAGGAACAGTGAGGGGGTTGGGGGTGGGGGTAGAGGGGGTTGGGGGTGTGGGGGGAAGGAACAGTGAGGGGGTTGGGGATAGAGGGTGGAGGGGGTTGGGAGTGTGGGGGGGAAGGAACAGTGAGGGGGTTGGGGGTAGGGGGTGGAGGGGGTTGGGTGTGGGGGGTGGAGGGGGTTGGGGGTGTGGGGGGAAGAAACGGTGAGGGGGTTGGGGGTAGGGGGTGTGGGGGGAAGGAACGGTGAGGGGGTAGGGGGTGGGGGTGGGAAGGAACCGTGAGGCGGAGGGCAGCTGCTCAGAGGGGCCTCAGCGTGGGCTGCCGCGAGCTGCGGTGACGGCAGGTGTCCTTGCAGCGCTGGTCCCGGACAGGGACGTGCGGGTGAGCGTGAAGGCGCTGGCGCTCAGCTGTGTGGGCGCAGCGGTGGCCCTGTACCCGGAGGCCTTCTTCAGCAAGCTGTACCGAGCCCCCCTGGACGCCGCGGAGCACCCCGGTACGCAGCCCTCTGCCCTCTTCCTCAGCCCTGTGCCCTCGCCCCTTCCCTGGGACACTTTCCCTCCTGCCGTCCGAGGAGGCGGCAGTGGTATCCGCGCTGACCGGCCTCGCTCTGCGGGACTGTCTGCAGCACACGATGGCGTGTTCGCCGTGTCCATACAGCACACAAAGGCGTGTCCGCATGGCACACGCCACTGTGTCCGCACTGTCCGGGCCACCGTGTTCACACAGCACACGCCGCTGTGTCCACACTGCCCGGGCCACCGTGTTCACACAGCACACTATGGCATGTCCGCTGTGTCCGCACGGCACACGATGGCGTGTCGCCGTGTCCGCATAGCACATGATGGCGTGTCCGCATGGCACAGGCCGCCGTGTCCGTACAGCACACGCCACTGTGTCCGCACAGCCCGGGCTGCCGTGTCTACAGCACACGATGGCGTGTCCGCACGGCACGAGCCACCGTGTCCGTACAGCACACGCCGCTGTGTCAGCATGGCCTGGGCCGCCGTGTCCGCACGGCGCACGATGGCGTGTCTGCACAGCACGGGTCACCGTGTCCGCACAGCGCACGATGGCGTGTCCGCACAGCACACACCACTGTGTCCGCATGGCCTGGGCCGCCGTGTCCACACGGCACACGATGGCGTGTCCGCACAGCACACGCCGGTGTCGGCTGTCCTCGCCGTGTTCAGTTGGGATGCTCACAGCAGAGTTCTGGGAACGCAGGCCCAGCGGCGCGGTAGATTTTGCCGGGAGCTGCTCAGAGGGGCCTCAGCGTTGGCCCCTGATGTGTGTGTCGTCAGTTTACAGCACATCCTGCCGAGCAGGTTCACGTCGGACGCGGGGGCTGGGAGCGGGGCCGGGGCGCGGGGTGCCGGGGGCTGGTGTGCGCTCTGGGGCTCGCCGCGTTAGGAGCGTGGTGGGCAGAGCGGCCCTTCTGGCATCCTCCTCTCGCCTTCCCTCTCTGGGCGGCGACAGGCCTGTGCTTCTGAATTCATGTGAGTAACTGGGGACTAGTTTGAATTTTCCTTATCTTTCTTGAAGTAAAAAGCGAGAATTTTGCTTATTGGCTGACAACCTGGAATTCTAACCTGCTGTGTTGACTGCTACCTTGAATCTAGAATTTTTTAAAAATATATTTTATTGATTTTTTTACAGAGAGGAAGAGAGAGGAATAGAGTGTTAGAAACATCAATGAGCCGAAATCGGTTTGGCTCAATGGATAGAGCGTCAGCCTGCGGACCTAAAGGTCCCAGGTTCGATTCCTGTCAAGGGCATGTACATTGGTTGCGGGCACATCCCTGGTAGGGGGTGTGCAGGATGCAGCTGGTCGATGTATCTCTCTCATCGATGTTTCTAGCTCTCTATCTCTCTGCCTTTGTGGGGGGAAAAAAAAATCAATAAAATATATTAAAAAAAAAAAAAAAAGAAACATCGATGAGAGAGACATTGATCAGCTGCCTCTTGCACCCTCCCTACTGGGGATGTCCCCGCAACCAAGGTACATGCCCTTGACCGGAATCGAACCCGGGACCTTTCAGTCCGCAGGCCAACGCTGTATCCACTGAGCCACACGGGTTTCGGCGAATCTAGAATTTTCAAGCCTCCGCACGCTCCTTGCTCCCCTTCCTGCCTGTGGGGCCCCGTGCCCTTTGCGGGAGGCTCCGTGGGCTTTGACGTGCTGCCTTGGTCCCGCAGAGGAGCAGTACGTCTCGGACGTCCTCGGCTACATCGACCACGGAGACCCGCAGGTGCGCGGCGCCACGGCCATCCTCTGCGGGGCGCTCGTCTGCTCCATCCTCGGCAGGTCCCGCTTCCAGGCGGGGGACTGGCTGGGCTCCATCCGAGCGCTCACAGGTAGCGGCCAGTTTCTGAGGGTTGCCCTCTGGGTGTCGTTGCCAAGTTCAAGTTCACACAAAGGGGTTTGTGGCTTGCTCCGTTCAGGAAACACGTTTTCTCTGGTGGACTGCGTTCCTTTGCTGCAGAAAACGCTGAAGGATGAGTCGTCTGTCACTTGCAAGTTGGCGTGTGCAGCTGTGCGGGTGAGCGCCGGGAACCGCCCCTTGCGTGTTGGGGGTCTTCCCGTTAATACAGCCGAGATGGCACGTGTCCACACGCGCAGCGTCGCCAACGAGAATAAACGTCTGTGTGTCGTCACTTTGCTTTAGGAACAAGCATTGCCTGTACACTGACAGTTCGATGGACTGTTTTAAAGGTTTTGATCCTCAGAATATCCTCACGGGGTCAGCTGGTTTGAAATGTACCTTTCTGTAAAGACTGTATGTGGAGGTAGACCTTGGCTAATGTGCAGGTCAAACCTGCATTAAAAACGACACCTCCGTGAGGCCGTAGCGCGCGCAGCTGGATGAGGCTTGGGGGCGGCAGTCACCTCTGTCTGAGGCGGGCGGCCCGTGCTCTGCCCGGCAGCTGGGCAGCCTTTGTGTCCACCGGGCTCACCATCACCCGCCAGCCACCCGCCGCACTGAGGCTGCAGCGACGGCAGGAAGGGCGAGGGGGGTTGGCTCTGGGTCCCAGATGCATTAGAAGTGGCGGGAGATGGTGCCACCCCCTCTTTCTGCTGATGAATGTTCGTTCATAGGGGGGGGCGGTCTGGGAGGAGAGGCTGTGACCGAGGCAGAAATGGAGGAAAAGGAAAACGAAGTTCTACAACAGGGGCACACTTTGAAACTCAAGTTTGCTGTGGTAAAGCGTGTATCGCAAACGTCTCTGAGGACATGGACCGTGTGTGTGTGTGTGTGTGTGTGTGTGTGTGTGTGTGTGGTGCACGTGGGCTGGTGTGTGCTCATGTGAGGTGCACGTGGACCGGTGTGTGTGTGTGTGTGTGTGTGTGTGTGTGTGTGTGTGAGGTGCACAGGGACCAATGTGTGTGTATATGAGGTGCACATGGGCCGGTGTGTGTGTAAGGTGCACGTGGACCGTTGTGTGCTCACGTGAGGTGCACGTGGACCGTTGTGCGTGAGTGTGTGGACTTCTGACGCCGCCACGCGGCCTTCTTTCCAGCACTGCGTCATGAGCCTCTGCAGCAGCAGCTACAGCGACCTGGGGCTGCAGCTGCTCACCGACGTGCTGAGCCTGAGGAGCAGCTCCTACTGGCTGGTGAGGACGGAGCTGCTGGAGACGCTCGCGGAGACGGACTTCAGGTGCGGGCAGCAGGCCCCTCGAGGGCGCGGGCATCCAAAGGCCTGGCCCTGGCGCAGGGGTGGTGGTCACCGTGAGCCCGGAGTGAGCGTCCCAGCTAACCCGGCGGTAGTCGGGGGGGCCCCTGCTGGTGCAGGTGGTCGCCTGTGCCCAGAGCCCAGGGGCTTGGGGCTGACAGCGCTTTGCTTGTCTCGGCTGCCTGCTCAGACCCTCCTCGCGGCCGAGGGCAGTGCCGGGCTCTCCGGCCTGAGCGTGTGGGGAGGCCTGTCAGCTCTGGTCCGTAGGAGCGTGCTCACCGCCCAGGCTTGGGCCAGCCGGCCGCTCCGTATGGAACGTGAGCTGATGGGCTGGTTCCTCACGTCCCGGTGAAGCTCAGCTTTCGGTCAGAGGAAGGTTCCTTCCTTCCCAGGGGCTCTGAGCACCGTCTCGAGGCTGGTCTGTGTCAGGCGCGTGCTGGCCGCCCTCTGCGGGCATTTGCTGCATCCTCGGAACATCTCTGAGAATTAGGGTTGTCTCCCCTGTGCCCCTCGGAGGGGCCACAGCCGGGAGTGAGCGCCTCCCGGGGATACAGGGAAGACAGTGCAGCGCCTCCCTCGTGTGACTGAGTCTGCAGGCCCGAGTTTCCAATATAATGCACGCTGGTGTTGCTTTGGAAGAAAGCAGTTTGCTCAACACTTCTGATTGGCGGAGCCTAGGATTAGGAGAGTGTGACACAGTGGTCTTCCCGCCATTTAGTGAGTGCTGCCCGCCTCCCGCGCCTGGACTGACCCCCGGCGGCCTGCCCTCACGGGGTCTGTCAGGTGCTGGCGGAGGGACGGGTTCTCATTGTGAAATGTTTCTCTCGTTAGGTTGGTGAGCTTCCTGGAAGCAAAGGCAGCACACCTTCACAGAGGGGCTCACCATTACACCGGGGTAAGCAGCGCCCCCGCGGGGGGTGCCCTCCGCAGCCAGCGTCCCGGCGGGAGTGCGGGTGCCTCTGCCTGGCCTCCCCACCTCCCCGTGCCACTGTGACCGCCTGGCGTGAGCTCGGCTGCTGGTCACGCGCTCTTCCTCGCTGCCTCTCCGCAGCAGCTCACCCAAACCCAGGTGAGACAGCTGCCTCTCTCTCCTCTGACAGCTGCTGAGGCTGCAGGAGCGGGTGCTCAACAGCGTGGTCCTCGGCTTGCTGGGGGACGAGGACCCCCGAGTGCGGCACGTCGCCGCCGCGTCGCTCGTGAGGTATTTGCCAGCGGCTTTCCCTTCGGTCCCTTTCCTGGTGGAGCACCCGGCGCCGTGAGGAGGGGACGGGGCGTTCCGAGGCCAGAGGGCAGCGTTCCTGCTTCGTTAAAGGTCCCTTCCAGCTGCTCCTAAAGAATCGAGAAAGCAGCTGCTCACGGCCGTGAGCCTAAAACGTCACACACACAGCAGCAGGGCGCTGGCCCCTGAGGCCACAGCTCCACGCCCAGTCTTTTGAGCATAGGGAATGGCCTTCCCTTCTACCGCTGGGAGATGATCACTTAGCATTTTGCTCTGTAATTGGGTCAAAGTATATACAGTTTTGTAATCTAGTAATTGCCACTTAACATATTAGCAACTTCCAGTTACCAAACACTCTCCTAGAAGAGAGATTTTAACTAGTGCCAGTTTTCACTATGTGGTTGTGATAAGCCTTTATATAAATACTAGTGGGCCGGTGCACGAAATCCGTGCACTTGGTGGGGGGCAGTCCTCAGCCTGGCCTGTGCCCTCTTACAGTGTGGGAGCCCTGCAGGCCATCGCCCCAAAGAGATCAGCCCTGCCACCTAACCGGGCTCCTTGATAGATTGCTCCAAAGAGCCGGAGCCAGGCCTCTTTGGGGCAATCCATCCCAAATTTCCCACATTTCATTTCTGCTTTCTGGTGCCTGTTGCCGGGATCGGGACATGAGCCTCATGTCACTAGGCTGGCGCAGGGGGCGGGCATGCAGCTGCTGATCGGTTGTTACGTGACAGCGTCTCCACCCATTTGCTTATTACCCTGTTATTGGGTAGATTATTTGGTTGGATATTAAATTTATCTTTTTTTCACTTTTTTTAGAGAAAGGGAGAGAGGGAGAGTGAGATAAAGACACATTAATCAGTTGTCTCCTTCCTAAATCCCAACTGGTAATCATGCCCACAACCCGGGTACGTGCCCTGATGGGGACTAAAACCATGACCTGGGGCGTGCAGAGTGGCACCAGCCAGCGCTGAAGCTCTTTCATTTAAATACTGAGCCGTGTTCCTTCCAGTCAACGCTGCTACACGAACATCTTCCTGCAGTTTTGGAAGTTGAGTTACTAAGGCCAAGCTTTTGGATGTCCTTTTTTTCTAATAGCTTTTTGAGGTGTAATTAGCAGACAGTCAAATGCAATGTACAAGGTCTTCAGTACCCTCACGGCCTGTAGCCATCACCACAGTCCAGGGGCAGAACATTCCCATCGCCCCACAAGGCCCTGTGCCCATCGGCAGACTCCCCGCTCCCGCCCGCAGCTGCGCCTGCTCCGGCGGGCCTCGGACTGTCTGTCAGGGGGCCGTAGGGTGGCTGGCTGCTGCCCTGGCTTCTCCGCGTGGACCTGAGGGGCCGGCGCTGCAGCAGGTGCAGAGCAGCGCTCACAGGCCCGTGTTCTGTGCTCTCGCTCACAGGTGACGGGCGCGCTCATTTCTGCTCTTGGTGCCCATGAGGCACGTTGCCCACGAGGCTGTGTGTGGACTTAGGTTTTCATTCTCGTGGCTGCGTCCTGGCAGTGGGCTCTGGGGTGGGTGCTCCCGCCACAGGCCGGTTTCACTCCTGGGCGGGACTGTGTGTGCCAGTTCCGCTCCCCAGCATAGTGCAGAGCAGGTTAAACATGTGTCAGCTTTTTAGGAAGAAACTGGTATTTCTCTTAAAAAACATGTTTACCGAACAAAATCTAAGGAAAATGTTAAAAAAGTAAATAAAAACCTTTGTAACCAAACCACTCAAAACCCGTGAAATCTGGGGACATCTTTCCGCTTCCAGTGCCGGTATTTGCATTTCGCAGTGATCCGAGCGGAGTAGCTTTCGCTGCCTTAGCTGGTTTTGTGTGACTGGCCTGGTCAGAGGTTTTGGGTCTTTACCATCTTCTGAAGACAATTGCAGTTTTTATACCTTGAAAATGGTGCTTGCTGACCAAGTCTCCCGGAGGAAAGCTACCGGGTCTGCAAGTAAAACCGGTTGTTTCTGAGAGTGGTGCGCCCCCTGCCAGCGGGGAGTCCATGCGCTCACACAAACCCTACAAGGCCCGCACGTGGATGCAGAAAGGAGCCCCGACCCCCTGGGAGAGGCCCGGGTTCTGCGTTGGGCTCTGTGGAGCTTGGGGAGGGAGTGGCCTGTGATGGGAGATCCCCGACATGCTGAGAGCGCCGCCCGGAGAGAAGGGGGCGTCCGGGGTGGCGTGCTGGGGGCCCAGCCACCCTGACTGAGGGGTGGGGAGCCGCAGGGGGTCCGTGCGTCCTCAGTGAGCAGCCTCGCTTTCACGCCAGGCTTGTCCCCAAGCTGTTCTACAAGTGCGACCAGGGGCAGGCGGACCCCGTCGTGGCCGTGGCCAGAGACCAGAGCAGCGTCTACCTGAAGCTCCTCATGCACGAGGCGCCGCCCGCCTCCCACTCCTCCATCAGCACCATAACCAGGTACGCACGGCCCGTCGGAAAGCACCTTCCCCGGCCGTGCTTTCGGGCTGGCATCTAAACCGGCTTTCCGGGCGAAAAGCCCCGTGTGTAGCTGAAGGTGTCTGAGCAGATCATCTTCCTTTGATAGATAGTGTTTGTTCTTTTTCAGGATTTAGCTCCCGCCTCCTTAAGCTCGCCCAGTCACGCACAGTGACATCAGAGCTTCAGTTCAGCACGAGCCGCGTGCTGAGTGTGCTCCTCTGTAGGACTGATGCTGCCTCATCTAAACCTGGCCAGGCGATGGCTCCCTTCGGTGGTCTTGCCTGTGCCCTTTAATTTTAGATGAGTGGGCTATTTATTTACTTTTAATTCTCACCTGAGGATATTTTTCCATTGACTTTAAGAGAGAGTGGAAGGAAGGAAGGGTAGAGAGGGGAGAGAGAGAGAGAAAAAAAAAAAAAGAGAGAGAAGAGAAGAGAAGAAACATTGATGTGAGAGAGACACATCGATCAATTGCCTCCCGCATGCATCCCTGACCAGGGATGGAACTGCAGCCTGGGTGTGCCTGGCTGGGAGTTGAACCTGCCACCTCTTGGTGTATGGGGTGAAGCTTCAAATAGCCGACTCACCTGCCAGGGCTCAGCCATTGTTTATAGAGGAAATAGAGGCCGGTGCACGAGGGGTGGGGAGCCGCGGGGGATCCATGCTTCCTCAGTGAGCAGCCTCGCTTTCATGTCAGGCTTGTCCCAAAGCTCTTCCACAAGTGCGGCCAGGGGCAGGCGGCTCCTCGGCCTGGCCTGCTGGGTTGGGCCGAAACCAGCTCTCAGACATCCCCCCAGGGGTTCCGGATTGTGAGAGAGAGCAGGCCAAGCTGAGGGACCCCGCTGGTGCACGATCGGGGCTGGGAGGGACACGAGAGGTTGGCCTGCCGGGGAGGGACCTTGGGAGGGCTCCAGAGTGTGTTTGGCCTATGTCACTCAGTCCTGATTTGCCAGACCCCAACAGCAAGCCCCCTGGTGGTCAGTGCATGTCATAGCGAGCGGTTGAGCGGCCTTAGCATATCATATTTCCACTCTTTAACTTAAAAGCCAAGACTGCTTTAACTTCTTGTAGCCTCTAATCTTAAACTTCTAAATGCCATTTGAATTTTGAAAAGGTCATATGCTCTAAGAATACACTTCAGTCTCCACCCTTTTCTTACTAGAATATATAGAGGCTATAACTTACTGCCGAGCATCACAGACGTCACCATGGAGAACAACCTGTCCCGGGTCATCGCGGCCGTGTCCCACCAGCTGGTCACTGCCACCACCCGCGCGCTCACGGTGAGTCCCCTTTGCTGGCCAGGCTCAGTGAGATCCATTGTGTTCCTTTGTAAAGTCAGTTCTTTGTTGTTGTTAATTCTTTTTTATTTTTATTTTTATATTTTATTGATTTTTTTTACAGAGAGGAAGGGAGAGAGATAGAGAGCTAGAAACATCGATGATGAGAGAGAAACATCGACCAGCTGCCTCCTGCACACCCCCCACCGGGGATGTGCCTGCAACCAATGTACATGCCCTTGACCGGAATCGAACCTGGGCCCTTTCAGTCCGCAGACCGACGCTCTACCGCTGAGCCAAACCAGTTATGGCTGTTGTTGTTAATTCTTACCCAAGGATATTTTTTCCAATGACTTTTATTTTTATTTTTTAAACATTATTTCATTATTTTCCGCCTCTCCCTTTTTTTTTCTGAGAAAAATTTTTTAGTTGATTTTTTACAGAGGAATGGAGAGGGATAGAGAGTTAGAAACATCGATGAGAGAGAATCATCGATCAGCTGCCTCTTGCACATCCCCTACTGGGGATGTGCCCACAGACAAGGTTCATGCCCTTGCCCGGAATCGAGCCCAGGACCTTTCAGTCTGCAGGCCGATGCTCTATCCACTGAGCCAAATCGGTTTCAGCTTTCCATTGATTTTTAGAGAGAATGGAAGGGGGAAGAGAGAGAGTGACACATTGGTTGGTTGCGTCTGCACCACAACTGGGTCAGGGGTCACACCTACAACCCAAGTACATGCGTTTGGCTGGGAATCAAACCCGAGACCCTTTGGTGTGAGGGCTGACACTAACCAATGAGCCACTAATCAGGACCATAAGGTCAGTTCTTTTTTTTTTTTTCTTTTTATATATTTTTATTGATTTCAGAGAGGAAAGGAAAGGGTGAGAGAGAGAGAGAGAGAGAGAGAGAGGAAAGGAACATCAGCCCTAACTGGTTTGGCTCAGTGGCTAGAGAGTTGGCCTGCGAACTGAAAGGTCCCAGGCTTGATTCCGGTCAAGGGCATGTACCTTGGTTGCGGGCACGTCCCCAGTCGGAGGTGTGCAGGAGGCAGCTGACCGATATTTCTTTCTCATAGATGTTTCTAACTTTATCTCTCTCCTCTTTGTAAAAAAAAATCAATAAAATATATATTTTTTAAAAGAAACATCAATGATGAGAGAGAATCATGAAGCGGCTGCCTTGTGTGTGCCCTGTCGTGGGGATCCAGCCCATGATCCGGGCAAGTGCCCTTGATCAGATAGAACAGGACCCTGCAGTCTGCAGGCCAGTGCTCTATGCGCTGAGCCACGCCAGCGAGGGCAGGTCAGTTCTTAATGGTAAGGTGATGTTAGACTCATATGTGGGGCTTCCTAAGAAACTGATTCTTTGAGCAAAATCTTGGTTTATTTCAATGGGAACATAAACAACTTTGTTCTGATGGATTAAAGTAGCAAATGCTCATTTAAAAAAAAATCAGGGAGACATAAAAGTCAAAATAAAAACTACCATAATTTGAATGGGTTTTACCAGAAGTGTAAACTGTCTCTCATATAACTGACTCAGTGACTTTGTAGTATATACTAAGGGGTAAAAACCGGATATGCCAACAAGGACTTTGTATAATGTAATTATTTTATCAGGATTTATGATGGTGAAATTGGAAATGAATTATGACTAACTTCAGTGTAGATGGTAGTGCATTTATTATGTACCTTATTAATATGAGGTTTGGAGGATTTTCAAGTTTACAGAGATATAACCTGAATTGTAATATTGGATGAAAAAAAGGCACAATTCAAAACTGCATGATCGTGTGTGGTCAGGTCCAAGGTTTGAGGAATATTAACACACACACACACACACACACACACACACATCCTAGAGGCCCAAATCCGGACCTCTGGCGTCCAGGACGCTCACCCCTCACCACCTGCCTGCTCGCTGTTCCTGTGGCTCGGCTTGCACTCGGCTTGTGCTCCTTAGCGCTGCTGTGGAGACGGGAGAGGCTCTCCCACCACCGCTTCGCTCACCAGCCATGAGCCCGGCTCTGGCTGAGCGGTGCTCCCCCTGTGGGAGTGCAGTGACCACCCGGGGCAGCTCCTGCATTGAGTGTCCGCCCCCTGATGGTCAGTGCGTATCATAGCGACTGGTCTTTCTGGTCATTCCGCCATGATTGTCACTTAGGCTTTTATAATATAGACTAGAGGCCCGGTGCATGAAATTTGTGCATGGGGATGGTGGGGGGGTGTTCCTCAGCCCAGCCTGCACCCCTCCAATCTGGGACCCCTGGAGGGGTATCTGACTGCCTCGGACATCCCTCTCACAATCCAGGACTGCTGGCTTCCAACTGCTCACCTGCCTGCCTTACTGATTGCCTCTAACTGCTTCTGCCTGCCAGCCTGATCACTTCCTAACCACTCTGCTGCCAGCCTAATTGATAACTAACTGCTCCCCTGCCAGCCTGTTTGCCCCCAACGTCCTTCCTCTCCTGGTTTGGTGACCCCTAACTGCCCTCCCTTGCAGGCCTGGTCCCTCCCAACTGCCCTCCCCTGTTGGCCATCTTGTGGTGGCCATCATGTGTCCACATGGGGCAGCCATATTGTGTGTTGGAGTGATGGTCAATCTGCATATTACTCTTTTATTAGATAGGACTAGAGGCCTGGTCACGAATCCGTTCACAGGTGGGGTCCTTCTGGGTGGCCTGCAGGGATTGGGCTGAAACCTGCAGTCCAACGCTGCCTGCAGCTCCCACCTACCACTCACGCTCTCCTGGCCCCTGTGCCTGCCGCAGGCTCCCGACCGGGAGAGGCTCACCTGCAGCAGTGCTCACCAGTCATGAGCCCTGCCCCTGGCCCCCTGCCGAGGGAGTGGCCTACGAGATCGGGCTGAAATGTTCTCCATCCCCCGGTTGCAAGAGGGTCCCAGATTGCAAGAGGGTGCAGGCTAGGCTGAGAGACCCCATTGGTGCATGATTGGGCCGGGGAGGGACCGTGGGGAGGGACACGCTCCAGGGCGTGTCTGGCCCATCTCACTCAGTCCCAATCAGCCGGACCCCAGCAGCAAGCTAACCTACTGTTTGGAGCATCTGCCCTCTAGTGATCAGTGCCCATCATAGCGACTGGTCAACTGTTCGACTGTCTTGCTCCCTGGCGGTCAGTGCATGTCATTGTGAGTGGTTGAGGGTCCTTTGCATATCACACTTTGATTGGTTGTTTGTCCCGCTTTTGGCCTATTTGCATATTACCCTTTTATTATATAGGAGGATATATGTTTCTCCTGCTCGGGAAAATGACAGGCAGAAAATGGCCAGAGTTGATTTAGGATGAGAGGTCTTCCTTGGGAACTCACTACGAGTCCAGGTCTTTCAGGCCAAGGTTGTGTGGGCTCCAGTTTGGTTTCCCTTCGCTTTGTTCAGTGTCATACACGTTACGTGTTTGTGTTTATCGTGGCCTGTGTGTCAGGCACTGTTCTAGGCTCGCACTGTAAGACAGAGGGGACCCTGCCTGCAGCTCCTGTAGTATGGTCTGAGGGTGGACATACCAGCTGGGCAGAGTGGGAAGGCAGGGGGCAGTGCAGGCAGGGGGAGGAGGGAAGGTGGGAGCAGTGCAGGCAGGGGGAGGGGGGAAGGTGGGGACAGTGCAAGCAGGGGGAGGGGGGAAGGTGGGGGCAGTGCAGGCAGGGGGAGGGGGGAGGGAAAGGGGGCAGTGCAGGCAGGGGGAGGGGAGAGGGGGAGGTTGGGCAGGCAGGGGGAGGGGAGGACTGGGGGCAGTGCAGGCAGGGGGAGGGGGAAGGTGGGGGCAGTGCAGGCAGGGGGAGCAGGAAGGTGGGGGCAGTGCAGGCAGGGGGAGGGGGGAGGTGAGGGCAGTGCAGGCAGGGGGAGGGGGAAGGGGGGGCAGTGCAGGCAGGGGGAGGGGGAAGGGGGGGCAGTGCAGGCAGGGGGAGGTGAGGGCAGTGCAGGCAGGGGGGGGGGGAAGGGGGTAGTGCAGGCAGGGGGAGGGGGAGGTTGGGCAGGCAGGGGGAGGGGAGGACTGGGGGCAGTGCAGGCAGGGGGAGGGGAGGAGAGGGAGGTTGGGCAGGCAGGGGGAGGTGGGAGGGGGAGATTGGGAAGGCAGGGGGAAGGGGAAGGTGGGGGCATTGCAGGCAGGGGGAGGGGGAAGGTGGGGCAGGGCAGGCAGGGGGAGAGGAGGAGGGGGGCTGTCCACCAGGGGAGGCCAGGACAGCCTTAGCTCTGGGTGAAGGGCGCACTGCCCGGCGGTAGACACGGTCTGTACGGCTGAAGCAGCTCCTGTGTCCGGTGACTCCGTTTTCCTTCCTCCAGTTCGGGTGCTGTGAAGCTCTGTGTCTCCTTTCGACCGCCTTCCCCGTCTGCACCTGGAGCCTCGGTTGGCATTGTGGGTAAGTGTTTCTCGGCACGTGGCGTCTGCGGGTGGGCGAGAGCTGTGTCTGCCTGTGCCGCCCCTGGTCCCCTGACCGGGGAAGCCCCCAGTGCTTGTTCTGTGCTTTGGCATTGGGACCGGTGGCAGGAGCTGCTGGGCAGCACCGAGCTGGTTCCGAGGAACGGGCGCCAGGCTTGCTCCTCGGTGTGTGGAGGCTCAGCGACAAGAACCCGTGTGCTGGCCACGACTGCCTTTTCCTATCCTCTCTGAGAACCCGTTTTCATTGGTTCTAGAGAGAGGAGGAGGAGAGAGACCATGGACAGGACGGAGTGCCTCTCCTACCACCCGACCAGGCCTGGGCCTGCAGCCTGTGTGCCAGGACGCACTGCCCTTGGCCAGGCACTGCTGCTCTAGGATTGGTCGCTGCGGAGAGAACATGTGGGTGGCATGCTTGGTTTTGTTTGTTTGTTTGTTTTTAATATATTTCATTGAGTCGAGACTGGATTGGCTCAATGGATAGAGCGTCGGCTTGGGAACTGAAGGGTCCTGGGTTCGATTCTGGTCAAGGGCATGTACCTTGGTTGCGGGCATCTCTCCAGTAGGGGGTGTGCAAGAGGCAGCTGATTGATGTTTCTCATCGATGTTTTTGATTCTCTATCTCTCTCTCTTCCTCTCTATACAAAATCAATAAAATATATTTTAAAAAGAAATAAATAAAAATAAAAAGATACATTTTCATTTAAAAAAATACATATATATATTTCATTGATTTTTCACAGAGAGGAAAGGAGAGAGCTAGATAGCTAGAAACATCGATGAGAGAATCATCGACTAGCTGCCTCCTGCATACCCCCTATCGGGGATGTGCCCGCAACCAAGGTACATGCCCTTGACCAGAATCGAACCTGGGACCTTTTAGTCTGCAGACCGATGCTCTATCCACTGAGCAACACCGGTTTCGGCTGTGGGCGCATTTTTGTTTAAAATCTAACGTGACCCACCGCGGCCGTGTGGCGGCCACAGGAGTGGGCGGAGGGTGCTGTGCTGCAGGTGGGAGTCTGGCAGGGAGTCCAGCGAGGAGTCTAGAGGGGAGTCCGGTTTGCAGCCTGCGGGCTGTCCAGCAGCTGAGGGAGTGAGGGAGCTGCTGTTCCTCGAACATGGCTCAGGGCACGCTGGGAAGCCCCACCCATCACGGCCAGGGAGCTGTGTCCTCTGGAGGGCGCTCCCGTCTGGGTGACGATTTCCTGCAACAGGCACCTCGGAGCAGCTGCAGTTTCAGCCAAGCCCGCCCTGCTCCTGCCTGAGTGCAGTGCTCCGAGGTGAGGGAGGAGCCACAAGACGCTCTGATCTGTCCGGCCTCCGGCTTCCCCGGCTCCGGTGGCTGCGCAGAGCTGTGGGTCACAGGAGAGAGGCAAGCTGATGGTCAGTCGCTTGCTGAGCTGGTGTGCGGGGCCAGTGACAGGCCTCTGGTTCGGAGGGAAGCCAGGCTGCTTGCTCTGGAGCTGACCAGTGCGCTCGGCTCATTGGCGTCATCCATGAACCGATGTGCCGGTGCGGACCGGGCGGGCCCGTGCCGGGGTTGCAGGAAGCAGCCGATGGATGTTTTACTCAATTGGCATTTCTCCCCCTTCCTTGCTCTCTAAAGTAATCAATAAAACAACAAAAGAGCGTTTGCTTTAAAATGTCTCTGTAACGTGACGGCGCGCACGTCTGCCCCCAGGGTGCCCCCGCTAGGCGCCGCGGACGAGTCCAGGAAGAGCTGCACCGTCGGGATGGCCCCGGCGGTCCTGACGCTGCTCTCGTCGGCGTGGTTCCCGCTGGACCTCGCGGCCCATCAGGATGCCTTGGTCTTGGCCGGGAACTTGCTCGCAGGTATTGGTTCTGGGTTAAAACAGGGACCTCGGGTCTTTAGCTCTTGATTTCCTGTGAGGGGCGGGCAGTGCGCATAGGAGGGAAAAGCGCTGAGGTCACTGCCAGGGACAGCTGGTTCCTGGCGTCAGGCCTCGCCTCCGTGCGTAGGCGTGTGCCGGCGGCGTGTGCTGTGGGCACTGGTCGGTGTCCAGCGTCCCCATGGAGGCCTTTCCCGGTCGAGCCCCTGCAGAGGCGCAGGCAAGCTCCTCTCTCACTCCAGGTGGGGGCACGTGGGCCAGCTGCCAGGGGGTTCGGAAGGACGATGTGTGGGGTCCCGGTGTCCACAGGAGGGCGTGGCCTGCTTGCTGCGGGGGCCATTGAGGGGCTTCGTGAACGGGACCAACAGGCGAACGTGAACGGGCAAATGTAGGTTACACTGTTGCTAACTAATACAACAGCTAGTGATAGATAACACAGAACACACTCTGTTCAAAGCAGGTGTACAGAACAGAGAACCCAGACACCCACCGAGCCATTATGCTCCATTATTACCTGACAAAGAAGGCAAGTGCCTACAGTGGAGTCAAGACAGTCTTCCATAAATGGTCTTGGGAAAATTGTACAGACACTTACAAAAAATGAAACTGGACCACCAACTTACACCACACACAAAAATAAACTCAAAATGGATAACGGACATAAACATAAGACGGAAAATCATAAAATGCTTAGAAGAATCCAGCAGCAAAATATCACACATACATTGTAGCAATCTTTACCCGTATATCTCCTAGGACAATGGAGACTTAGGAGAAAACAAACAAACAGGACTACATCAAAATAAAAAGCTTCTGCACAGCAAAAGAAACCACCAACAAAACAGCAAGCAAGCCCACTGCACGGGAGAACACATTTGCCAATGTTATCTTCGATCAGGGTTAATCTCCAAAATTTACTGGGAACTCACACAACTTAACAAAAGGAAGATAACCCAATCAAAAATGGGCAAAGAACCTAAATAAACAGTTTTTGAAAGAGAACATATGGAGGCTAAGAGACATTTGAAAACATGCTCAGAGTTACAGATCATCCGAGAGATGTAAATCAAAACAATGCGGTACCATCTCACACCTATCAGAATGGCTACCATCAACACATCAGCAAACAACAGTTGCTGGCAAGGACGTGGAGAAAAAGGAGCCCTCGTGCACTGCTGGTGGGAATGCAGGCTGGTGCAGCCGCTGTGGAGAACAGTATGGATTTCCTCAAAAAGTTAAAAATGGAACTCCCATTTGACCCAGTGATCCCACTCCTGGGACTATATCCCAAGAAAACAGAAACACCCATCGGAAAGGATTTATGCAACCCTATGTCCATACCAGCACAGTTCACCATAGCTGAGATCTGGAGACAGCCTAAGGGCCCATCAGCAGATGAAGGGATTAGAAAACCGTGGTACAATTGGTTGCGGGCACATCCCCGGTAGGGGTGTGCAAGAGGCATCTTGTCAATGTTTCTCTCTCATCGACGTTTCTAGCTCTCTATCTCTCTCCCTTCCTCTGTAAAAAATCAATAAAATATATTAAAAAAAAGAAAAAGAAAACTGTGGTACAGCTACACAAAGGAATACTACCCTGCAGTAAAAAAGAAGGCACTCTTACATTTGCAGCAGCATGGATGGACATGGAGAGCATCTTACTAAGTGAAATAAGCCAGTCAGAAAAGATAAATAGCACATGATCTCACTCATTTGTGGAATATAAGGAACAACATAAACTGATGAACAAAAATAGATGCGGAGACAGAGAATCATCTCAGAGGGAAGTTGGGGGAGGGTGAGGGGTAAGAGATCAACCAAAGAACTTGTCTATAGCATAGCCAATGGACACACACAGTAGGGGCGTGAGAGCATGTGTGGGGGGTAGGAGCGGCCAGGGAGAGGTCAATGGGAAAACGAGGAGACATGTAATGCTTTCAACAGTAAAGAATTTAAATTTAAAAAGAAAATGACCAGTAAAAGTAGGCTCACAGTTGTGAGTACGCAAATCACAGAGTGTGATCTGTTACTGCTGACCGGTTGCTGTGTTATGGTTGGTGGTAGCAGTGCTCACCTGCCGGGCCTTCCTGTGGTGTGGAGGGCCACCCGCGCCCTGGCAGGGTTGGAGGAGGGGACTGGGAGGCTCAGGCTGTGGCTGGGGAAGAGCGAGGCCACAGGGCGTGGTGGTGCAGGAGCGGGCGGCAGGCGGGCGGCCCTTCACTCAGTGTCACTCGGAGGGAGTGTGACGGTGGCCGGCGTGGGAACGGGAGCGTGCTTCGGGGGATGTCAGCTTCCTGGTGGAGGGGAGGTGTCGTGGACTGGCAGGTGTGCGGTGTGGATGGGTCTGCCAGTGCTCTCTGCCACCCGCCGCGGCGGGGCTGACCCTGTGCCTGCCTCACAGCCAGTGCCCCCCGGGCTCTGAGGAGCTCCTGGGCCACCGAGGACGAGGCCGGCCCGGCCGCCGCCAAGCAAGAGGAGGCGTGGCCCGCGCTGGGGGACCGGAGCCTGGTGCCCATGGTGGAGCAGCTCTTCTCCCACCTGCTGAAGGTGGTCAACATCTGCGCCCACGTGCTGGACGAGGTGGCGCCCGGGCCCGCGGGGAAGGTAAGCTTGGCCCAGCCCGTCGCCAGCAGCATCTAAGCATCAGAGGCCTCAGGCCTGCTGGCGCCAGTCCTGTGTGGTCCGCTGCCCCATGGCACGTCTGCCTGGTGCCTCCCGGCAGCCCAGACCCGGGTACACCGGAGCTCCGGAGCTGCGCGGCCTCCGTCTGTGCCAGCCCACGCCTCGTGGTGTGTGTTGTGATTTTTTTAGAAATATATTTTACTGATGTTTTTACAGAGAGGAAGGGGGAGGGATAGAGAGTTAAGAGTCATCAGTGAGAGAGAAATGTAGATCAGCTACCTCCTGCACACTTCCCACTGGGGATGTTTCCGCAACAAAGGTACATGCCCTTGATTGGAATTGAAGCTGGGACCCTTCAGTCCCCAGGCCGACGTTCTATCCACTGAGCCAAACCGGTTAGGGTTTGTGTGTTTTTTAATGTTTTTATTGGTTTCAGGGAGGAAAGGAGAGAGAGAGAAACATCAATGATGAGAGAGAATCATTGGCGGGCTGCCTCCTGCATGAACCCGGGCACGTGTCCTGACTGGGAATTGAACCGTGACCTCCCGGTCATAGGCTGATGCTCAGCCCCTGAGCCCGCCGGCCGAGCTCACTTTGTGTTGTGTAAAGTTGGAAGTGCGGGCGTCATTGCAACTCTTCATTCTCACCCCAAGTCCTTTGTTGTCCCCACTGAGTATTTCACAAGGAACCATTTACATACATGTACATACATGTGTGCACACACCTGTACTCACACACCCGTGCACAGGCACATGTTCACGCCCAGGAGCGCAGGCTGTTTTCTCTGTTCACTGCTACTGCCCCGGCCAGTCGGACGGACAGAGCGTCTCCTCTGGAGGCGGAGCAGCCTCCGTGTGGAGAAGCAGCATAGTGGTGTGATAGAGTCGGCATGACCCACACCCCTGCCCCTCCCACTGCAGAGTGCCGGCCACTTCAGTGCCACAGTCACGTGGCCGCCACTGCAGTCAGTTTTAGAACCCAGGAAGGAACGCTGTGCCCCTTAGCCGTCACCCTTCAACCCCCATGCTCCCTAGCGCCCTGGCCTTCCCCTTTCTGTGGGGAGGTGCCCGTTGCGACATGCATGTAAGTGGAGTCACACTGGGGTCCTGCGTGCTGGCCCCTCCCCAGCAAGTGCCGTCCACGCCCCCCGTGTGGGGTGAGGGTTGGGGGATGGACATGACTCTGCGGCTTCTGAGCTCCGTGAGTGGATTCGGAGCTCTGGATGGGTGCTGGGTGGGTGCTGGTCAGTGGCGGGGAGCGCGGGCTGTGGAAGGGAAGCTGAGCTCTGGGTGGGTGCTGGTCAGTGGGGGGGAGTGCGGGCTGTGGAAGGGAAGCTGAGCGCTGGGTGGGTGCTGGGTGGGTGCTGGTCAGTGGCGGGGAGCGCGGGCTGTGGAAGGGAAGCTGAGCGCTGGGTGGGTGCTGGGTGGGTGCTGGTCAGTGGCGGGGAGCGCGGGCTGTGGAAGGGAAGCTGAGCGCTGGGTGGGTGCTGGTCAGTGGCGGGGAGCGGGGGCTGTGGAAGGGAAGCTGAGCGCTGGGTGGGTGCTGGGTGGGTGCTGGTCAGTGGCGGGGAGCGCGGGCTGTGGAAGGGAAGCTGAGCGCTGGGTGGGTGCTGGGTGGGTCTGGTCACTGGCGGGGAGCTCGGGCTGTGGAAGGGAAGTTGAGCTTTCAGTGGCGGGGAGCCGCAGGTGTGGACAGTTTCTCGGGGTAACGCCCAGCCCTTGTTCTCCGCTCCAGGCAGCCCTGCCATCCCTCACCAGCGCCCCTTCTCTCAGCCCCATTCGGCGGAAGGGCAAGGAGAAGGAGCCGGCCGAGCAGGCGTCCGTGCCGCTGAGCCCCAAGAAAGGCAGCGACGCCAGCCCAGGTAGGAGGCGCTGACGGGCGGGGCGGGGCCCCCTGTGTCCTGGACGTACGTTCAGGCCTGTGCTTACCGTCAGGGTGACGTGATAAATAACACAGCCGTGAGGCTCAGGGAACGGTGTCCAGGGGTGGTCCCAGATGTTCACCTGACTCGTGTGTGCAGCCCACATCGACCCCAAGCGCCTCCTCTGGCCTCGCTCACGCGGGCACAGCAGCTGCCGGGCCCTCACTGCAGCCCTGCCTGCCGCTTGGCTCTCTGCGGAGTCAGGGAGGGAGGCGGGTTGTGTCGGGGGCAGAGTCGGTTCCCAGAGGGGCGTTCTGAGTGGGAAGTGGGACCTTACAGTGGGGAGTGCCCGCAGGAGACTAAGGGGACACAGTCTGAGCGTGAGGAACTGGGGCGTGCACAGCCGCTGGAGGGCTGCTGCCCCGGCGAGCTCAGGTTCGGTGGACATAGCCACGAGTTCTGTGCTCAAGGGGCACCGGGGAGAGCGGGGCACCAGTCCGACCTCTGCTCTCCCTGCTGGGAGAGCTGGTGTGAGCTTCCGGAGCTGGCGGGAGACCGCCGGAGCCCGCGGGCCGGCTGCCGAGGGACCGGCGGAGGGTCCCCCAGTCCGTGAAGCTTGGGCAGCGTAGGGAGGGCGCGGCATTGAGAGAGTGACACCGCATCCGTGAGGGCCGGCGCCAAACCGGCTGGGACGGTCCTGCAGCAGCGCGGGCTCCGAGCCGTGCGATCTGCGCAGGCGGGGTCAGTCCCGCCTCCTACCTGCACCCGGGCCGCCGGCCAGCAGACGAGCAGCAGTCACTGCCCTTCGTCTTCCCCGTGTCCCGGGAGGTCCGATTCCATTTGGCTGATGGGAGGCCCCGTCCATCAGCCAATTCCCATGGCTGCCAGAGAGAGCCGGGGACGAGTTTGCCTCCTTTCCCTCTGGCACGCTCTGACATGCTACTGCAGCCCTGCCTTAGCTTAGCCTTAGCGGGCTCACTGTCCATCTAATGTGTGCGCGTGTGTGTGCGTGTGTTTCAGCCTCTCGGCAGGCAGATGCCACAGGGCCCGTCACGACCAATAAACCCTCGTCGCTGGGGAGCTTCTACCACCTTCCCTCCTACCTCCGGCTGCACGACGTCCTGAAGGCCACGCACGCCAACTACAAGGTACGTGGCTCCGGCCGGCGCCCGCCCAGGGCCGCGGGCTCTCTCTTTTGAGGTGCATGGAAAACAATCTCAGTTTTACTGGGACGCACTGATCTGTAACATAACGTTTTTAAAAAAGAAGTATTTGTTGATTTTTTTTTTTAGAGAGAAAGGAAGGGCGAGGGATAGCTAGAAACATCGCTGAGAGAGAAACATAGTTGATTGGCTGCCTCCTGCACGCCCCCTACTGGGCATCGAACCCACAACCCAGGCACGTTGCCTGACTGAGCATCAGATCGTGACCTCCTGGTTCCTGGGTCACCGCTCGGTCACTGAGCCCCATGGCCGGGCTCCCCGGGTTCTTGAGGTCTTGGGGTTCGTCACGGGATGTGAGGCACAGTTCGTGGTTCCAGCCCTCCAGTCTTCACGCTCTTGCCCCCTGACCCTGCCCCCCGCCTGCTGGGGCGGGCCCCTTCCCACCATCTCCCTGACGGAGCTGCACAGACCTTCTCTCTGGTGCTCGCACACCTGGCGGTCCCTCCTGGCCTGTGGGTGACACCCGCAGGGTGACAGGAGAGTGGCCACTGTCATTCCCGCTCCGTGGCCATCCCCTGTGTCCCGACCGGGCTTCTCTCACAGGGGTGGTCAGTTCATCTGCTTTCTGTGCACCGCAGCACGCCGGAGGGCTTGGCCAGCTCCTGTTCTCATGCCCATTTCTAACCTTTGACCTCACTCTTGCCCATCATGCCTTGGGGCCTGCCCCGTCCTTTCGGCCTGTAAATGGGGGGCAGCTGCATCATGTAGGCTGAGGCCGTTAGAGCCTGAGGCGGAGCTGCCTGAGCCGGCTCCACGTGTGCGGGCGCCGAGGGGTGTGAGCGCGGTGGGGACGTGCGCTCTGTTGGGGACGCTGCTGGTCAGCCCGGCAATGACCGATGGTCCCGTTGTGCCCGTTTGCAGAAGGTTAGGAGGCATTTCTGTTTGCAGTGTTAGTACAAGTAGGAAGAGGCCTTTGAAAGAAAACAGATCTCCTACAGATACTGGAGCATGATTTCCTGCCCCAGGCATTTCCCCAGCACCCCCAGCGGGCGTGTGCGGCTGCGGGGTGTGCGCCACCCCCGTGAGACGCCCCGGCGTGACGGTGCAGGAATCGTTTCTCCCCCTCCCAAGGTCACCTTGGACCTCCAGAACAGCACGGAGAAGTTCGGGGGCTTTCTGCGCTCGGCCTTGGACGTGCTCTCGCAGATCCTGGAGCTGGCCACGCTGCAGGACATCGGGAAGGTGAGCGCAGCTGCCACACGCCGGCGCCTGGGCCGAGTGCTGGGGCGGCTGGTGTGGGCCTGGCCCCTGGGGCGGAGCGGCAGCCAGGGAGGCCTCCGTGCCCACGGCTCTGCCACGGCACTTGGCTCTGAGCTGGTGGGCTGGGGGTCAGTGAGCGGAGGGCGGGGGTCGGTGAGTGGCGGGCGCGGGGTCAGTGAGTGGCGGGTGGGGGTCAGTTAGCGGTGAGCGGCGGGCATTGGAGCTGGGAGTCGGTGGTGAGGGCTCGCAGGCAAGGCATACCGGGAGCGAGCGTCCCCGCCTCCTGAGCGCCCGCTTCCCCCGCAGTGTGTGGAGGAGATCCTGGGCTACCTGAGGTCCTGCTTCAGCCGGGAGCCCACGATGGCCACGGTCTGTGTCCAGCAGGTGAGGTGGGCTCTTCTCAGCCCCACAATTCAGAGCACAGGGTTCTTGGTGAAGGTGAAAGGGGTTCTCAGCGGGAGCCCCATGTCTGCCCCCCCACACTCCCCCTCCCTGTGACCTCGATGGCTTCCCGTGGGCCAAGGCCCACGCTGTGGGCAGCGTGCTGACAGCTCCTCTCTCTCCAGCTGCTGAAGACTCTCTTTGGGACAAACCTGGCCGCCCAGTGCGATGGCTTGTCCTCCAACCCCAGCAAGTGCCAGGGCCGAGCCCAGCGCCTCGGCTCGTCCAGCCTGAGGCCCGGCCTGTACCACTGCTGCTTCATGGCTCCCTACACTCACTTCACTCAGGCCCTGGCCGACGCCAGCCTGCGCAACGCCGTGCAGGCCGAGCCGGACCTCGCCGCCTCGGGGTAACCCTCCAGAGATAACCCTCCCGCGGCGTGCAGTTAGGAACGGCCGTGGGAGAGACACGGGAGAGCAAGCAGGGACCGGTCTGTGAGAAACATAGCGATAGGAGCCAGCGTCCCCGAAGGGCTGCTCCGTCCAGGGACCTCTGGGAAATGGGCGCCCGACCCGAGCCGGCCGCGGTGTGCTGAGTCTCGCAGCGTAGTGAGGGCGCTCTCGCCGGCAGGTGGTTCGACGTGCTGCAGAAGGTGTCCACCCAGTTGAAGACCAACCTCTCGAGCGTCGCAAAGACCCGTGCAGACAAGGTCCGTACGCGGGGCGGCCGAGAGCGCGGGGCAGGGGCTGGGCGCCGTGCTCCGGGCCTTTCCGGAGGCGCTCACGGCTCTCTGCCTGTCCCAGAACGCCATTCATAGCCACATCCGGCTGTTCGAGCCTCTGGTCATCAAGGCGCTGAAGCAGTACACGACCACCACGTCCGTGCAGCTGCAGAGGCAGGTCCTGGACTTGCTGGCACAGCTGGTCCAGCTGCGGGTCAACTACTGCCTTCTGGATTCAGACCAGGTTTGTCGCTCGGTCTCATCTCCGCACTGTTCGCGACGCAGTGAAGCGGCCGCAGAGACGGCGCCGCCCCCTGCCGCAAGCTCGGCTGTTCCTCCCGCATCTGCGTCTCAGCAGGACGGGCCTGCCCTCGCCCCAGGGTCTCCCCATCTGTCTGGGCTGTTGGGGTCTCCCTGGGCCCCCGGTCACCTTTGCCAGAGGCTCCCCCATAGCCTGTTCAAGGCGGCAGACGCTGCTTCTTTCTGAGCCGCCTCTGTCCACGAACGCTGAGGGCCGCCTGAGCATCGACAGGCCTGCTTCCCGGCAGCGCGCTGAGCCCTTGGAAGCCCGCGCTTCCTCTGGCCGTCGCTCCCACCTCACCGCACGGCTCCGCCCGCCCCGGCCTTGGGAGCGCGGGGCTTGGCCATGAGCAGCCCCTCACCGTGGTTCTTGCTCTCGCCACTCGGTGCCACGCAGGTTTCCTGAAAGAGTGGGAATGAGCCGCAGGCCACTGAGCCCCGTTCCCATTATTGAGCGCCTGCTGTGTGCAGGGTCACAGGGCCGGGGGATGCAGTGGGGAGGCAGCTCTGGGCTCGGGCGGGTGAGCAGGTGGTGCCAGGAATGGCTCCCACACGGGGCTGACGCACGGCGTCTCTCCTGGGCCGGCCTGCACCACCCACGCCCCGCGTGGGGCTCCTCGAGCTGGACAGGAGGCCCCCTGGCGGGGGCTGCCGGGTGTCCCCCGAGTTCGTTATTTGTCCTGACAGGTCTCTCCGCTGTGAGCAGAAATGTCTGTAGGGACCCTGGAAGGGTCTGAAACACGTTTGCGCTCTTGTGCACCACGGCTTATCCGCTGTCAGGAAACCTGTTAAACATTTGCACGAGGCAGTGGGCGCGCAGGAGCCGGGCGCGTGCCGTGTGGCAGTGCTGTTTCTCTCCTCGGCAGGTGTTCATTGGATTCGTGCTGAAGCAGTTTGAGTACATCGAAGTGGGCCAGTTCAGGTAACGGCGTCCTCTTAGTCTGCTTCTTAATTCTGCTTCCGTTCTGGTTACGTAAGTGCATGTAGTTTTAGATATTAACACGAATGTACTTTAAAGGATCACGAGGCATTTAAAAAAATGTTTTCTTTTTTTTAAAGATAGTGCTTTTTAAAAAAATATATATTTTATTGATTTTTTACAGAGAGGAAGAGAGAGGGACAGAGAGTTAGAAACATCTATGAGAGAGAATCATCGATCAGCTGCCTCCTGCACAACCCCCACTGGGGATGTGCCTGCAACCAAGGCACATGCCCTTGACCGGAATCGAACCCAGGACCTTTCAGTCCGCAGGCCGACGCTCTATCCACTGAGCCAAATCAGCTTCAGCTAAAAAATGTTTTCATGATTTTTTTTCTTAGGGAGAGGAAGGGAGAGGGGGAGAGAGAGAAACATCAATGATGAGAGAGAATCATGGATCAGTTGCTTCCTCCATGCCTCACTTTGGGGATTGAGCTCGCAACCCAGGCATGTGCCCTGACTGGGAATTGAACCCGAGACTTTTTGGTCATTGAGGGGGGCGGGGGGGGGGAAGCTCAACCAATTGAGCCACAGTAGTCAGGGTGGATTGTTAGGAATTTTGCTAGGTATTTTTTTTTAATGGAAACCTGACTAATATGCTATGCGTTTTTGTTTCTCTTAAAAATTAATGAAACTTGGCCAGTATTGCTCAGTGGTTGAGCATTGACCTATGTACCAGGAGGTCACAGTTTGATTCCTGTCATGGTACATGCCCGGGTTGCAGGCTCAATCCCCAGTAGGGGGCATTCAAGGAGGCAGCTGATCAAGTGACTCTCATCATTGATGTTTCTATCTCTCCTTCTCCCTTCCTCTCTGAAATTGGTGGAAATATATTTTAAAAAATAAAATGAATGGGTATCTGAAGGCTAGTTTAGAAACTGTTCGGCATCTGTTAATTACAGGTGCCATCAGTTTTCATTTCACGTTTGAAAGCATCTAATTATGATCAGTTGCTAAAGGAATTCTGGCCTGTTGAACACCACCTCTTAATCTTGTGGTTGGCTTTAACAAGGCAATTGCCATGCAGTTATGTCTGTAATAGCCTTGATCACTGCAGAGGAAGGGTTAATGCTTCCTCCTTTGCAGTTCTGGGTGTATAATTATTGAAAATTAAAATTCTTTTGTTTCTTTTAATCCTCACCTGAGGATACATTTTTATTGATTTGACAGAGAGAAACATTGATCGGTTGCTTCCTGTGCATACCACAACAGGGAATCCAACCCACAGGCTAGGTATGTTCCTTGACTGGACTTGAACCCACAGGTTTTTGTGCACAGGATGCTGCTGCAACCATCGAGCCCCCCGCCAGGGCTCCCATGCATTAGCTTCTGAGTTGCTCAGTAAAATATGGGGTCCGGCTGAAACCGGTTTGGCTCTGCGGATAGAGTGTCAGACTGCGGATTGAAGGGTCCTAGGTTCGCTTCCGGTCCAGGGCATGTACCTTAGTTGCGGGCACATCCCCAGTAGGGGGTGTGCAAGAGGCAGCTGGTCGATGATTCTTTCTCATCAGTGTTTCTAACTCTCTATCCCTCTCTCTCCCTCTCTGTGAAAAATCAATAAAATATATTTTTAAAAAAGTGGGGTTTGTGCCGAGGACAGTGTCAGAGGCCTGGGGTCTAGAGACCCGCTCTCATTCTGGCCGTGACGCCGTGACTGTGAGTGGGTTCCTTTTCCTTCTGGTCAGTTTCTTGGACTAAAGAGTGAGGCGCTGAGGGAACCGAGGAGCCGGCTGTGCTGGGCGCCCAAGGCTGCCGGGTGCGCTAGCCGGGTGCAGGGCTCCGCCCGGACAGAAGGCGCCGTGCCCGCTGGACGGAAGGAGCCCGCGAGGCTCCTCGTGTGCAAGCTCTCGCTTCCCATGAGGATCTGTTTGCTTCGTTGATGGTGTGCGCCAGATCTGAGAGGAAGTGTCTAATGGAGGTTTTGTTTCCAGGGACTCGGAGGCGATCATTCCCAACATCTTCTTCTTCCTGGTGCTCCTGTCTTACGAGCGCTACCACTCGAAGCAGATCATCGGGATCCCCAAGATCATCCAGCTGTGCGACGGCATCATGGCGAGCGGCCGCAAGGCCGTGACCCACGGTAACGGCAGCCCTCCCTGCCCCGGCCTGCCCTGTCCGCCGGCCCTGCTCTGCAGCCTGTGTGTGTGCATGGGTGCATGTGCATGCACATGTGCACATGCGTGTGCTTGTACACGTGGAGGGGCACCCTCTTCACTCTGAGGACTTAGAACCTACGTAAGTGAGAATGGAGACGCGGGAGACCGGGCCTGGCAAACACTGGTCCTTCGTGCGAGCGCGGCCAGCCCAGCTCCGCGGGCTCTGGACTCCCGCTGTCGGGAGGCACGGCTTCTCATAGGAACTGTGTCCCCAGCCATCCCGGCGCTCCAGCCCATCGTCCACGACCTCTTCGTCCTGAGAGGGGCCAATAAGGCTGACGCGGGGAAGGAGCTGGAGACCCAGAAGGAGGTGGTGGTGTCCATGCTCCTGAGGCTCATCCAGTACCATCAGGTGAGGGGCCCTTCGTCGTCCCACAGGGCGCAGGGCCGCGGGGCCGCCGGCCGTTACCGGGTGTTGCTCTGGGCCGGCTGGGGCCGGGCTGGGGGCCCAGAGGTCTGTGGGGCTGTCTGAAGCAGCGCTGCCCTGTGGGGAGGCCCCCTGGCAGACCGCACATCCGTCAAGAAGGGTGTACCCCGCGCCCTCTCCTCCCAGGAGGACCATGTGAGCGCTCCCTGAGCTGGTCGGTCCTGTTTCTGCCGTCCGTAAGGTGGACGGAAGCTCGGGTGCTTGGAGGCAGTGGAGAGCAGAGAGCTGCTTTCTGTGACTCCTCTCTCAGCGTGTCCGGCGGCCTGGCCTCACTCTGTCCTTCCTCCCAGCGGTGTGTCTCAGACCTGTGAAGTCAGGAGCTTCCTCAGGAGCGCTTCCTCTGCTCTCCGGGGGCTCCAGCTCGGTCACAGTTAGCGTGTGGCGTTTGGTTAGGTCCCATCGCCACCGCAATGGGCACCCTGCCCGGAGCTGTGGGCGCCACCCGCTCTCTGCCGGCACGCTGGGCTGGGGGTCCGGGAGCGGCTCCCGTTCTCGGCCTGGCTTGCGAGTGAACAGACGGGGGCTGGCCTTGGTGGGGGGCCGCTGAGGTGTTCTCGCGCAGTGAGGCCACAGCCGCGGCCTGGACAGGAGAGGCAGGTGGGACGGGGGGGGGGGGGGGTGTCGGGCTCTGTAGGGGGTGGGCTTACACGGGTGCCTCTCTTTTTTTCTTTAATATATTTTATTGATTTTTTACAGAGAGGAAGGGAGAGGGATAGAGAACTAGAAACATCAGTGAGAGAGAAACATCGATCAGCTGCCCCCTGCACATCTCCTTGGGGATGTGCCCGCAACCAAGGTACATGCGCTTGGCCAGAATTGAACCTGGGACCCTTCAGTCCGCAGGCCGACGCTCTATCCACTGAGCCACACCTGCCAGGGTGGTGCCTCTCTTTTATAGCAGTTGTATTTTAGAGACCCGATGGCACACTTCTCCATTTGCTCCATTCCTGTTTTTTGTAAACAAGCAGGGAAAGGTCTTAAGCTTCATAGGCCACGAGGCATCTGTTGCATCTGCAGTTCTGGGCAAGAGCCCTGGTCAGCATGCTCCCCGGGGGCCAGGCCCCAAGCTGCCTCTGCGCAGACATGGCCGCTGGCCAGTGGCTCAGGCACGGAACCTGAGAGGCAGGGCCCCCATGGGCGATGCCTGTGGGGGGACCCGCGGAGGGCAGGCCCGAGGGCGTGAGGCGCAGGCCGCTGGGTCGGCGTGCTGGGGCTTCCGGAGGCGGGTGTCGTTCCGTCTGGTCCGTTTCTCGTTATGAAGTCTCGTAGCTCCACGGGATAATGCGGCGAGGCGCAGCGGGCCCTGAGGAGCTGCTCCTGGCCCCGGGTCCCAGGGCCAGGTCCTGGCTCGTCAGGCCCTCGTGGGGTCAGGAGGCTTGGCCCTGGCGTGTCCCCACCCGCTGACAGGCGAGGGGGGAGGAGTGACCGCCCGCCCGCCCGCCCGCAGGTGCTGGAGATGCTGATCCTGGTCCTGCAGCAGTGCCACAAGGAGAGCGAGGACCGGTGGAAGCGGCTGTCGCGGCAGGTGGCCGACATCCTGCTCCCGATGCTCGCCAAGCAGCAGGTGCGCCGCGGGGGGGGGGAGGGTCGTGGCTTCCTTCACGCTCGGGTCCATCGCCCACAGCAGTGTCTGCGCGGGTCCCGGGACGGGAGCTTCCGTTCCTCTCCTCAGCGAGCCGCTCCCACTCTAGTCCCTGCGGTCCAGTGTGGGACCCGGGCCCAGGGCGCTCCTGTCCCATTAACCCCTAGAATGGCCAGCCTCCTCCTCCTCGTCACTGACGAGGGCGTGGGGCAGGGACAGCCAGTGTGGGATGAGGAAAGCAGGCGGCCTGGGCTCCTAAAGCCAGGGAGGCAGGGGCAGCCCTGGCTGCTGAGAGGCCAGCCCGTGAGCCCCGGGCCTCAGGCGGCGCTTGGCAGACCAGGAGGAGGCGGAGCCCCGCTTTGGCTGGGGGTTACACTAAGAAGGGGTACTCGTGGCGGCTACCCCAGGAGGAGAGGGGTGGGTGGGGAAGGCTGGGTATTGGCGATGCTGGACCCGAGAAGTTGCCACACTGGTGCCCGAGCAGCGGCATATGCCCGTCAAGGCGCGGGGGCGCAAGCTCTCTGTCCCCTGGCGGTGGAGGAGGCTCAGCGCGGACGCGTTCAGACAGCCGGGAAGGCCACCTCTCTCCAGAGCTATCATTGGCGTGTGGTCACGGGCGACGGCGATAGGAGCTGGGAGCAGCCCGGGCCTGCTGCACGTGAAGCTGGGCCGTAGCCCAGAAAGCTTTGCACCCGCTGGCACGTTGGACTTAAACCCTGTTGCTTGGGAGTCCGCCGCTGTGTCTTTCAGGGAACGCAGGGCGTTATGTGGTTTGTCAGACGAGTTAACGAAAAGCCGCCTCCGCAGAAGGAGGAGGCCGCGCAGCCGCCGGTTGGCATTGGTTCCTCGTTGGCGCTGCGGGGTAGGGTGCAGGGAAAGCAAAGGGGAAGGAAGGGGGTGTGCGCTGGTCCCACTGAGGAAAACGGGGTACAGGTGCACCGGGCGGCTCCCAGGGGTGCTGATGGTGTTGGGGTGCAGTTCCAGCTGATTTTTTTTCTTTGGCCTTCATGTGTTTGACTTTTAAAGAAAACATACGTTGTTTAAATAATGAAACTCTGCAGGGAGAGATTTGCATTGTGGGAAAATGCGGCGGAGACACGGCATTCGGAAGCGTGTTTGCTGGGTGGGCTGCGGGCACTGGCTCCTCCCGTGCGGGTGCTGGCGGGGGCAGGTCGCGGGGCTGGGCCCCGGGTGTCATGTCCGCCTTTGCTTGTTCGCTTGCCACAGATGCACATCGATTCGCACGAAGCCCTCGGCGTGTTAAACACGCTGTTTGAGATCCTGGCCCCGTCCTCGCTGCGGCCCGTGGACATGCTTCTGCGGAGCATGTTCGTCACCCCGGACACCATGGTGAGTGCTGCCCGGCGCTCGGGCTCAGCGGTCCCGGGCCCGGCGGCCTGGGCTGGCGGTCACACTGTCCCTGCGGCGGAGGCAGCCTTCCGAGCGCGGTGCAGGTGCGCGGAATGGTAGACGCGGTGGCTGTTTGCCAGATCAGCCGGTGATCAGAACAGCGTGCTTCTCTGTCCTTCCCTGAGCGGTGTGTCCCTCCCCCAGGCGTCGGTGAGCACCGTCCAGCTCTGGGTCTCGGGAATCCTGGCCATCTTGAGGGTCCTCATCTCCCAGTCGACCGAAGACATCGTCCTCTCCCGCATCCAAGAGCTGGCCTTCTCCCCGCACCTGCTCTCCTGTCCCGTCATCGCGAGGCTCCGGGACGGGGACCGGGACTCGGCACCCGCGGCACACGGTGCGGGCAGGCAGGTGAAGACTTTGCCGGAGGAGACATTCGCTAGGTAGGCTGCGTAACGACCCTTTCTGGTCCCTCCCTCCCGAGTCACGTGGTGTTTGGCGATCAGAGTCGGGACTGACCCTCGTCTTCCTCAGCTGCCTGCCGGGGGCGTCGGTTCACACCTCTCCTGGTCAGTCCCATCTGGCCTGTGCCTTCTTGCCCGGCGACACCCACTGCCAGGGCGGAGGGGCGGCGCCCCGGGTGCAGGGATTGGGCGGCGCTGCTGCAGAAGCTCAGGGTCCGGGTTGGGCCTGGACGGAGGGTTGGGTCATGTCTGCTCCCAGTTGTTCAGAGGCTCCTAGGCGGCGGTCCCACTGCAGGCACTGCACACACTGTGCTGGCGGTGTGTGCCCGGGATGGCAGTGTGTGCCCAGGATGGCGGTGTTTGTGGCGGTGTGAGCCCAGGATGGCGGTGTGAGCCCGGGATGGTGGTGTGTGCCCGGGATGGTGGTGTGTGCCAGGGATGGCGGTGTGTGCCCAGGATGGCGGTGTGTGCTGGCAGTGTGCCCAGGATGGCGGTGTGTGATGGCGGTGTGTCCAGATGGCGGTGTGAGCCTAGGATGGCTGCCTGTGCTGGCGGTGTGAGCCCAGGATGGCGGTGTGAGCCCAGGATGGCGGTGTGTGCCCAGGATGGCGGTTTGTGCCCAGGATGGCAGTGTGAGCCCAGGATGGCAGTGTGAGCCCAGGATGGTGGTGTGTGCTGCAGTGTGAGCCCAGGATGGCGGTGTGAACCCGGGATGGCGGTGTGTGCTGCAGTGTGTGCCCAGGATGGCGGTGTGAGCCCGGGATGGCGGTGTGTGCTGCAGTGTGAGCCCAGGATGGCGGTGTGAGCCCGGGATGGCGGTGTGAGCCCGGGATGGCGGTGTGAGCCCGGGATGGCGGTGTGAGCCCGGGATGGCGGTGTGAGCCCGGGATGGCGGTGTGAGCCCGGGATGGCGGTGTGAGCCCGGGATGGCGGTGTGAGCCCGGGATGGCGGTGTGAGCCCGGGATGGCGGTGTGAGCCCGGGATGGCGGTGTGTGCCCGGGATGGCGGTGTGTGCCCAGGATGGCGGTGTGTGCCCAGGATGGCGGTGTGAGCTGCAGTGTGAGCACAGGATGGCGGTGTGAGCCCAGGATGGCGGTGTGTGCCCGGGATGGCGGTGTGTGCTTTGGAGGACATGCGTGGGTGCGATTCTGCCGCGCGTACCTTCCTGCCGGGGCCACCACAGTGTCCTTAGCCGGCTGCCGTGACCATCGGTGGTGCAGGCGGTGGAGAGGCGCCCGGAGCCTGTGTGGCGCTGCAGCGTGCAGGGTCGCCAGAGCAGCTGTGGAGATGGATGAGTGAGGTCCTGGGCCGTGCCGTCAGCCTCCTCACAGCCTCGGGCCACCTGTCCTCCCGGCCGCTGCCAGCCCCCAGGGAGGAGGGAGATGTGCACGGAGGCAGGGTTCCGCCCCGGGGGTGGGCTTACACGTTGCATTGCTTCCCTCACACCTGCTCCCTACACTGTCCTGTGTGCTCTCCACACAGGGACAGGAGACCCGTGCCCCGTCACGCCCCTTCGTCACGCCTCCGCCCCCTTTCCCGCAGGTTTCTCCTGCAGCTGGTGGGCATCCTCCTGGAGGACATCGTCTCCAAGCAGCTCCGGGTGGACATGAGCGAGCAGCAGCACACCTTCTACTGCCAGGAGCTGGGCACGCTGCTCATGTGCCTGATCCACATCTTCAAGTCTGGTGGGTGCCCTACGGATGCAGCTGCCCAGCCTGCATCCTGGTGGCCCTGGAGCCCACTGCCCTCAGCCCTCAGCAGCCTGCAGAGGCCGTCTGCCCTCTGCCGCCGGCGGTGGCCATGTGGCCTGTTGTTGCCGCCTCTCGGTGCTCAGCAGGAGTGGGTGGCAGGCGGGAGTGGGTGCAGGAAAGAGCCGGGCACAAATCCTGGCGTAAACCCTCCTGGCTCTGCAGCGCCGGGCCTCAGCGAGGAGCAGTTTTCCTTTAACCTGCGTGGCTTTGGTTCCTAGGAATGTTCCGGAGAATCACAACAGCCGCCTCCAGGCTCTTCACGGCCGACGGCGCGGACGGCAGCTTCTACAGCCTGGAGAGCCTGAACGCGCACGTGCGCTCCATGGTCCCCACCAACCCGGCCCTCGTGCTGCTCTGGTGCCAGATCCTGCTGCTCGTCAGCCACACGGACTACGGCTGGTGGGCCGAGGTGCAGCAGACCCCCAGGTACGCCCGCCGCCCCGCCGCGGAGCCGCCGAGGCGGGGCTTGGCTAGTCGCCATGGCCTTTGTGAGGGTTCTGCGTGCATCCATCTTCCTGTCGGACACCATTGTAGAGAAACATGTGGTCTGACTCCAGGCCCGGGAGCCTGGAACCCGCGCCGCTGTGGTGGGCTCTGTCCTGCGGGCCATTCCTGCCGCCGCCTCCCCTGCCAGGTCCTCCTCAAATTGGCTCCAGAGCCTCCTGACTCTCAGTCAGATGCTCTGCTGCTGCCGAGGCCTGGAGTGATTATGTGGGAACGTTCAGGGCCTTTGGGAGGCCCTTGTGGCTCGTTCTGTAAGGACTTGCTGGCCACCTGATCGTGGGTGGCCCTGTCTTCAGGGACTTTTCCGGGGTAAGCCTAGCTTCTCGGCCCCCCTCACTCAGACATCTGATTTGTACTCACGCGGAGACAAAAGCTTTGACGCTCCTGCCCCCCGCGGAGTCCTCAGGGCGGTGTTTCTGGAAGCTGTGGGCGCACAGCGGGGAGCACGCGCTGCAGGAGGAGGCTGCGGGCGGCGGAGCGGGGGAGACCAGCCGTGTGCGTCGGGGGCCACTTGGCCGCATGCGCAGGCGCTGAACACGCTCTGTGCCGGTGGACGCGCGCGGGAGCGGGAGCAGCTCTGGGCCCGCGATCGTGAGGTCTGCTCCCGTGGCTCTGGGACTCGCACAGCCGGCGTTCTGTACCTCTGCGAGTGAGGTTTGCAGACGATCTAGTGGAAGGCTGCAGAGTCGTGTTTCTCCTCACAGATCACCTTCAGCATTCTCGTTAGAAACACGTCCTCTCTGTGTTTCGTTACCTGGCGCTCTTGTCAGGCGTCAGCTGGGCGTGTGCCTGGCTTCCTCTCCTGACTCCATGTCCATCTGTCCCCGGCAGCCCCGCCCGGGAGGCCTGCTTTTCCTCTCGGACGGCCTTGGCTCTCCTGCTCCCTCTGCGTTCCTGCGTCTGTGCCTTAGGGTCCGGCTCTTGGTCGGCGCACAGGCCCGCGGGGCGGACTGGGACTGCAGTGACTGGGGTGAATTTGGGGGAATTGCCATCTCAACGATCCTGAGTCGTTTGGTCTTTGGACATGGCCTGCCCATTTGTTTGGGTCTTTGATTTGCCACATGTTGTGTTTTTAGTAAGTGTCACACACACCTTACAGGCTTTGTGATGCACTCTGAGATTTCCTTTTCCCGTGGCTCGTAGTCGCCCATAGCCAGGAGGTGCTGTTGTGTGCTGCCTCCTGTGTGGAGGCCTTACTCAACTCGCACAGAGTCCCGGGGCCTTCCTGTGGCTCCTTAGGGGCACTGCTGTGGCCCCGCCATCTCTGGCTCTAAGGAGGTTTCTGTGGGCACAGGCTCTCTGGGCACCCTAGGGCTGTGTGCCGCCTGGCACTGGGTGGGAGTAAGGGCCTGAGGTCTTGCGTGGGCAGCCTCATGTGGACGGAGCCGGGGCCGCAGCCAGCAAGCTGGGATCAGTGAGCTTGCCGTCGGCACTGCCGTTCTCTGCCTGCGAGTCCTCGTCGGTTCCTATCGGTGCCTCACTGTGGCTCAGGGGTCCCCAGGAGCCTGTCTCACCCATCACCCCTAAGGCAGCTCCCAGTCCTGCTTCAGGACAGGACCAGGCCTCCACTGCAGTGCTGGACAGCGAGCGCGCTGCCGCCGGAAACCTGTCAGTGTACCTGTCACTCCTTCCAGGCGGCGCAGCCTGTCCACCACGAAGTCACTGAGTCCCCGGATGCCTGGAGAGGAGGACTCCCAGCCGGCGTCCCAGCTGGGGATGTGCAACAGAGAAATCGTCCGGCGAGGCGCGCTCATCCTCTTCTGTGATTACGTTGTAAGTGTAGACGCGCGAGGGGGCGGGGACGGAGAACGTGGCCAATGGCGCTCTGCTGCCTGCCTGCCGCCGGCCCAAGTCCCGCTTAACGTGCAGTCCTGCTGACAGCAGGGAAGCAGGCGTGGCCGCTGGTCACGAGCTTCCACACGTGTCTGGGGGGTCACTCGGCACCGCTTGTCGGCTGCTGCGTCCCGTTGGGGTGTTGGGCCGCCTTGTCATGGCGAGGGCCTCAATGGAACAATAACAATAAGGACAATAGAAGCTGGGTGTGGGCCGAGGACGGAGTGGGTCCCGTGACAGTTAATTGTCAGCTGTAGAGCAGGTGCTGGGTGTTCATTGCTGCCTTTGAAATAGGGTTCTGTTTGAACCAATCGAAGTGTATTATGCTGATGGTATGCTAAGGCCGCTCAACCGCTCGCTGTGACGTACACTAACCACCAGGGGGCAGACACTCAGCGCAGGAGCTGTCCCCTGGTGGTCAGTGTGCTCCCACGGGAAGCCCCGCTCAGCCACAGGCCGGGCTGACGGCTGGCGATCAGTGACTCGCCTCCCTGCAGCACTGAGGATGTCCCACTGCAGCTCCCAGTCTGCAAAGAGGGCCCAGGCCAGGCTGAGGGAGTCCTCCGCCCACCGCATCCCTTCCCCAGTGCACAGACGTTCACCGGGCCTCCGTGAGCCACAACGACCCTTTCCGGGTCCGTTCATAGTTTGGACTCAGGAATTCCACCGAAGCTGTGACAGTGGCCGGGAGTCCCCTCCCCACGGACCTTACGGAAGGGAGAAAGCCCGGAGCGTGGGGAGGGGTGGGCGTGGATGGCGTCCGGCTCTGGGCGGGCACTGAGGGCAGCGCTCTCCACTTCTGCCGCTGATGGCCCCGGTCCACGCGCTCCTCCTGGAGTCCCGGGGCCTCGCCGGAGCAGTCTCGGCACAGCGTGTGCGTGGGGGACAGGCTCTCTGCGGCGAGCCCTCCTTGTCCGTCACTGGTGGGCAGGACTGCACGCGGCCCGCCTGCGGCTCCGGCATCCTCCGGGGCCTGGGGCGAGTGCTGCCTCTCTCCACAGTGCCAGAACCTGCACGACTCCGAGCACCTGACCTGGCTCGTCGTGAACCACATCCAGGACCTGATCAGCCTGTCGCAGGAGCCGCCCGTGCAGGACTTCATCAGCGCCGTGCACCGCAGCGCCGCTGCCAGCGGCCTCTTCCTGCAGGCCATCCAGTCCCGCTGCGAGGACCTCTCGGCCGTAAGTCCCGCCTCCGGGGCAGCGCCGGCGGCCTGTCGCTGTCCCGTGACGGCGCCACTGCCGCCTTCCCTCTCCCCGCAGCCCACCACTCTGAGGAAGACCCTGCAGTGCCTGGAGGGCATCCACCTGAGCCAGTCGGGGGCCGTGCTGACGCTGTACGTGGACAAGCTGCTGTGCACCCCGTTCCGCGTGCTGGCTCGCATGGTCGACACCCTCGCGTGTCGCCGCGTGGAGATGCTTCTGGCTGCAAACTTACAGGTACTGAGCCCACGCGTGGCTTCCGGGAAACCCAACAAGTGGGCCCGTCGGCCGTGTTTTCCCCACAGCACGTTCCCCACGTGGCCTGGCAGAAGCCACGGCCCTGTGTGAGTGGTGGTTCTCGTTTGTCTGACACGGCATGGGTGCGTCTTACCCCTTCTCCTAGTCTGACCTTGCTCCGTGAGATGCACCGTGCGTGCCCTCTTGTGAGCAGGGACACTGGCTCAGCATGTCCTTTGTGTGAGCGAGGGCGGGGGCTCAGCGTGTTCTCTGTGTGAGTGAGGGCACTGGCTCAGCATGTCCTCTGTGTGAGCGAGGGCAGGGGCTCAGCGTGTCCTCTGTGTGAGTGAGGGCTCAGCATGTCCTCTGTGTGAGCGAGGGCGGGGGCTCAGTGTGTTCTCTGTGTGAGTGAGGGCTCAGCGTGTTCTCTGTGTGAGTGAGGGCACTGGCTCAGCGTGTCCTCTGTGTGAGTGAGGGCACTGGCTCAGCGTGTCCTCTGTGTGAGTGAGGGCACTGGCTCAGCGTGTCCTCTGTGTGAGCAAGGGCGGGGGCTCAGCATGTTCTCTGTGTGAGCATGGACACTAGCTCAGCGTGTCCTCTGTGTGAGCGAGGGCTCAGTGTGTTCTCTGTGTGAGGGCTCAGCGTGTCCTCTGTGTGAGCGAGGGCTCAGCGTGTCCTCTGTGTGAGTGAGGGCGGACTCAGCGTGTCCTCTGTGTGAGTGAGGGCGGACTCAGCGTGTCCTCTGTGTGAGTGAGGGCACTGGCTCAGCGGGTCCTCTGTGTGAGCAAGGGCGGGGGCTCAGCATGTTCTCTGTGTGAGCATGGACACTAGCTCAGCGTGTCCTCTGTGTGAGTGAGGGCGGGCTCAGCATGTCTTCTGTGTGATGAGTGTGGGCTCTCATGGCGCCATCTGACGTGTCCTGTCTGCAGAGTAGCGTGGCGCAGCTGCCGGTGGAAGAGCTGATCCGGATCCAGGAGCACCTTCAGAGCCGTGGGCTCGCACACAGGTAGGCCAGAGCCGGGCCCTCCTGGGGGTGAGGCTTAGATCGTGAGGACGGACGAGAGGTGTGCTTCCCGGGGACTGTGCAGGGCCTGGTGGGGATCCGCCTGCCTCAGGCACGGGCCTCGCCGTGCAGCAGTCAGGAAGGCGGGCAGGATGCTCTGCTGCTCTGCAGGGGGGGAGGTGGGGGGCCTCCCCTGTCGGCAGCGGAGGGAGCTGCACTCCCAGCTGTCGCACAGGTCACAGCACCTCCTCTGATGGCTGGGAGCACTTCCGATCGGAGCGGCCTGAGCCAGCCCTGGCCTGTGCCTTGATCCGTCTTCCCTCCTGTGAGCTGTGGGCCTCCTCACTTGCTTGCCAAGTTGTGGAGCCTCCGCCGGGAGTTAGGGCCTCTCTTTACGAATGGGCTCCTCATGGCTGCTAAGCATGGGGGCAGCTTCCCCTCCTGTGCGAGTGAGGTGGCGGGAAGGAGTGTGGTGTGAGGTGGCGGGAAGGAGTGTGGTGTGAGGTGGTGGGAAGAGTGTGGTGTGAATGGGGCAGAGAGGAAGGATTGTGGGTGTGAATGGGGCGGAGAAGGAGTGTGGGTGTGAATGGGGAGGCAGGAAGGAGTGTGGGTGTGAATGGGGCGGAGAAGGAGTGTGGGTGTGAATGGGGAGGCAGGAAGGAGTGTGCGTGTGAATGGGACTGCAGGGGAAGGAGTGTGGGTGTGAATGGGGCAGAGAGGAAGGAGTGTGGGTGTGAATGGGCAGTGGAAAGGAGTGGTGAGTGAGTGAGGTGGTGGGAAAGGAGTGTGGTGTGAATGGGACTGCGGGGAAGGAGTGTGGTGGGAATGAGGTGGTGGGAATCCTGGCGGGTGGGGCTGAGGTCCTGGAAAGAAAACAGGTCTGGCTTGGCACCACAACTGGTCGAGTGTTGGTCAGGATCAGTCTGAAGCTAGTGTGGGTCACGGGCACGCGGCTTTAAGAGGCTCTGCTGCTTCCTCCGTGGCGGGTGTCTAACCCACGTGTGGTTGGTTCCAGACACCAAAGGCTCTACTCCCTGCTGGACCGGCTGCGCCTTGCCACTGCCCCGGGCTCCCGAGGCCCCTGTCCTCCGGCCACGTCCCACCCGCTTGATGGGGCGGGGTCCTTGGCGCTCGAGACAGTGATCCCAGACAAGGTGAGTGTCCACGCGTGTGTGACACGTGGCCCAGGCGGCACTGAGTGTGCAGTGCTGGTTCGGGCCGGAGGGCTCCCAGCAGCTCCCGGCCTGCCCCGCCTGCCAGCCCTGCACAGGGCCGTCGTGGCCACGCTGCCCGAGGTCCAGCCCGTCAGCAGGGCTGGGGTGAGAAAGGAAGCGCTGGCGTGGGGTTCTCCTGGTGGGGTGTTGGGGGCGTCATGAGAGGAGCAGGTGTTGGGGGGCTGCATCCACACGCCTGCACAGGCCTTCCACCGCAGGCCCACTGGCCGCCCCCTCTCCTTAGTCTGCTGGCCTCCTGCCCGTGGAGCCCACCGCCCAGGGCCTCGTGCCCCATCCTCACTGCTCCACGCACTCCTCAATCTCAGACCAGCTCGGGGGCCTTGGTGCTCTGCTCTCCTGGGGATTTCAGTTTAGGTGTGAGCTGGATTTACAAACCAGCCCGGCATCCCAGGACAGCGACCGCTGTGCCAGGTGCGGTGGGCTGAGCGTGTCTGCCGTGCTGGCCCGGCGGGGAGGGCCGCAAAGCTGCCACCCCAGCGGGAGACGGAACGAGGCCAAACGGCAAGGCTGAGGCACGGGGCCTGCGACCCCCAGTGCTGTCACCGAGTGTGACGGACAGTGGCCATTCGCCGGGTGAGGAAAGGCATGGGAGTCTGGATAGGTTCAGAGCACGCCTTCAGGGCAGCCTCTGGCTGGGAGCCGTCTGCCTGCCCATCAGGGTCCCTATTACAGAACCACAGCCAACAGTCCGCGGCCACTGCCCTCTGGTCTGGGCAGGGGAAGAGCCTGTTCCCAGCAGAGTGGAAGCCCAGAAGCTCTTCCCCCTGCAGGAGTGACCGCCTGTCTCTCCCCAGGACTGGTACATGCGCCTGGTCAAGTCCCAGTGCTGGACGAGGTCTGACTCGGCGCTGCTGGAAGGGGCGGAGCTGGTGAATGGGCTCCCACCAGGTGACATGAGCACGTTCCTGCGGCACCCGGTATGTGCGAGTCCCTGCCCGTGGCTCCGACGCCCCCTTGCCGGGCCCGGCAGCCCCAGGCCGTGTGCTCTCACGTCTGCCTCGTGGCCAGGCCTCCAGTCCAGGCACCCAGGACAGTGCTCCCGCCCCGTCAGCAGGGGCCCGAGCGGGCGGCAGAGGCTGACGGTGTGGAGTGAGGGGCGTCCCCAAGGCCCATCTCCAGGCGCTTTGTGACGAGGCTGCTTTGGCACAGGCAGGAGCCGGGCCAGTTAGCTGGCGGAAGTCGTTCTGAGACCCGTTCTGTGATGGCTGGCTGCTGAATGTCCTATTTGCTTTATGACCAATTGATGGGACTTTTTAAATTAGTCATTGGACTTTCACAGCTTTAAAGGTCTTGGCTGTAAAAGACAGGCTTGGTTTGGGTTACTGATGGTGACATAGGCGTTTCTGAATATTAACTGAAGATTGGCATTCTACCTGGAAATTGCCCAAAGAAACCCTTACGTGATTTTTAAAGATTGGCAAAATAATACAAATTGCAACGCCATATGAAATGCTTTTTTTCCAACCAAAATTGTGGCATTTATATGGTATGTTGATTTTATTTCAGCTGTTTTTGGATATAACCCACCTTTTTCAGACTATGGATGTGCTAAAGTGCTTCCTCGGTCTGGATGGCACAGCAGTTCGATTTGTCTCCTGTCGTTAAAGTTCCACCATACTGCACTTCTGATTTCAAATAAACCTGCAGGCATGATAAATGGAAATACTTCTTTAAAATTAAACCGCCCCAGAGAGACCAGACGTGTAGGTCACTGAGCAGAGGCGGAAGGGCTTGTTTGTAACAGATGCAGCATATTCATAGCGTTTTTACGGCTGCTAATCTGTGTACCTCGGGCACTTTCTCATTGTCCTCTTCCTGCTGTCCCTGCCTGATGAACGCTTGTAATTGTCGGCCCTTCAATGCCCTGATGCAGGAGTTCAACGTCAGCCTGCTAGCTCCGTGCCTGGGCCTGGGCGTGCAGGAAATTGCCGGAGGCCGGAAGAGCGCCCTCTTTGAAGCAGCACGCGAGGCGACGCTGGACCGGGTGGCCAGCGCGGTGCAGCCGCTGCCCGCCATCCACCAGGCGTTCCCGCCCTCCCTGCCCGCGGAGCCCACCTCCTACTGGAGCCAGTTGAACAATCTGTTTGGTAATTAAAGTAAAAGTGTCTCTTTAACTTATTTATTTGAGTTTTAAACTTGGTTTTTAGGGAGAGAGAGAGAAACATCTATGTGAAATTGAGTTATTAATCAGCTGCCTCTGGCATGATCCACAATGGGGGATCGAGCCTGCAGCCCAGGCTGTGCCCCGACGGGAATCGAACCAGCAACCTTTCGGTGCACGTGATGACACCCACGCAGCCACGCCGCACTGGCCAGGGCTAAAGTGTCCTTTACTTTTTAAAGCGCTACAGCGCTGGGACCTGCTTTGCAGAGTAAACACGCAGCAAGCGCTGCTGCTCTAACCGAAGCGTTGACAGGAGTGACTGGGCCGGCACCGGGCCCCCAGCCCCGCACGTCTTTGGATGTGTGGGCCCCTCTGCTGGCCTGAGCCCTGGAGGCGCTGCGACAGCCGGGATGCGGTCCCGGCTCACACAGGCGGGAGGGCCCGGCAGTGCTGCCGAGCAGCCGCGCCTCCGCAGCGGCCGGCCGGCCTGCCTCTCTGCGGCAGCTTGTGCGCGTTCCGTCCCCCACGAAGCCTCTGTTTCAGGGGATGCCGGGGTGTACGGCTCCCTGACCACGCTGGCCCGCGCCCTGGCCCAGTACCTGCTGCTGTTCCCCAAGCTGCCCGGCCATCTGCACCTTCCCCCGGAGAAGGAGAGGGACACTGTGAAGTTTGTGGTCATGACCCTGGAGGTGAGAGGTGCTCGGAGCAGAGGGAAGGCGCTGTCCCGTGACAGGGCGCAGGGCTGGAGGTCCCGCGAGGACGTGGCCGCTCTGGCGTTTGAAGCTCTCCGGAGCGCGTGCCCTCAGATCAGTCCCCGTGGCCGCCAGCGCTGTCTGCCAGAAGGCCTGGCCTAGCGTGGGGGCAGGCTTCCGAGGGGACCCGCCGTGCTGGAGGGAAAGGCAGCAGGTCCGGCGGGTCCTGGCCCAGGGGAGCGGGCACGGTGGGAGCCGCTGCCAGGACTGACCGGGAGTGGGAATGCGGCCCTCCCTCTGGGAGGGGGGGTTGTGGGGTCCGCTGGCCACTCGGGCCTCGATGGTTCCTTGGCCCCGGGAGCTGCCTGCTCCCCGACACCACGGCAGGAGGGACGGCCCCGCGCTGACGTGGGCCTCCCCGCAGGCGCTGGCCTGGCACCTGATCCACGAGCAGATCCCGCTGAGTGTGGACCTGCAGGCGGGCCTGGACTGCTGCTGCCTGGCCCTGCAGCTGCCCGGCCTGCGGCGCCTGCTGGCCTCCCCCGAGATGGTGACCCGCGCCTGCTCCCTCATCCACTGCGTCCGCCTCATCCTGGAAGCCAGTGAGTGTCGCTCCACGGGCTGTCCGTGGGCACGTTACAGGTCATCAGCTCCCCAGTCTCACAGGCATTGGTTTGTGCGCCTGCGTTAGGAAGGGGGTATGGAGGTGGTAAACGGTCTTGCTTGGTCTTCACAGGACGTGATGTGAACTTGCTCTCTGGTCACTGGGTTAGGCCTCGGAGCCCCAGCTCCTGCAGAAACGCTTGTACCTCCCCATCTCTGGTGACTGGCCCCGCTGACGGCCCCACCTTCAGGCCTCAGCGGCGGCGGTGGCCCAGCTGCCTGGGACAGAATGCCAGCTCTGTGCTGCATGGGCCAGCAGCTGTCAGTGACAATGAGTTATTCTTTCCCAGGGACGTGTCCTCAGCAAGGGTGGCTAGCCAGGGTCTTTAACAAATGGGGCACTCTGGCTTTACATGTGGGAGGGTGTTTGAAGCTTTGTGTTTTTAAATTGAACATTATAGAGTGCGTTTTGAAGTTTCATTGTTTAAATTGTTTTCATCTGTGCATTTGTAGTCAGCTTGGAAGGAAGGTCCAGGGAGCAGTGTTTAAGCCAGGCTCCCGGGGCCGCAGTGCCTCTGGCAGCAGCGAACCCTGGGCGCCCCAGGAGACCTCTGGGGGGGAGGGGGCAGCGGCAGCAGAAATGGGGGGGGGTCGGGGCCCAGGAGCCTGTCTGCCTGCGCTGCAGGTTGGCCAAGAAAGTACTGAGGTCTGGTGTTGCCTGGAACGGTCCGCATCGGTTCCGGGATGTCTAGACCTTGTGGGCATCATCTGTCACTGCGTGTTGAGAGCTGCATGACTGACGTGTGAATGAAGGGGTGGGAAGGGTGTTGGCAATCCTTCCGCGTGTTCTTTCCTGATGCAGTTGTGGTGCAGCCCGGGGACCAGCTTCTCAGCCAGGAAAGGAGGACAGACTCCCGGAAGGCCGCCAGGGCGGACGGCGGGGTCTCACTCACACAGAGTAAGTGTCAGGCCGTGTTTGGGGCTTGGAAGTCATTAACAGAAGACATTAAAGTGGCAAATGTGGGCCCTTGAAGGTGAACGTAGCTGGTCCCATTGCTCATCGCAACATGGAAAGGCCGTTTGGGCCCTGGCCGGTGTGTCCACCCCTCCATCCTTCCTCCCCTCCATCTTCCCTTCCTCCCTTCCTCCCCTCTTCCAGCCTCCCTTCCTCCGTCCTCTTCTCCACCCGCCCTCCATCCTGGCTCTGTGTTCTCTGTGCACTTATGACTCTCACCTCAGACTCTGGCCCCGTGTGGGCAGGGAGTATGTTTCTCTGTGTGTTCTCACTTGTACTTGACCATGGGATGTTTGTAGAGTGATGGGTGAATGAGTACAAACACCAAAGAACTTGCAGCTAGTGGAAATACCCTCCAGAACGTTAGCTAGCCAGAGTGTGTCCATCAGCCATCTATCTTGCTGGATTTTTAAATGAAAACTCCTCCTCTTCCTACAGAAACAGGAAGCCCACATCCTATCACTTAGCCCTATTCTACACTTGGGCACACACCTCGGCTCTTCACGCGCTTTCTCCTGAGCGTGGTGCGAGGCCGGGCGGGGGGAGGGCTGCTGGACGGAGGGGCTCCTTGTCGCCAGCCTCCAGGGCCCAGGCCATTCGAGTCCTGCACTGGGGTCAGGCTGGATGCCGCCGGCAGTGGCCGGCAGTGCGGGGCGGGCGGCGCGGGGCAGGGCCCGAGACAGGAGACCAGGCGGGCGCGGGGTAGCTGAGCCCGAGCTGCAGTCTGTAGGTCCTCAGGGACCAGCCAGAGGGCTGGGGGTGCCCCTTTCTGGGGTGGGGCGTGCCTTCTCCCTGCGAGGCAGGGAGGTCAGGAGGTCGGGGGCCCATCCTCTTACCCACGGTGTTGGTTCAGGCCCCGAGTGCGTCCCAGCGGCCTGCAGGGCGGTGGCCGAGCTGGTGGAGGCCCTGCCGTCTGTGCTGGCCTTGGGGCACGAGCGGAACAGCAGCACGCCCGCCTTCCTCACGCCTGTGCTCCGGAGCATCGTGGTCAGCCTGGCCCGCCTGCCCCTCGTCAACAGCTACACGCGCATCCCCCCGCTGGTGAGTGCGGCCGGCCTGGCGGGGTTCGGGGACCAGTCGGGCCAGCTCGGCTGTCGCCTTGGGTGGCCTGGTGCCTCGGGAAGTCCTGACCCTGCCTGGTTCCCTCGGCCTGGCGTGCAGCTGTGATTGCAGCAAGGCTGGCCTTTCTGAAGGAGGCGCAGGGAGCTGGCCACATAGGCTCGCCCCTGGGGGAGCCCGCCCCTGGGGGAGCCTGTCCCTAGGGGAGCCCGCTTCAGGGGAGCCCGTCTGTCCCTGGGGTAGCCCGTCTGTCCCTGGGGGAGCCCGTCTGTCCCTGGGGGAGCCCGTCTGTCCCTGGGGGAGCCCGCCTGATCTGGGTGAGCTCGCCCCTGGGTGAGCTGGAGCAGCCATTCCGCTCTGGGCCATGCTGGTGCTGGTCCGAGGACGGGAGGGCGGCTGGGACCCTGCGCTGGGTCTGGGGGCTGGAGCTCAGCGACCTCGCCCACCCTCCCAGGTCTGGAAGCTCGGGTGGTCGCCCACGCCGGGAGGGGGTTTCGGCACAGCCTTCCCCGAGATCCCCGTGGAGTTCCTCCAGGAGAAAGAAGTCTTCAAAGAGTTCATCTACCGCATCAACACGCTGGGTAGGCGGGGCTGAGACCGCGCAGCGCCAGCCTCCGTGCCCGTCCCGGAGCGCCCCGTCCCACAGTGGCCCCGTCCCGGAGCGGCCCCGTCCACTAGGCCCCCGTCCCGGAGCGGCCCCATCCCGCAGTGGCCCCCGTCCTGGAGCGGCCCCGTCCCGCAGCGGCCCGTCCCAGAGCGGCCCGTCCCGCAGTGGCCCTGTCCACTGGGCCCCCGTCCCTCAGTGGCCCGTCCCGGAGCGGCCCGTCCCGCAGTGGCCCCCGTCCCGGAGCGGCCCCGTCCACTGGGCCCCCGTCCCAGAGCGCCCCGTCCCGCAGTGGCCCCGTCCCGCAGTGGCCCCCGTCCCGGAGCGGCCCGTCCTGCAGTGGCCCCCGTCCCGGAGCAGCCCCGTCCACTGGGCCCCCGTCCCGGAGCGCCCCGTCCCTCAGTGGCCCGTCCCGGAGCGGCCCGTCCCGGAGCGTGCTCTGCACCTCTGGTCCCTGAGGTCTAGGCGCCTGCTCGCGGGAAGCATTCTGCGTGCACACAACTCACCGTGGGAACTTCACCCACATGCCTGCCTGAGCGCTTAGTCCCGAGTGTCCATGTGTCCGTGGTTGGAAGTCGGGTTGTACCTGGTGGTTGGTGATGGAGGGCGGAATCCGATCTCGGCAGGAGGCACCCGCCAGCTGGGACGGGGATTGTCCGTTCCCTCGTGGTCACTGATGCCGCCTCGTGTGTGGAGCCACCGTGGCAGATGCGGAGGAGGCAGCCTGCTGAGGGAGCTGGGCTCTGAGTGGGCAGGCCGTCCAGCTCGGCCCAGCTCTGCCATCGGGATTGAGCGGGCCCTGCCACCTGCAGCCTTCTCAGCGCCCTTCGCACGGCACACGGCACAGCGACCGCTTCCTCCTGCTCTGCACGCCGGGCGGCTGCTTCTGTCCCCTTTGATGGCGCAGGCGTGACCTGCTCAGGGTCGAGAGTGTCTCAGGAGTCCGGTGGCACCCGTGGGCACCAGCAGGCTCACCCTTGGTCCCTTGTGGTGCCTACTGCCTCGGGCTTCTGCTGATGTGGCACTGACCTTGGTCCTGAAGGTTCCGTCAGCAGACACCTCTTGGTCTGCATCCCCTTCAGTCCCGAGGACGATGCGCCCACTGAGGCGATGTGGTCTGAGGAGCATGGGGTGCCGCCTGGGCAGTCCCTCCCCGTCCTCGCAGATGGCAGCGTGGCCTCCCAGCCTCCCAGCCCCCTCCAGGCTGCCTGTGCGTGACCTCGGCCCGGCAGTCCTGCGGCCAGCTCTGCCCCCGCCTTCCCTCGTGCTCCTCTCCTCTCTGTGTGACCCGGCCTCTGTTCCTCCCTGTGGCAATGCCCATACACGTCTGCCGTCTTTGCATCCAGGTGTGGGTGTCTGACCCACATCTCAGTCCGTCCGTCTCCCTCCCTTCCAGCGAGGAGACCCTGTCACTGCCGCCCCAGCAGGTGCCGAGGGGCCTGGAGCGCAGCTCTCGGAGCAGCCGCTGCTCCAGCGTGGGCGTGCCCTGCCCGGACTGCCTTCCTTTCTGACCCGAGCTCTGCCTCCCGTCAACAGCCAAGCTGGGCGAGCTCACGGCACACACTGACCCCGGGGCCGTCCCGGCCAGGTGTGCCCAGTGTGTCCAGGAGCTCAGTCCGAGCGGGACTTCCGGCCCCTTTCCACTTGGCCACTCCTGCCAGGCGGGGTCAGGAGGGCGCCGGACGGACACACACACACACACACACACACACACACACCACTGCCAGGGGAGCACGCGGACGTGTGTGCTGTGTCCGCGCTGGAGGGCGGGCGTCGCGGGGTCCCTGTGTCGCAGACCTGCCGAGGCTGAGGCATCTGCTGGTCGTGGCCTGGGCACTGCCCACTCCAGTAGAGCCGGCAGCCCGCTGTGTCCTCACGTCGGATTGTGGGAGGAGTGGGTGACCCTCTGTCTCACGTAACGTTTGCATCACAGGGTGGACCAGCCGCACGCAGTTCGAGGAAACGTGGGCCACCCTCCTGGGCGTCCTGGTGACCCAGCCCCTCGTGCTGGAGCAGGAGGAGAGCGCCCCGGAGGTGAGGCGCCCGCACAGGAGGGCAGCAAGCTCGCGGTCCCGGCTTTCCTTACTTTAAAGAGGAGCCAGGCTGCGTCTAGACTGATGCTCCGGGGCAGAGCCCATCTCCCGCTGTCGGGTGCGGCCTGGCCGCATGTGGGCGCTCGGAGCCCAGTGCGTTAGGCGCTGGGTCAGTAATTCCTGACTCAGCGCAGAGTTAAGTCAGAAGGAAAGGGCGCTTAAGGCCCAGCCGAGGCCCCTGCTCATCCACCTTGACCGTCTCGCACAGACCTCCCAGGCTTCTGCGCGTAGGCTGAGTATGGACACGATACTGGGAAAGGCCGCCATTCAGCCAGGCAAAGCCCGGGGCAGGGAGCGTGCTGGGCCCCCAGGCCCTGTTCTGGCAGGGGGTGGCGTGACGCGGAGGGGACAGATCGCAGCCATCCACACGCCTGCGGTTCGCGCGTCGAAGCTGGCGGGGGTCGTGTGCTAAGTTCTCCAGTCGGTGCTGAATGTCAGTGGTTCCTGCTCGGAGCTGTGCCTGAGGGAGACCTTGCTCTGAGCCGTGGACATTCATCCATTAGATGTGTGTCCAGTGACCGGTGTGGGGACTGTGCTGGGTGCAGGCAGACACGTCAATCCTTCTGGCGCTCAGGCTCCTTCCGCCAGCCCGTGGTCTATGTGCAGGTGGCCAAGGTCATGCTTGGTGTCTGGCTGCTCGTGACGTGATTACATGTGGGCTCTTTCCAGGAAGACACGGAGAGGACCCAGATCCACGTCCTGGCCGTGCAGGCCATCACCTCCCTCGTGCTGAGCGCGATGACCGTGCCCGTGGCCGGCAACCCCGCCGTGAGCTGCTTGGAGCAGCAGCCCCGGAACAAGCCCCTGAAAGCGCTCGAGACCAGGTCTGCCCACGCTGCCGTGTGTCCGGGGCCAGCGTGTGTCCGGGGCCAGCGTGGTGGGCCTAGAGGCGTCCTCCTCCCCCCACCCTGGGGCCAGCAGCTACCCGCCCTTGCGTTTGTTGCTGGGACTGAAAAGCAAAGCGCTGTGCATGTTGCTGCAAGAGGCGCATGTGCTAAAGTGACTGAGCAGCCGCCGTGGACGCGGCCTGCGGTGGTGGGGCCACTGGCTAGCAAGGCAGGAGCCTGCCGGCCGCAGCTGGCTGCCGGTTCAGCAGGAGTTGCGGGCGGCGTGTGGTGCTGCGGGGGCCTCTCCTTTAGGCAGCGCTGGGGCGGTCCTGGCGTCGCTCACGTCTACAATGTTAAAGGAATGGAAGTTTAACCTTGGTCCTGGTCCTAGGTTTGGGCGGAAGCTGAGCGTGATCCGAGGAATTGTAGAGCAAGAAATCCAAGCAATGGTGTCAAAGAGGGAGAACATCGCCACTCATCACCTGTACCAGGCGTGGGACCCCGTCCCCTCTCTGTCTCCAGCCGCCACAGGTACCTGGCACAGCCGTGGGCAGACAGGCTGGGACCTCGTGAGCTGCCCGGGCCCATGGCAGTGCCTGCGTAACCCTCTGGAGTTAAAAGCCAGGAAGCAAATAGTCAAGAGAAAGGGCCATTGCGGGGCATTTCTTTGTTTTTATTGGTCTCAGAGAGGAAGGGAGAGGGAGATAGAAACACTATGGTGAGAGAGGAGCATCAGTCAGCTGCCTCCTGCACGCCCCATGCCGGGGATCAAGCCTGTAACCCAGGCCTGTGCCCTGACCAGGAATCAAACTGGTGACCTCCTGGTTCATAGATCGACGCTCAACCACTGAGCCGCACCAGCCGGGCTGGAGTTCTCTCAGGCGCTGGTGCTCAGTGTTCCAGGCTCGTCTTCCTGACCCCTGAGCTGTGGGAGGTGTTGGGTCCTCCAGTTTTGGTCCTGAGCCTTAGCTGCAGGCTCCGTGGGCTGTGCCGTGTGCCGTGTGCGCTCAGACCTTGGGCGAGAGTCAGCCAAGTGTGCCTGGTCCCTTGGGGGTCTTGGCCGGTAGGGGAGAGGAGTCTCGGCCTCGCCGTCCCAGGAGCAGCCGCTGCAGGTGTGCGCAGAGCACGTGCTTCCAGGAGGGAGGTTTCGGGGGGGGCGGGCAGGTGGTACCCACCAGCGTGAAGTCCCGGCTCAGGTGGCCTGAGCCTTGGAAGGAAGCGAGAGACGGGGAAGACGGTAAGTGGGGGCACTGCCCACACCCTGCCCGGGGGCGCGGCTGTGCTGTCCTCCGGGCCCAGGCCCCTGGCGGGCTGCCGACTCCACTACAGCTACAGACCTGTCTGTGCCGCTCCGCCAGCCAGTGCCCATGGAGCCAGAGCCGGTGCCTCCAGGAGAGAGGGGCTCGCACCTGCCTGCTGTGAAGGAACAGAAGTGCCCAGGCCGCCAGGGCACTCGCTGTGCCTCGCCAGGCTTGGTGACGGCTCTGATATCCTGTCGCCTGCAGGTGCCCTCATCAGCCACGACAAGCTGCTGCTGCAGACCAACCCTGAGCGGGAGCTGGGCAGCATGGGCTACCAGCTGGGCCAGGTCAGCACCCTGTCCCCGCCCTTCGCCCTTAGTGCTCTGCCCTCCGCCCCCTGCCCTCCGCCCTCCACCCAGGCCACTCGCCCTCAGGAGCAGAGTTACAGGCATTTAGCAGAGGGTCCTGTTATTGCACTTACGGCATCTGTCCTGAGGAGGGCGTGGGTGTCTTAGGAGTCGGTAACGTAGGTGCATGTGAACAGGGGGAGAGTGTGAGGTGGTTTAGGGGAGGGAGGGCGGCGGGTCCCAGCCCCGTGCTGCTGGGGGGTTGCTGTCACTGGTCCTTGATTGGAAAAATGGGGGCCGTTGCGTACATGGCAGGGAAGCAGTGGGGACCCTGAGTTGGGCGCGTTGGTCCCGCAGTGGCTGTTCTCCCTCAGCGTGTCTCCGTCAGGCAGAAAGCCCGGCTCCCAGCACTGCCCTCCTGTCTGGGCGTCCGTTTTGAAGGCAGAGCTTTCTGAAGGCCCTCCCCCAACCCACTGGTCTGCCTGAGCAGGGCCAACCAGGTGGCAGGCCCCACAGAGGCCACACCTGCCGCCCTGAGCCCCAGGACCCTGCGCTGATCCCCTCATGCTGACCCGCCCTGCGCTGACCCCCCCCCCCCTCGCGCTGACTCCCCCCTCGCGCTGACCCCCTCACGCTGACCCCCTCGCACTGACCCCCCCCTCGCGCTGACCCCCCCTCGCGCTGACCCCCTCACGCTGACCCCCTCGCGCTGACCCCCCCCTCGCGCTGACCCCCTCACGCTGACCCCCTCGCGCTGACCCCCCTCACGCTGACCCCCTCGCGCTGACCCCCCTCGCGCTGACCCTCTCGCGCTGACCCCCTCGCGCTGACCCCCCTCGCGCTGACCCGGGCCTGCCTGCAGGTGTCCATCCACTCGGTGTGGCTGGGGAGCAGCATCACGCCCCTGAGGGAGGAGGAGTGGGATGAGGAGGAGGAGGAGGAGCCCGACGTCCCCGCGCCCTCATCGCCGCCCACGTCGCCCGTCAGCTCCAGGTCCCGCCTCTGGCTGAGCCTCGGTTCTCGGTGGTCAGGAGGACGGGGCCTGCGATGACCTGGCTGTGTGCTCCGCAGGAAGCACCGGGCCGGCGTGGACATCCACTCCTGCTCCCAGTTCCTGCTGGAGCTGTACAGCCGCTGGCTCCTGCCGTCCAGTTCCGGCCGGAGGACCCCCGTCATACTCATCAGCGAAGTGGTGCGATCTGTGAGTTCCCCTCGCCCGTCCTAGATAGACATACATGTATACGCACAGCACGCACATGCACACACATACATGCACAGTGTCGTCTCTGGGAGCCTAAGGAGACCTCTCGGGCTGTGCAGGAGCAGCTGTCTGCCTGGTCCCCCCACGGCGGGCGGATGCCCGAGGGCAGTGGTGGAGTCGCTGCGACACCACTATCCAAGCCTGGGGCTCCCCCTTGTCCATAGGGGTCTCCCTGGGGCCTGGCTTACAGGCCCCCACGCCCTCTGAGAAGCACACCCACACGTCCCTCCAAGAAGCACCATCTTGGGGCTTTTATTCTCACACTGTTAGTCTCAGAGCTCCTGTAGGGTCTTCAGCTGATGGGGGAGCCAAGAGCTGTTGCGGGGTCCGTCTGTCAGTGTTCACGGCATCGGGAGCGTTTGAGGAGCTGTTTGTTTTTGCTGTTAGTCCTCACTCGAGGACGTGCTTAGAGAGGGGAGGGGCGAGAGAGAGAGAGGGGAGAGGCAAGAGAGAGCAACATCCATGATGAGAGAAGCGTGAGTCTCCTGCCTGCAACCCCAGGCATGTTCCTGGCTGGGCACGCAGCTGTGACCCAGTCCATAGCTGATGCTCAGACACGGAGCCCCCAGCGGGCCGGCGCTCCTTTCAGACGTACCGTGAGGAGCGAGCCTTCGGCAGCTGAGCGTCTGGGGAGACAGAGTCCCTGGCCAAGCGTTTATGTCCGAAACCACGTTCCTGCCGGGCTCTGAGCCTGACCTGCGCCAGGGAGCGGCCTGGGCTCCGGGGCGGACACACGAGGGCTTGGCCTGGTCCCGCTGCGGGCAGGCTCCTGAGGTCATGGCCGACCCCGCTCCGCCCGCAGCGAGCACGCACGGGCCTCCGTGAGGACGCCCCCGCTGCGTGTGTCCCCGCACTTGGGGTGGCCGGGGTTTGCGTGCCGGGGCAGAGGTGCCTGGAGCCTGTGGTCCCTGGGCGGGTTGGAGGCGTGCCGGACGCCGGCTTCCTTCCCTGACGGCCGCTCCCCCCGCCCACGCCTCGTCCGCAGCTCCTCGTGGTGTCCGACCTGTTCACGGAGCGCAGCCAGTTTGAGATGATGTACCAGACGCTGACCGAGCTGCGCAGGGCGCACCCTCCGGAGGACGAGATCCTGCTGCAGTACCTGGTGCCCGCCACCTGCAAGGCGGCCGCCGTCCTCGGCATGGTGAGCGCGGCGCCGTGGGCAGCGGCCGCCGGCAGGGTCCCCGGGAGCCCGCCGCAGTGCGAGCCGGGGCTCCGCTCGCTCTGGGCTCCGCGCCGTGTGGGCGAGCTGCACTTGGGGCTCCTGTGCACCTTGGTCAGGTTGTCCCGGCGGTGTGTGTGCCCGGAGCTGGCTGTGGGGGGGCCCCTTTCCCGGGGTGCTGCGGGCCCCCGCCTCCTATCGCCAGGCCCTCTGGGGACTGCTCTGTCCCCGTCCCCTGTATTCCCACCCCACAGTGGGTGCCAGCCCGTTTACAGGAGGGCGGACAGGCCTCTGGGGTCCCCCCCGATTCTGCTCTTGCTGATGAGCACCGGCCAGCGCCACACCCCCTTTCTGGAGAAACGCACACAGGGCGAGGCAGCGGCCACGGCCAGGTCAGAGGCGCGTCAGCACTGCCCGGCCCCGGCCTGCCCTCTGGGGGCGCATCCACTTCCTGAGGATCAGCCAGCCTGAGGCTGAGCTCGGACAGCAGAGGGTTAAACGGGCCAGCATTTCCCAGGCGCCTTTGCTGCCAGGCCGTGTTCCTCTCTGAGGGAGTCTGTACACGCGGCACCTGCTAGGCAGACGTCCCAGAGAGGAAGGCAGCCTCCGAGGGGCGCACAGGAGAGAGCGTCAGCACTGCCGCTGCCCTGCCCGCCCAGCTCGCCCTGTGTGTGCCCGCTCCGGCCCCAGCCGCCGCCTGGTGCAGACGCTCCCCGGCAGCTCAGCGGCTGCACTGGCCCTGGCCGTCCCCTGGGCCGTGCTCGGCCCCGCCCGTCTTGGGGCTGGTAGGCCCTCACCTTGAATCTTGCCCCTGGTGAGCGGAGGCTGAGGCCAGGGACCGGGCAGAGGGGTAGGCCCACGCCCGTGCCTGCTGCCTTCCCCACAGAACCCGCCCCTGCGGGCCCAGACGCCGAGCGGGTGTCCCCCGTCCTGGGTGGCCTGGTGCCCCTGCGCGCACCCTTCCCAGCTGCACCCCGAGTGTGGGTCGCGGGAGCGCAGGAGCAGCTGCTCTGAGCGCCCTTTGTCTGAGGCTGAGCGCCATTCCATTGTGGTTGTATCTGAGCTCAGGCCCAGTCCCGCGGGCAAGTGCTGTGTCAGTGAATCAATCAGTGAGGATTGTTTGCAAAGAGCCCCACAGCCAGATGGTGCCCTGGGGACTCCTGTGCGGCGGTGCAGGGGCCGGCTTCTCCTCCCGAGAAGCACCAGCCCCTGCGCCCCTGCTGGAGCCTTCAGAGCGGAGGCCTGGGGGCCCGGGGGCGGGTGGAGGGGCCCTCGCTGGTCCAGCGGTCTGTGGGAGGAGCGAGGGAAGTCCTCGGTCACGGAAGGAGGCAGGGACACAGTGCCTGTGGGGCCACGCTGTCAGACAGCCTCCCGGAACCCCTAAGACTCCGCCAGCCGGGGTCGCCTTCCCAGGGGATGGATGGGCTGTGAACCGCTGAGGCTCCTCCCTGCACCTGCTCTCTGTGGGGGTCTCACGCGGAGGGTACAGTGTAGGCTCCTCCTGACGTGTGTGATTAGGGTGCATAGATGACAGTGGGTCCCCAGAACTGCCTCCCGGGCTCCCCAAGCTCAGCTGTGATGTGCTGCAGTGACAGGGCGCAGTCAGGGAGGGAGGGCGTTTGGGGCCACGTCCACAGGAGACCAGGCTCAGCTTCGGAATCCCCTTCCGGAGTCACCTGGAGGCGCTGTTTCCTGGCGTTGAAAACACACAGAACCCTGCCCACCAGGGAGGCCCCACCTGGCCCGACCCAAACTCCAGACCCCGGAGGTGGGGGTCAGCACCCTCACACTGTCCACATGGACGGCTGGGCACAGGCTGCCCCTTAGCAGTCGGCTGGGAGCACTCCCCAGACCCCGGGCCGTACGCCTGCACACCTTCTCCCCCCCCACGCCCAGCTCGGCAGTCGTCCTGCAGGCAAGCCCTAGCGGCCTCCTGCCCTCGAGGTCCAGCCCCTGCTTCTGCCCGGCTCCAGGACAAGGCCGTGGCGGAGCCGGTGAGCCGGCTGCTGGAGAGCACGCTCAGGAGCAGCCACCTGCCCAGCAGGATTGGGGCCCTGCACGGCGCCCTCTATGTGCTGGAGTGCGACCTGCTGGACGACACGGCCAAGCAGCTCATCCCCGTCATCAGCGACTACCTCCTCTCCAACCTCCGCGGCAGCGCCCAGTGAGTGCGGTGCAGGGCGGGGGGACGGGCCGGCACAGCTGAGCCCACGCGCCCGGGCCCTCTCCTGGGCCGGGATGCCCGCGTGACTGATCGGCTGCCCCGGTTGCAGCTGCGTGAACCTGCACAGCCAGCAGCACGTGCTGGTGATGTGTGCCACTGCCTTCTACCTGGTCGAGAACTACCCTCTGGACGTGGGCCCCGACTTCTCCGCGTCCATCATACAGGTGACCGGCCTGGCGCCTCCCGTGGGGGACCCTGCGGGACGGACGGGAGCCCGAGGCGGCCCTGACTCAGACCCTCCTCTCAGATGTGCGGGGTGATGCTGTCGGGAAGCGAGGAGGCCACGCCGTCCACCGTGTACCACTGCGTCCTGCGCGGCCTGGAGCGCCTCCTGCTGTCCGAGCAGCTGTCGCGGCTGGACGCCGAGTCCCTGGTCAAGCTCAGCGTGGACAGGGTGAACGTGCACAGCCCGCACCGGGCCATGGCGGCCCTGGGCCTGATGCTCACCTGCATGTACACAGGTGAGGGGACGCGCTCCCCCCCCCCCCCCCCCCGTGTCTCCTGTCGCCGCTCCATGGGCCGTGGACCAGGTCCCCGAGGTTCTGGAGGGCAAGTCCAGAGCCACGACCCCTGTTGTGTTGCCGCGCGGGGGTCACACCCCGGAGCCCAGGGCTCCCTCCTGTTCAGGCCGTCTCGGGCTCGCTGACCGCTGTGTGGCCCCAGCGCCTCTGCGGAGCCCGGCAGCCTTTCAGGCCCTAGCAGTGCTGCCCTCGTTTCAGGGAAGGAGAAAGCCAGTCCCGGCAGAACCTCCGAGCCCGGCCCTGCCGCACCCGACAGCGAGTCTGTGATCGTGGCCATGGAGCGCGTGTCAGTTCTCTTCGACAGGTGAGCAGGGAAGCCCGCCTCCGTCCTCGTGGCCGCTGCTCCCCGCTGTGTCCCGACAGCCCAGCCTCGCTCGCTCGCTCGCTCCAGAGAGGGCAGTGCTTGGCCCGGCACCGATGCGCCTGCCCTGAAGGCGGGCACATGGAGGTGTGAGGAGGGCTGTGCAGCGACGGGACCTCCACAGGCACCTGCTGCCTTTTGGGGAAGGCGTGGTCCCAGCAGGCTCACGCAGTGCCCGCAGGAAGGGAGGGTGTGTGGGCCCAGCATTGGCGTGGGTGGCAAGCAGGCAGGTCCTGAGAGAATTGGCTGCCTCCCCACACTGCGCCAGCTGGGTCCCTCGCTTGCCAGCTCTAGGGAACAGGCTCAGGACCGCATCGGACTTTGTCTAGGGGCATGATGTGTGTGGCCTCGGGGAGGCTGGTTCTGTCCACGCGGCCGTCACATGGTCAGCTTGCCTGTTATAGGGTCAGCCTGGCCATCACGGGGTCAGCCTGCCCGTCATGGGGTCAGCTTGCCTATCATGGGGTCAGCTCGGCCATCACGGGGTCAGCTTGCCTATCATGGGGTCAGCTTGCTCATCACTCGGTCATATTGCCTGTCCCAGGGTCAGCCTGGCCGTCACGGGGTCAGCTTGCCCGTCACGGGGTCATCTTGCTCATCACAGGGTCATCTTGCCTGTCATGGGATCAGCCTGGCTGTCACATGGTCAGCCTGGCCCTCACAGGGTCAGCTTGCCCGTCACAGGGTTGGCCCGGCCATTACATGGTCAGCCGGTTGTCACATGGTTAGCAGGGCCCTCACGAGGTCATCCTGCCCGTCATGGGGTCAGCCCAGTTGTCACGTGGTCAGCACGGGGACACTGGCGGGCGGGAGGGACGGCCGGTGGGTGCTGCTATCTATGGCGGCTGGTTGTCGGCACACCTGACAGGAGGCACGGTCCGCGGCCGGTGTGCACCTGAGGGTGAGCAGACGGCTCTCCCAGCGCCCAGAACGGTACCCCTCGGGGGCAGGTTCCGAGCCCACAGGGGGGGCCAGCAGGATGCGGATGGGTCCAGGTGAGGAGAGGAGAGGAGAGGAGGTCCCCGTGGACTGCAGGGCCACAGGTGAGGACGGGCGGAGAGGCCACAGAGGGGCAGTGCGTTCATCACGTGTCAGGTCTCCACTGCAGCGCCACTGCCCGCCCCCCGGCACCCCATGGCCTCACGCCCCTTCTGGAGCGTGTGGCCTTGCGTGGGGGGTGCCCCAAGCCTGGGCGCTTGTCTGCGGGTCACTCGTGAGGTCCTCAGTTAACGTTCTAGGTGCCCCGGAGACCCGCCTGGAGTCTCTGAAGGTCCCAGCGGGGCGTGGGGGTGTGGGGGGGCAGGCTGACCGAATCCCCTCCTTTCAGGATCAGGAAGGGGTTTCCCTGTGAAGCCCGCGTGGTGGCCCGGATCCTCCCTCAGTTTTTAGACGACTTCTTTCCTCCGCAAGACGTCATGAACAAAGTCATCGGGGAGTTCCTGTCCAACCAGCAGCCCTACCCGCAGTTCATGGCCACCGTGGTGTACAAGGTGCGGGCGGTGCCGGGGAGGGCGGGCACAGGCCTCAGCCGGTTGACCTGGCTCGGAAGCCCGGGCGTCTCCTGCCGCCTGACGTGCTGGCCGGTGGGTTTCCAGCGGCCTGACTCCGGCCCCTGAAGCCAGCGCGGCGCCTGTTGAAGGGGCGCCCCTGCCGCGCCCCTGACGCTCCGCCTCCCTCAGGTGTTCCAGACCCTGCACAGCACGGGGCAGTCATCCATGGTCCGGGCCTGGGTCATGCTGTCCCTCTCCAACTTCACGCAGAGGACTCCCGTGGCCATGGCCGTGTGGAGCCTGTCCTGCTTCTTCGTCAGCGCGTCCACCAGCCCGTGGGTCTCGGCCATGTATCCTCCTGGGTCCTGGGCCGGGCGGACGGCCCTGCCTCCCGCCACCCTCTCTCCTGTCCGGTCTGGGCTGCTGTCTGTGACTTTCACAGCCTCGCCTCTGCCAGTCCCAGGTGTCAGGGTGCCATTGACCTTGAGCCCCTGGAGAGCGAGACGTGGACAGGCCCCAGAAAGCATGCTGACCACGGGCAGGAGAGGCAGGCCCTGCCCCTCGCCTGCACCGGTCTGTGCTGGTTCTCATTATCCTGTCGCTGTGCCCGTGTCCCCGGGGGAGGCTCCGTGGAGCTCCGGACCCACCCCCGAGTGCTGGCTGCCAAGGGGGCGTTCCCGGAGTCTCTGCAGGGAGCGGGAGGGCTGGGCAGGGCGGCCTGGCGCTCCGCACTCTGAGGGAGCAGGGCTAGCAGGAGGCGCTCGCCGGCCGCATGGGGAGCCAGGCCAGGTAAGTGCTCCGAGGGGAGCGCCCCGTTGCGCTGCCGGCCCCCTCTGTTGGGCAGAGCCGCTTCCCAGCCCGAGGAGGCAGCAGAGGGGTGGCCCGCTGGGAGCTGTCGGAGGTGGGAGGCGGCTGTGGGTGTGGCCTTGGGCTCCGGACCCTCTGGGCAGCTGAGACCGCGTGGGTCGGCGTCACGCTTGCACCTGGCTCCTTAACTCGCCGGCAGCCTGCCCCACGTCATCAGCAGGATGGGCAAGCTGGAGCATGTGGACGTGAGCCTCTTCTGCCTGGTGGCCGCCGACTTCTACCGACACCAGGTGGAGGAGGAGCTGGACCGCCGGGCCTTCCAGTCCGTGTTCGAGGTGGTGGCAGCGCCGGGAAACCCCTACCAGCGGCTGCTGGCTTGTTTGCGGAACGTTCACAAGCTCACCGCGAGCTGAGCACCGGGCTCGGCGGGGCTGTGCCCGGGAGTCGCTGCGGCCGACGCGGGCTGTGCCTGTGCCCTGGCGGAGAGCGGGCGTGGCCGCGTGGCCGGCCTGCGTGGAGCTGATTGTGCCGGATCGCGGTGTGCACCTTCCTCCCCGACCTCACCGCGGCCAGGCGGCCAGGCTGCCGCTCGCTCACGTCTGACGGCCGGCCGGCGGCACGGGGCCGGGGCTGGGCCGTGTGTGCTCCCGCGGGCGCGGGCGGTGGGTGGCGGAGCACGCCGGCCGGTGCCACGCTTCCCTCGCTCCTTTTCTTCTCAGGACCTAAAGTTTAATCTATCAGTAAAGAGATTAATTTTAAGGTGCCTTTCCACGCCGTGTGGTCTGCGCCGCTCGCCACAGCCCCTGGGCGCGCAGGCCTGTCCCCTCCCTGCCACTGTCCGGCCGCTGCTGGCACCTGCCCCTCGGCACGCGGCGCCTTCAGGGCAACCCTTTCCTCCCCGTTTCCACGCAGCTACGTCAGCTAGAGTGTGTGAGGGTCCGGTCAGACCCTGTCCGGGTCCCCGTCTCCCATCGCCCCCTCCTGCTGGGCCTGTGCTCACCAGGCGGCTCCGGAGGCTGGGCCCCTGGGTACCAGCTGCAGCGTTGATGCCCTCTGGGTCGGGAGCGAAGCTTGGTGCCTTGGCAGATGTTAGAGACCCAGCACCTCCTCACACCTGTGCGGGCCTCCTGGGGGATGGCCTCTGCCTGGAGGGGCAGGGTGAGGCGGGGCCGGCAGTCACTGACCAGTGTGGCCCCTCAGACGGCTGCCTCTACCCAGGCCCAGGCCCCTGGCCCAGCGTGGCCAGAACATCAGTGCAGATGGGACTGGAGAGCTGGGGCCTTGCCCAAGAAGCCCCGAGTGCGTGGGGGGCTCTGCTTGCTGTCCTTCCAAACTCTGCCTCCTCGGTCCCTGGAGGTGGACTGGCCGTTTGCTCCTCAGCTCAAGTGCAGTCAGGGTTCGAGGCATTTCACGGGGTAAGGGGAGGTCGCTTTGAAGCTTTCAGATGAGGGCACAGGAGGCGCCTGGTTAGTGACCCTCCCTGCGTGAGGCCTGCATCTCCCCTGTGCACAGGCCGCCGGGGTGGGGGGTCAGCGGGGCCAGGGTTTGCCCGTGGCCCACACAGGGGAGCTGTGGGCATTCCGGCAGCCCCAACGGAGCCTGGGCAGGCCCCTTGAGGCTCAGCCGAGTTTTTTTTTTAAATATATTTTATTGATTTTGTACAGAGAGGAAGGGAGAGAGATAGAGAGCTAGAAACATCGATGAGAGAGAGTCATCGATCAGCTGCCTCTTGCCCACCCCCTACTGGGGATGTGCCCGCAACCAAGGTACATGCCTTTGACCAGAATCGAACCTGGGTCCCTTCAGTCCCCAAGCCAACGCTCTATCCATTGAGCCAAACCGGTCTCGGCTCGGCCGAGTTTGGACGGAAGCTGAGAGCCACCCTCCTCCCTCGCTCACCTGGGCTCCATCTCTCATCCTACAGCTCCCCTAAGCGCCAGCTGGGGTATGCAGTTGGTGGGAGAAAACGGGGTGCCTGTAGGGTTGGGACCGTTCCCCCAGGGCCACACCCTGGGCCACCGGGCGTGGTGCGCCTCAGGCACAGCCGGTCTGGGCAGCCGCTCATGGCCTCGCTGCGCGGTGAGCGTGTGCACACGCCTGTACTCACGTGTGTACGTCACGGCACTCAGGCGCAAGGCCTCCGGGAGCCGCCCTCCAGTCTCCCTAGAGCGGCCTGCCTCCCGGTCCCTGCGCTGCGCGATGGGAGCTGAGGCAGGCCTCGCTCACTGGACCACCGGGAGCCCCTTGGCTGTGCCGGGGAGACGGCGTTGAGTCTGCGCAGTCACACGAGGATCGGGCACCGGCGGGGGGGGGGGGGGGGGGCGTGGTTTCTGCGAGGAGCATCAGGAAACTGGACGAGACCAGGTGGGCCTGTGTGCGCGGCCCTGCAGCATGTCCACCCCCCGCCCCCCCCCCCCCCCACACACACACACCTGACCCCACCAAGTGCCTCCGCTGAGTGCCTTCACGCTGCCGCTGCCACTGCCGCTTCCCCTGGCGCGGGACCGGAGGCCGCCGCAGCCCCCCCTGGCCTGCAGCGCCCGTTGCCCGGCTGGCTTTTGTGCTCCCGGGCCACACTCTGAGCTGCGTGGAGCTCCGGATTCTGGGGGTGTGGCACCCGCTTCCTCTGCACGCCTGCTTCCTTCCTCCCAAGTGTCCTCACAGGGCTTTGTCCCTCCCTCGGTGGTGAGGGCCCAAACCAGAACCCAGGCCGCCAGCCTGGGCCGTGTTCTATCCCGGAGGCAGGGGTGCTGGAGCACCGCACTGTCCGGCAGCCTCCCGCGAGGCCCCTGCACCCTCGGCTCGGAGGGGCCTGCTCAGGTGGCGGTGGCAAGGGAAGGTGGCCTGGACAGACTGGGCCTTGCTCCCTGCCAGCCTGTCGCTTCCTAATGAGCAGAAGGTACCTCCTTACCCCAAGTGCTGTTGGGAGCAGCCTGCCCTGGGCAGCCACTGCAGTCCCGCTGTGGCCCCAGCCACCCCCAGCACCCGCCGCGGCCCTGGCCCCCGCTGCAGCCACCCTCCACTGCCCCCCGCCCCCCGTCCACCTCCAGCCCCCACTGCAGGCCCAGCCATTCCCAGCCCCCGTTACGGCCCCCCCTGCGGCCCCCGCTGCAGCCACCCACCAGCACCCCCCGGCCCCCGCCCACCCCCAGCCCTTGCTGGCCATCATGGGTGTGGCACAGTGGCCATTGGTGGTTCAAGCCAGCACCGGGGTCAGCAGGGCAGTGAGGGGTGCATCCTGGAGCCTGCCCGGACTCATCTGCTTCTGGAAGGGGGGGAGGGGAAAGGAGAGGCATCTTGTTTTTGAAACGACTGCAGATTTGCACTCTGAATTAAAGGAGGTCAAACTGAGCTGTGTGCAGCCTTTGCTCCTGGAATCCTGGACGGCTGAGGGGCCGAGGTGCACTGCACGCCCACGTGCGGAGGGGCCCCCTCCTCACTGAGTGCGGCTGGAGCAGCCCCTGGGGAGCACGTGGCCACGGACCGCAGGTGCCCTCAGCGGTGTAATCTGTCATACAGGCCGTGGGTTTCGGCACAGAGTCTGCTTCCACGTTGGCCTGGGAGGGGGGGGCCGGCTTTCCAGCTCTTCAGCCCGGCTGGCCCCTCCGCCTGGCTGGCTGTCGGCACCCGTGCGCTGGGCTGTGGCGTCCCCAGGACCGCGGCCTTGAAGTCTGTTCGGTGCCTGGGCCGTCCGCACGGCATGCCTGTGCCCGTGTGTGCTCGCCAACCTGCACAGAAAGCCGGGCTGTGAGCTGAAGGCCCGTGGCCACGCAGGCTCCGGCCACCCAGTGGCTCTGAACCTCTACGTCTGTCCCCTGGGGTGGAGCTCCAGGGCCTGTGGCCTCACCCTTCAGAGCCGCCTAGGTCGGCCCTCCCCTGGCCAGGCCGGCCGGCCCCGCCCGGCACGCTGTTGTTCCCGGGAAGGAAGGTCCGGGGGGCAGCGGCGGCCGAGCCCCGTGAGCAGCCTGTCTGCCGGAAGCCACGCCTCAAACTGCCATCTGGGGGCCCCTGGGGTAGGAGGGAGGGAGCCTCAGGGCCTGGCCCACCCAGCCCACCCGGTCCTTGGGCAGCCGTGGTGTGCCTCCAGGCCGGGGCACAGAGGGCACTGCTTGGTGGAGCCACTGAGGCTAGGGAAACCAGGCGCAGCCCCCCGGTGCCCACGGCCTTCCGGCTCTGCACGGCTCTGCCCTGGGCTCCCGGGGCAGCCCCCGTTGCCGAGCTCCGCACACACCCCCCTTCTCCCGCAGGTGCAGCTGGACGCCTGGCCCCCGCCCTCTGCCTCCCCCTCCCGCAGAGCCTGAGGGTCCCAGCAGGCCATGCAGCTGTGCCCAGGTATGGAGGCCCCAGCAGAGGACAGGCCAGCTCCGGGTCTCGGGCTCGCTGTGGCCACTGACACCTGCAGAGGAACAGCTGGCTTCAGCCTCAACCCGAGCCCCGGACTCGCCCGCTGGAGTCCCCTGTGCCCGGGCCCTGAGCCAGGGAGTGACGCCCATGGGTCCATTGCTGCCCAGACGCATCGGGACCGGCAGCAGCCCTGGTGGTAACCCCGGCCAGGGACCCCGGGTGGCAGCATGTCCTGACAGCCACCGCCCGCCCCAGCCAGGCGGCCCCAGCCTCTGCTCTCCCTGGCCCCGCGCCCACGTGCTGGGGCGAGGTGAGGCTGCCACGGGCCGAGGCCCTGGGGAAGGCGCTCCGGCGGCTGAGGCCCACCCCAGGCCCACTGAGAAGTGCACATCCTTCGCCCGAGGGGTGGGACTTCCTGGAGGGAGTGGGCTTCTAGTCACTGCAAACACCCCTGAGCCGGTGCCCAGTGCCAAGGCCCAGGGGAGGGTGGCAGCCATGAGCCATCTTGGGGGTGCGACAGGGCCAGGCGGTGGTTTCCCCATGACCCCATTGACCCCTGAGGCCCAGAGGGCGGGGCTCCTGCTGGGAGCTGGTGGCAGGACCAGGCCTGACCCAGGAGCCTTCTCTGAGGTCGCCCCCTGCCGCTGCGCTTCCAGCTGTGACTGAAGGGAGCGGGCACCCCAGCTGCTGCCCCGTCCCAGCACCTCCCTGACTCAGGCCACTGCCAGAGCCCTGCGGTGCCAGGCGGGGGACTGGGCGGCGCAGGGCTCCTCACGGCCAGCAGGGCCATGGCATGGACCACGGCTTCTCCGCGCTGTCCTCACAGCTCCCTGCCCGTGGCCCATGGCTGCCCCGGGCACCTGAGCCAGCTCCTAAGCCCACCTTCCCGAGACACAGCCTCACTGCCTCACAGTGCCCTCCCCTGGAGGTTAAGGTCTGTCCCTGGCCTTCGGACAGGCTAGCCTCTGTCACATCCTCACAGGCCCGAAGGAGGGGGAGGGTCCCCCAGCCCTGGACCCAGCCGGCCCTCAGCCACCTGTCTGAGGCCGCCCAGGAGGCGGTGACAGAGCCTTGGCCGGGCCACAGCAGTTGGCATCGGCTGCTCCTCGGTGCCGAGGAGCCTGCCAGCCGGCGGGGGCCACACCCAGCCCGGTCACCTGCCTGGGGCCAAAGCCTGGCCCGGCCCCTGCCCGCAGGTGACCTCACGTTGGCCTCGGGCTTTTTGTCTGTAAAGCGGGTGTTAACGGAGCTGGTCTCCCTCACCAGCGTGCGGGAGGGCCCACGCAGAAGGCACACGGGACAGCGTGTAGGACGGAGCCCGCACCCGGGTGCTCAGTGCTCCTCAGCGTTGTCTCGTGGGGTCTGACCGGGGCCATGCAGCCCGGTCAGAGGGAGGAAACCAAGCAGCTGGCTCATTGGCCCCCGTCCCCGAGGGGGAGGGGCAGAAGGACCACCGTGCAGCGGGAGCACTTCCGAGAGGAGATGGGGTCGGAGCAGGTTTGAAGGATGAGTAGGAGTTCGCCGGTAAGAGCAAAGGCGAGTCTAGGCTACGGGGGCGGGGCGGGTCCGAGCATCCGTTCACCTCCTTGCTCGGAGCCTTTGCCGGCCCTTCCTGTGGGTCTGGGGATGCCGGGGGCAGGCTGGGCTGGTGCTAGCTCAGTGTGGCCGGGCCATAGTGGCGCTGCCCAGGGCAGAGGGTCACCCACACCGGCTCAGCTCCTCTCCGGCCTCAACAACGGTCCTGGTGCCTCAGCCCACCCGGCACCCTGGCCGGCCAGCAGCCCTGCAGGAGGGAGGCGGCGCTCCCGCACGGCCTGGGTGCCATGTGCATTACCCACTGTAAGGCATGAGCCTGTGGTCCGGGCCGCTGTGCGGGCGGGGGGGAGGGGGGAGGAGGGCGGTGGCCTTGGGAGAGGAGCCGAGGCATGTCCCTGAGGGTGTCTGCTCCTTGTCCCCTCCCCCTTCATGCCTGTCTCTGCCCGCCTCTCCACCTGTCCCCTCAGTCTCCATCCCCCTCTCCGCCTGACCCGTCTCCGAGTCTTGTCCCACCCCCATCCTGGGCTCTCTGGGCTGCGGCCTGCGTGGGCCTGCGTGGGCCGGGGCTGCGGGAGCCAGGTGGCCTGGTGTGGGCGCCGGGCCTGTGTGGCCTTGGCCATGGAGGCCTGGCAGCTGGCTGGGCCGGGCGGGGCGGAGGCAGGGCCGGGACCTGGGCCGTGGTGTCGGCCCGGCCCGCCCGCTGCAGTATTGATGGCCCGTCACGGCGGCCCCGATTCCTGCGCTTTCAGTTAAAAGGTTTCTGTTGTTGTAGCTGATGCAGTTGCTCTGTTGCTATGGAAACGTGACATCAAAATGACGTTTCCCGTTTAAAAGCTTTTAACTAAATTCCTGCCTGTCAGATGTAGGCCCCATTTTAAGCGCGGAGCTGCCTTCCCAGAGCCGGGCTCGTCCGCGGCGCCGGCCGGCCCCTGAGCGCCCGCTCCCCGCAGGCGCCGCCGGCATGGCCGCGGCCGAGGTGCCCGGCTACCTGGTGTCCCCGCAGGCGGAGAAGCACCGGCGCGCCCGCAACTGGACCGACGCCGAGATGCGCGGCCTCATGCTGGTCTGGGAGGAGTTCTTCGAGGAGCTGAAGCAGACCAAGCGCAACGCCAAGGTGTACGAGAAGATGGCCTGCAAGCTGCTGGCCATGACGGGCGAGCGCCGGCTGGGCGAGGAGATCAAGATCAAGATCACCAACATGACCTTCCAGTACAGGTAGGCTCCGGCCGCCTGCCCCTCGGCCCCGCCGCCCGGCCGGGAGCCTGCAGGCCCGGCGCAGGCTGGCACCACGGCAGGTGTTGGGGTGTCGCTAACGGGGAAACTGAGGCCGAGGAAGGAGGAGGCTCGGCTCCAGGCCTGAGAGTCCCGCCCGGTCCTGACGCTCAGTCGTTGGCAGCATCTGCTGCGGCCACTGTGACGTCAGGGTCAGGGAGCCCTGAGCTCAGGGAGGGCGCTGGTGGGAGGGGCCTCGTGGTGGGAGGAAGAGGTGCAGCCCCGCTCCAGGGGGCCCTGCCCCGGCAGCCTGGGGGGAACGGCAGGTCAGGGCACAGACAGGCTCTGAGGGGGGGTGGGGGCAGAGGCATCGTCCAGGGAGGGAGCCAAGCGTGGCCCACGGGCCCAGCACCTTGGGGTCATGCTGCCCAGGCCTGTCTGCAAGGGGCACAGTGTGGAGAGGGTCATGGTCAGGGTGAAGGTCACCGGCTGGTGGAAGGTCACAGACGGGCCTGGGTCTTGCTGACGAAAGTCAAGCAGGAGCTGGGAGCCACGGGGGCAGCGCCATGTGCCTGGAGTCCTGTGGGCACCTGTGCGGCGCTGGCCCTGGCTGCCCCCGAGCCTGGCAGTGCCCAGGACGTGAGGGGCTGTCCTTGGTGGGCCCAGCTGGTCCCTGCCCTGCTACCTCGTGGGCCTGGTGGCCGCCTGGGCAGGGAGCAGCGGGGTGGCCAGGCCGGTGCAGACCGGCCCTGCAGGGTGGCCCCAGGCACTGTGAGCCGCACTTAGGGGGGTCCACCCCCCCTATAGGTGGGAGGTTGGAGGTGTGCAGGCTCCTCAGGCCCTGGCCCCCGAAAGGCTGTTTCCAGCTGCATTAGCTGAGCGTTCTGTGGCCCAGTCCAAAGGCCCTTTCCGACCCAAGCAGGCCCCGCCAGGGCGAGCCGAGGCCAGAGGCAGGGAGTCGCTTAGTGAAGGGCTGATGGCGGCGCTCGGGGTCTGGGTGATCCGTTATCTACCAGGAAAGCCTCGGTCCCAGGGGAGGGATTCGGTTCGATCCCGGAGGCGGAGGGCGTGTCAGGCGGCTGCAGGGAGGTGCAGCTGAGCAGGCACCTGGCGCCGGCGGGCACGGAGGCTGGGGTGTGTGCAGGCTGCAAGGGTTGTGCCGCATCGCTCCTGTCGCCAGGGAGAAACTGAGGCCAGAGCAGGCGAGAGCCTGGGCTGCACGGCCCTGAGCGGGGACCCTGTGGCTCATTCTTACCCCCTCCCAGAGGCTGCCCTTATTTGCTCACAGTCGCTCTTTGCATATTGAGGCTCAGGCTAAGGTCGCCTGAGGGGGCTAACACGCAGTATGGTTTGTTCAGTGTTCAGGGGCCTCCCGTGCTGGGGCAGCCTTTCCTTTTTCCTCCAAGGAGTGGGCTGGCTTGAGGGGGTCTCGGGCTAGAGGGGCGCCTGGGTGAAGGCTGGGTGTGGGTCTGCCGACCTCCAGGGAATGGATGGGGTCCCGTGGCTGGGAAGACAGCAGCCACGCTCTGCCACACGGGATCTATCCGTGGCGTTTGGCGGGGGCAGTGTTCTGCTGAGACAGCCTCTGCTCACCTCCCTGAGCCGCAGCCCCTCATTGTCTGGTTGCGCTGTGGACGGGGCAGCTCGCTCAGATGGCCAGGCCATTTCCGGCAGCCAGGGGCCACACCAGCTGCAGGGTCTCCTGCGCCAGAGCAGCGTGGGCAGGGCCGGGGCACAGGCCGAGGCGGGGCCAGGGCACTGTGGAGCGCAGGAAGCACAGAGTCCCCTGCCCACCCACCTGGGGCTTCTTTCTGGCTTGGCCTTGGTTGCCAGCTCTCCGGGGGCCCACCTCCCTGGCTCTGATCTCTGGGGCTGGCCTAGGCCGGGGCCTGTCTGCAGGGTAGGCAGGATGCTGGGCTGTGGGGGCTCAGGCCCGTGGTGGGCGGAGCTGGGCTGTGTAGCCCCTTGGCCTGAGGTCTGAATGGAGATGAGAGATGTCGGGCAGTGTGAGCAGGGGTCTGCCTGGCCCAGCCCAGCTGCCTCCTGGCACCTTCTGCCAGCATGGTACCTGGACAGCCCGCTGTTCACTGGGCATCGGGCATCGTCCCACTAAGCCTTCCCTACGGCCCTGTGAGGAGCTCGCGTTGATCATCCCCATTTTACTGATGTGAACATGGAGGCTCAGAGAGGTCAATGCACCTGCCCGAGGTCACACAGCAAGGTGGCAGCTCGAGACACAGACTCGGACCAGCCGGACGCCGAGGCCTGTGCCCTTAGCGCCCGTGGGACCTGCTCGGCATTGAAGGGCCCCCGAGATGCCCCTCGTACCCCGAGGCGGCTCTTCAGAAGCGCACGGTCGTCCTGGTGCGCCCGGTGTCGGTGCGGCACGTGCCCGGCTTTACTGCGTGGCGGTGTTTACGGCGCCGGCCCGCCGGGCAGTGCCCGCTCACGCAGGGAGCTTCGACCCCGCAGCACTGCGAGCGGGACGATGGCGATGCCCGACCGCGCCCGCCCTGCGGCTTTTAGCGTCCAAGGCCGCGTAGGTCCCGAGTCCGACTTCCTCCCGAGCCCGGAGCCACCGGCCCTGAGGCCGGTCTCCCGGGAGGCCTGTCGGCCCAGGAGCGGCGCCGCCTCCGCCAGGGGCGGGCGCCGGCTGTTTCTCACACTCCGCTCTTGTGTGTCTCGTTGCAGGAAATTAAAATGCATGACAGATAGCGAGTCCGTCCCGCCCGACTGGCCCTATTACCTAGCCATTGATAGGATTCTGGCCAAGGCCCCCGAGTCCTGTGATGGCAAACTGCCGGACGGCCAGCAGCCGGGGCCCTCCACGTCCCAGACCGAGGAGTCCCTGTCGCCGTCGGCTAAGTCCACCCCTCTGTACTTACCGTATAACCAGTGCTCCTTCGAAGGCCGCTTCCAGGACGACGGCTCCGACAGCTCCTCCAGCTTACTGTCCCTTAAGTTCAGGTAGTGTGCGCCCTTCTCCTGCCCCGCAGGAGGGCTGAGAGCGGCCAGGGGGCACAGGGGGGCGGGTTTTGAAGGGTGCATAGGAGTTGGCCAGTTGAGAGGGGGAACAGGAAGTGTTCTCGTGCTGGCGGGCTACAGAGGGGGACCCCGCAGGGCGGCCCCGCAGGGAGGCACGCAGACCCTACGCGGCGGTCCTGGCACAGGCGGCTGTGTCTCCGGCTGCGTCGCTGTTGAGCTGTGTGGGAAGGTCATGACCTCTCTGGGCCTCCGTCTCCCTCGGTAAATGGGGTAGTCCGTGGCTTCTCTGCGGGCAGCTGGGAGTGCCAGAGGAGAGGGCACACGCAGGCCAGGGCCTGGCACGTGGAGGAGCGCCAGGTGTGCCCGCCCTGCCTGCCCCGCTGCCTCTGTTTCCGCCCCCTGGGCCCCAAGCGGGCCCCGCCCCGGGTCCCCTTCCATCAGGAGAGGTCGGGCTGGGCCTCCAGGGTCCTCTAGCCTGGCTGCTGTGGGTACGCCCCTCGCCTCTGCTATCTGTCACATGCTTCCTACCACGTGACTCGGCCACGGGGACGTTACCGACAGCCACGAGGAGACTCAGCCTGTGGTGTGGGGCTGGGAGAGCCAGAGGAGGGACCTGTGGGGTGGGTTTCCGAGGGTGAGTAGGAGTTGGCCAGTTGGAAAGGAGAACAGGAAGTCTGGATCTGAGCCATGGCCCTGGCCCTCCCAGCCCCGGTGTTCAAGTCTGCCATGGTGGGGGCTGAGGGGGCATCTCGGGGCCTTCAGTGCTGACACCGGTGGCAGAGCGCCCGTTCCATTCGTCCGGTGCCCCTTGCCGGCGGGTTTCTCCACAAAGACCCGGACAGAGCGCCTTTGCTGACAGCCAGGCCTCGGCAGCGGGCAGCCTGAGTCCGGCCCGCTGTGCCCGGGACCGAGCCCTGTTCCCAGACGCTGCTGCTCCCGGGAAGGGGCGCGGGGCCCCACGCTCTGCGCTCGCCCTGCGGCTGGCTGGTGCTGTTCTGCTCAGGAGCTGGGGGGCGGAGGAGGGCCCGAGGGTCAGTGAGATTGGGCAGCTCCCTGCCCACAGTGGAGGTCGGTTCCACCAGGGGTGCCCCACCCCTCAGCAGAGAGCCCCCGCCTGTGCTGCCTTCACCCCTGCCCACCGGATTCCTCCGTGCCCTCTCCCAGGTGCCTGCCCTCCTGCCTCCCACCCCAGGCCCAGGCCCAGGCCCTCTCTCCCTTGGCCTCAGTTTCCCCATCGGCCCAAGGCCAGCAGGACTGGTGGCCCCTGGCTTCACAGGGGAGCCACACCGCCCAGCACCCCTCCCACCCAGCCTTCCTCCTCTCTCCCTGGGCGGCCTCCACCCCGAGCGCCCCACCCCCCAGCTCAGTGCCTTTGGGGGTGTCCTCTGGCAGGGTGTCCCCGCCCGCCCAGGCTCAGGGGACTTGGGTGTCCTGTGACCGAGCTGCTGGGTCCCTGTGGACGGCCGGGCCCGTGGCCCCGTGGCCCTTTCGCTGTCCTGGACGCCGAGCGCTGAGCGGTGGCCGAGCTCCCTGGGCCCCGGTCTCCCCGGCCCGGTGGGTCCCCGGGAGGGTCGGGCCTGCCGGCTCCGTGGCCCGGCTCACGCGCCCGCTGTGCCCACAGGTCCGAGGAGCGGCCGGTGAAGAAGCGCAAGGCGCCGGGCCCGTTCCGCAGGCGGAAGCTGCGGCTGCTGGAGGCCATGCTGGAGGAGCAGCGGCGGCTGAGCCGCGCCGTGGAGGACACGTGCCGTGAGGTGCGCCGCGTGCTGGACCAGCAGCACCTGCTCCAGGTGCAGGGCCTGCAGCTGCAGGAGCGCATGATGAGCCTGCTGGAGAAGATCATCGCCAAGCCCAGCGGCTAGCCGGCCCGCCCGCCCCCGCGGGCCGGAGGCACAGGCCAGGGCCCCGCCAGAACAGAACGCGTGCCCTCACGCTCCACCGTGTCCCCGCTGACCACACCTGGAACTCGGATCTCTCCCCGAGGGAGCGCAGCCCAGGCTGGGCTGGTCCAGAGCCCGCAACGCGGACAGCGGCTCTCCTCACCTCCCCTGGCTGCCCTGAACGCCCACGGACACTGAGGGGGACCCCCTTCCCTGAACGCCCCGGACACTGAGGGCCCCCCCACCTGCCCTGAACGCCCCGGACACTGAGGGGGACCCCCTGCCCTGAACACCCCGGACACTGAGGGGGACCCCCTTCCCTGAACGCCCCGGACACTGAGGGCCCCCCCACCTGCCCTGAACGCCCCGGACACTGAGGGGGACCCCCTGCCCTGAACACCCCGGACACTGAGGGGGACCCCCTTCCCTGAACGCCCCGGACACTGAGGGGGGGCCTGCCCGGGACGTGGGCTGGCCGCCCCCCGGTGGGAATAATAAAGGAACCTCCGGTCACGGCCCCTCCCGCTCACTCTGGGCAGCTGAGGCCGACACAGGCTGTCCTTGGGGGCTCACATGGGGGAGCAGACAGACGTGACTAATAAACACGTAGGATGTGATCATGGGCAGGGAAGGTGGGACCTGGGGAGGGGCTGGACTCAGCCGGGAGGCGGCAGGGGGCAGAGGGGGGCAGCTGTGCCGGGAACCCCTGCTGCTGGGGCCTGGCAGGCAGCCAGGGTGTGAAGGTAACCCAACCTGGCAGAGGTCACGGGGGTGCAGAGGTCACCAGCTGGGTGGCAGGACCCCTTCCCGAGCCCCGCGCACGGGCACAAACCCTGCTGTGTCTCCAGGGCGCGCCCGTTCCCACCAAGGCCAGTCCGGCTGCCACGTGAGGTCACTGTGCCGTGGTCGGGAAGGGACGTCTACGCCCTAGCACCGCTGTGCGATGGGCGCGGGTCCGTGGGGCAGGCCCAGCTGACCAGCTCGGGCCCGCCCGCCTCCACGGGTCACCGGCTGGCCGGCCAGGCGTGTGCGTGGCCCCCCGGGGGCCAGTCCTCCCCTGAAACGCCCGTGTGGCCTTGCGCCGTGGCCGTGGCCGGGCCTGCTCAGCACGCCTCACTGAGCTCAGCGGCAGCCGGCTGAGGTGGGGGGCCGCGGCGGGAGGGCTGCGGGGTTGGGGTGGGTGGGGAGCAGCAGGGAACATGGGGGCCCAGGGGTCTGGGTCACCGGTGCTGTGAGCGTGGCCTCACGCTGGGATGCTGAGGGCACAGCCAGTCCTCGTCCGTCTCTGAATGTGCCGCCCAGGGGCTCAGGTCCAGACGATGCCGAGACGATCCTCCCTCCTGGGCACCTCGGGGCCCTGCCGTCGGGGAGCCATGGCGCGCAGAGGGCGGGACTGGCTCCCCTGAGGGGACCTGGGCACCCATCCCCCCTCACCCCCCTCCCGGCCCCGCCGCTCCTCCTCCCACGGCCCAGCGTGTCACACTGTGTCCTCAGTCCGCGTGGAGGTGCCTCCCTCCTCGCCCAGGCCTGCACGCCCCCCCCCCCCCCCCGCTTCCCGCCTCTCCTGGGACGGCCCGCACGTTCTGCCGGAGCAGGGCAGCTCGGGCACCAGCTGGCATCGCCCGCAATTATCCTTAAATTACAGGGACCATTTTAATGCCCGATAATTAGAAATATCAACTGCAGCTCAAGCTTTGAAACGAATGGAATTCTAATGGGCAGCTGCTTAGCTTACAGCCAAGAAAAGAAACGCTGCAGAGCCGCCTCTGAGCCCACCCCACGCAGGACAAGTGGGTTTGGGGCGATGGGCCTCAGGTGGAGTGGGACCTACATCCCAGACTTGGGCCCCAGGACTGACGTATCTCCCTGATGGTGCAGCCTGGCCCGGGCCCGCCGCCCCTCAGTCTCCCTCGGGTCCGAGCCTGGGCCCACGGGAGGTGCCTCCTGGGGGCCTGCAGGCCCGAGTGTCCCACTGCTGCTCCGGCCGCTCCGGGCCAGGTCTCGTTCAGGGCGGCAGGCAGGCGCCAGCAGCGGCGTGCCCGCGGTCGTGTGGCTGTCAGTGGTGGGAGGAAGGCGGTGAGTCCATTCAGCCTGGGACACCGCCGAGTGGGCAGGGGAGCTAATGGTGTCTGTGGGTGGGCAGAGACTTTGCTTTTGAGAAAATGAAAATGATCAAATTTATTTTTCCCTGCGGCTAGAGCTCTCTGGTCCTAAAAGTTTTCAGACTTTCCCGTGTTGTATTCGGAAGCTGTGACCGTGCTTGGGTCATGGATCCACCTCAGGTCAATGATCCCTGGATGTGATGCAAGTTAGACCCCCGTTCAGTTCCCCGTGGCCCAGCGCCGGGGTTAGTCTCCCTTTCTGCGTGGCATTGGCTTTCGCTTTTGTCAAAATCGATTCTCTGAGCAACAGCGGGTCAACTTCACTCAGTTTCCCGGCTCTGCATGCACCTTCTCTCCATCACTGTAGCTCACAGCAAGTCTTTTTTTTTTTTTTCTTCTTTTTTTTTTTTTTTTCCTAATAGATGTTTATTGATGTCAGAGAAGAAAGGAGAGGGGGAGAGAGAAACATCAGTGATGAGAGAGAATCATGGATCAGCTGGCCCCTGCACAACCCACACTGGGGATGGAACCTGCAACCCGGGCGTGACTCCTGGCTCACAGGTGGATGCTCAGCCATGGAACCACGCTGGCCGGCCTGCAATGCATCCATTTCCCTGGCTGCTTCAAAGATTTCAGCTCTTTCTTGTTTTCAAAAATGGGTGCCTCAGTGGTTTTCTGGTGGAATCTATGGGTTGATTTTTTAGCCACTATTTCTGCACATACATCTCCCGTGTTGTGTTCGGTCACAGCGCTCCTCCCGCGGCTCACGCGTGTTTCTCCGGGTCAGTGTGACGGCTCACACCGGCGAGTGAGCTCCGAGCCCCGCCCTTCCCAGGTCTGGCAGCTGGGCCGGCACACTTCTAACTCCCAATACCGTGATGTTATGGCTCTCAGCGTCTCCATTTCTCCGGAGGTTTTTAGAGTTCCCGTTTCTCCTCCAGAACACCTCGTTTCTCTCTGTCACTCCGTTCACCTCGATCCGCACATCCTCCCATTGCAGTGTCAGCTCATTCCGGTGACTGGGCCACGTGGGGTCCACATCGTTAGATGGTTTTTATCACACAGGCTACATGTTCCTATTTCTTCCCATGTCCTGTCGTTTCTGTCCCATTCCAAACATCGTGTGCGCGTGCTGGGCACACCTGGTGCAGGTGTGATGTCGGTCCTCGCTTTGTCGGGAGCTGTGGGGGGGTGAGGGGTGTGGGCCGACCTCCTTCGGGTGACAGGAATGACACGTATGTGTGAGCGTGACGGGTGTGCGGGAGGGCTCCTGGCCACCTGGTGGGGCGGGGGGAGGAGACACCTGAGCTGGCCTGGCAGGTGGCTCTCAGCAGGCCCCGAGGGCAGGGGCAGGTGGGCACCAGCTCGAGAGAGGAGCACTGGCTTCACCCCTCGGACCCACCTCACTCCGGCTGGCGCTGAGGGTGCCTGGCTGTCCCCGACCCTGTCCCAGTCCCCACAGCTGGCGGAGGCAGAGAGAGACTCCGTGGAGGCCTGGGGCCTCGGGAGGAGGCGGGATTTCTTTGTGCAATGGCGGCCACGGGGCATTCGGGGCGGATGTGGGCACGGGGAGGCGGGCGGTGCTGGGGGCGGGCAGTGGGGCTGTCCAGTGCTGGGAGTCCAGTCCCAGCTCTGCCGCCCAGGGAGGCCACTCAGGCCCTGCTCGGCCTCAACCTCCATCTGTGAAGTGGGCTGACATCAGCTCACGACCGCGGTGCAGCCCCTGCGAGGGGCAGTGTGGGGACCAGGCCGTGGCTCCACGGCGGCCAGGGAGGCGGTGACCGGGCTGGTGGCCGGCTGTGGTGGGTTCGGGGACGGGGTGTGCAGGCGGCAGCCAAGGTGGTGTGGGTGTCTTGCGGGGGGTGGGCGGGAGGCAGGGGACATGTGGCAGAAGGAGTGGGCACTACAGAAGTATGTTCCTGTCCTGGCCGGTTTGGCTCAGTGGATAGAGGGTCGGATTGTGGACTGAAGGGTCCTGGGTTCGATTCCGGTCAAGGGCGCCTACCTCAGGTGCAGGCTCCATCCCCTGCCCTGCTCAGATGCATGCATGCAGGAGGCAACCAATCGATGTGTCTTTCTAACATCGGTCTCTCTCTCTCTGTCTCTCCCCCTCTCTTCCACTCTCTCTAAAAATCAGTGGAACAGCCGAGACCGGTTTGGCTCAGTGGGTGGAGCATCGGCCTGCGGACTGAAGGGTCCCGGGTTCGATTCCGGTCAGGGGCATGTAGCTTGGTTGCAGGCGCATCCCCAGTGGGGGGTGTGCAGAGGCAGCTGACCGATAATTCTCATTGATGTTTCTGGCTCTCTATCCCTCTCTCTTCCTCTCTGTAAAAAATCAATAAAATATATTAAAATAATAAATAAATAAATAAATAAATAATAGAGGCCCAAGCCCATGAAAAAAATAAAATAAAAATCAATGGGACAGTATCGTTGGGTGAGGATTAACAAAAGAGAGAGAGACCCCTCTCCCCTTTTCTGGGTTCCCTAACCTCGGGGCTGCCCCCCCCCCCCCCGGGCCCTAGCAGCGGTGCTGGTCCCGTCCTGCTGTCTGACCGACTGCGCCCCAGCCCCTGGGGCCTGCAGATGGGGCTCCGCTGGACTCTTCTCAAGTTTCCCTCCCGGGAAGCCATGTGTTTCCTCCGGGGACTGGGACGCAGTGATGACAAAGGACCTGAGGACGAAGAGCTGCCAAAGGGAGGGGGAGGGGCGGGGGGAGGGGCTGCTCCTTGAAGCCAAACAAAGCAGGTGGCCCTCAGAGAGGATGGCGGGAGGGGCCGCACGGAGCCCCAGGGTGACAGCTTGGAGGGCCGGCTGCCTGGCGGCCTGCACCCTGTGAGCAGGAGGACGTGGGTGCCTGTCTCAGCCGTCCTGCTGCTG